AGGTAAAATTAAAATTATATTTATTATATTTTAAAAAAGATTAAGAACTAGCTAGTATTTTTTATTAAGTTATTAGTAATATATATACTTTAAGAAGTTATATAACTAGTTATATAACTTTATTACTTTAATCTTTTTAGAGTAGTATAGATACTAGATAAAGCTAGTATTATTAAAAAAACTAAAAAAAGAGCTAGTAATTATTATTTAAACTTTAGTATTTATTATATAAGAGACTATAAAGCTAGAAAAATAAATAAATAAAATTTTTTTTTTCTTTTATTTTATTTTATTTTTATCTTTCTTTTTCTTCTTTTTTTTAATAGACTTAAGAGGTAAGAAAGTAGGTATAAATAATATAAAAATAAATAAATTTAATATAACTAGCAGAGACTTAATACTAATCTAGTAATTATATAATATTTATAAAATAATTATTATTAGTTACTCTAGCTACTTATTACTTAGAATATACTTAATATTACTTTTTATAAATATTCTATTAGCTTACTAACTAATTACTAAGTAAATAATTACTTATTCTAGTATTTTATAAGAAGCTAGCTTCTATAAGAATCTTATATTTAAAAGTTATAATAATATTAAAAATTATAATATTAATTAAACATGATCTTAATAGTAAAATAATAAATAAATAATTTATATATATAAAATCATTAATAAAAAGAATTAGAAGAAAGGAAAGAAATTCTATAAATAAGTAAAGAAAAATTACTAGCTTTTATACTATAACTAGTAATTTATTTAATATTAAGTCTATTTATTATTTAAAGTAATAGATAATAAAATTTAACTTATTTATTATATTATTATTAAATTATTATTTAACTTATCTAATTAAGATATCTAGTAATTATAAATAATTAACTAATTATATTCTAATCTAATTAATTATAAGGCTAATATCTCATAGTTAAGATATCTTAAAAAGAAGAGATAATTATTATAATTAAAAATAAAGATTAATAATTCAGCTTGATAAAAGCAGATAAAAATTAACTTATAAATAAATATATAACTAATATCTAATTAAAGAGATCCTGCTATATATAATAGTCAGGAGAATTATTATTTAAAAGAAATAAGTAATTTATTTTAAAAACTAATATATCTACCTCTCTACTTGTGTATCTCTTATCTTATAGAGATATCTGTTAATAAGTAGAGGATTAGCTGCCTAAACAATGTCTATCCCAATCCCCATATCAATCAGCACGCCGCCGCTTACATAAGCCCTTGCTTTAATTAGATTAGCTTGATTAATAATCTTTTATATGTAAATATCTTGAATCCCTGTCTAAATTATAAGAGGAATTAAGAAGCTTTGATATAATTAATTTCTGTTTAAATCAGCTATTTTACTATATTATCTTGAATAATCTATACATTCAGATTTTGAAAGCCAAGTTAGTTATAAATTATATCTATAGACTCTAAATTCTATATCTGTATTCAAAAATTAGTAATTAATTATAGTGATTACTAATAATTCTCTCTTATTATTTCTTATAATGTTTATTACCACTATTCCTAGTATGTTACCTACCTATTTGGTACAGTACCTAGAGTACTACTAGAGTGTCATTTGGAGCAGATTAGTGTGGATTCTCTCTGGGTAGAATCTAACTTGTTACAGATTTAGATTCTAATTTCAGTATCTAAACCTACTTATAGATTTAATACAGATTTTATAGTAAAAATCATAGAATCTAAATTATCAAAGATCTCTACCTAGATAAGCCTAATTAGAACTAAAATATAACTTAAAGTAGACTAGTCTACCTAAGAAACCCATTTAGTAGTGTTGGATTGGGTCGGATCGGTTTCTATAAAAACCAATCCGATAAACCGATCCATTGGGGAACCGATCCAACTCAAACCGACCCAGTCCATCTCTACTATTTAGTAAGCTAATTTATAAGTAAAAATTATAAAAATACTAACTTTAGAATACTTATATAAATATATTTATATTTATATTAATATCTAAATTACTATGTATATTTTATATAACCTTTTTATTTTTATATATAAATAAATATTTTTTCTTTAATATATATAAAATTTATGTATTTCTTATATAAAACCTATTAAAATATTATCTAAATACTTTATATAAAGAGATAAAATCAAGCTAATCCTATATTTTAGATTTTATGATTTTTACTAAAAATCTATAGATTTTACTTAAAGAATCTAAATCTACTACAGATTCTGACCCCCTCTATCCAAATCCAACTTGTTGCGGATTTGGTGCGGATTAGATTGGTTTTTGCGGATTGGAGATGACACTCTAAGTACTACAAAATAATATATTTCTTGATCCACGTCAGTATAGATAATATCATAATAATTTATTCAAATATACATTACTATCTTATTATAGAACATAATATAGATATAAATTGAATTTCTTAATCTGATTATCTAGTATTTCAGAACCAGGATTCAGAAGTTGGATCAGATCTGCCCCATTCTGAGGTCTAATGGCACACATGCCAAGAAAAATTGCCGTCACGCTGGGTAAATTTCCCCGCCTGATGTGCCCAGTCGTCCGCCAAATGTTTGATGAGTCGGTCGTGAGAAGTACATCTTCTCACCACATATAAACCCATTATTCTATACCTAACAAAACATGTCTACCCCAAATCCAGACATCAAAGAGGTTAGTTATCACTGCAATTCCATTCCCGCCTATTTACCCTCTACAAGGTACAATACAATATACACAAAAAACTATCTTAGCCCCTGAACTAACATCAGATATCACATAGGCCTTTAAAGACATCGCTGAGTATATATTCTCTCCCTTCTAGACACCTGTTTGATTGCTCTCTTATGCTTCATATGCCCTAGCCCACTGCTTGTTTAGTCAAATCTGATCCATTTGTAGGGGCGAGAGGACGGCTCAAGCACTAGAAAATCATTTGAGCACCATTGAATGCAGAATTGATGGGTTACTAAATGAAATTGGGAGGTACAAGAGCACAGAAAAATCCGAGCACAGTCAAAAAAATCACACCATGGGTGCACATGGTACAGAAGAGTCTTCGAACAAGCGTTCCAGATGAAACTCCCCACTTGCGTCCTTCTCAATCACACCTTTTTCTGTTATGATTCCATCAATCAAAGCAGCGGGGGTGATGTCAAATGCTGGGTTCCAAACATTGATACCTTTGGCAGCTATGCATATGGTGTCCACCTGCAGTTCATCAACCTGGGAAGCTCCTTCACGTGGCCCTCTCACACTGGTAATCTCAGAGGCGGGACGCTCTTCAATCATAATCTTGCCACCGGATTGCGTAGCCATATCTAGTGTTGTTAGTGGAGCAGCCACAAGAAACTTTACATTATGGTGCTTTGCAATGACCGCGAGTCCGTATGTTCCTATTTTATTTGCGGTATCGCCGTTGGCGGCCACTCGGTCCGCCCCAACCACAATAGCACTGACGTTGGAGTCATCTTTACCAAGAAGGGCAGCCGCCATTGAGTCTGTTATCAATGTCGCCGGAAGACGATCATGGACCAATTCGAATGCAGTAAGGCGGGAACCTTGGTTGTAGGGTCTTGTTTCTGTGCAATAGGCGTGTTCCAAAGCTCCTGCGGAGGCCAAGGACCGAATTACGCCCAGTGCAGTGCCGTAGCCTGATGTAGCAAGAGAACTAGATTCGTAAGTGACAAATGTCTCTCATCATTCGTATAGGACGTACCCTGTATTGCAGTGTGTAAGCACCGTGGCCATTGAATCTCGAAGAACGGAATTTTCCAATATCCATCTTGCGCCGTTTTCTCCGATCCTTCTATTGTCTTCCAAATCTTTGGCCAACATTGATTCCGCAGCGTGGATAAACGCAGTAGCGACCCTATGACCTGTTGACCCAGCGGTTTCGGCGCATAGTTTCACTTGATTTTCAAGCTTGCGAGCAGCATCACTGAGGTTGACAGCAGTGGGCCTGCTGCTCACAAGATATTGTAATTTCTCACTGATGAACACCTGAACATCTTCCACATTGGTAGATAATTTATTGGTAGACACAAGCTCATGAAGTTCACTTGCAAGAGAAAGTGCAGCCACAATCGCGATAGCAGGTGCTCCACGAACTCGCATATCCTTGATTGCATGCCATCCCTCTTCAGCAGTTCGTACTTTGACATATTTTTCCACGTGTGGGAGCTGCAGCTGATCGATTATAGATAGATCACCGCTTTCATATCTGATTGCCTGTAATGTCATTTTGTCTAATGACTTTGAAGATCACCCTAATTCTGGAAAAACAATTAGTACACTGTCATCAATGAAACAAAGAGATAGAGAGATAGAACATGGGAGGTTTGATACAAACCTAAAATCTAGTAAAAAGTAATTTAGCTGAGCTTACACATCAAGACTTGTTCATGATATGATCCAAAACTTCAGTTGAACTCTGTGGTGGGGCATCTGGAAAATTTAGACGCGGGGTTATACAAAACTCCATGGGAAATTGTGCCGTGTAACTCCCAGTACACTACGCTGTTGCCACTCACCCCCCATGTAATTGTTGTAAATCAACATTATCTATCAATGTGATATCTGCTACAGGGTAAAAGGATTCGAGTGCAGAGAATGCCCTAACAGAATCATTGGAAAATCAGAATAACAAGCCAGAAATAACACAAAATTTGCCTCGGAAAAAGAGCACAGGATACACATCCTAACACAACACATTACAAAGTATTCTACCTGCAGTTTAGTAAGATTGAATCAGAATTTACAAACCATTTCAGAAAATAGATGTCTTGATCACAATATCTCATGTATGATGGGGTTGACATGATTGCTGTGGACTTGCGGCAGACTAATCAGAATAGAAGCCTGATGCAATTTAATCCGCAGAGATGTAAAGTACTTAAATGTGCAAATAATAATCAGAAATGAAAACACATCGGTCATGAAGGATTGACAAACCATTGTTCCCCCGAACAAAAGCATCGCCATACTTCCGTCTTGAATTCCCATTCACAAACTCTTCGGATCTTTCCAAGGCAATATTCATATAGCCATCAACTGATTGGAGTTCCCCTGTATTCAAAAGAATATTAGTATAATAACTTTATCTCTGATGGAGATTCATAACCTTTATAGACAACACCTGAATTCAATTTCACTGTGACAGGTGCGCCAATGATCTCGCCGAGGAATGTGGACGGGTCTTTGCCTTCAGATGATGCACCGTTTTCCATGATTCCTACTCTGGTATTTCCTTTATTCAGATGCTTGAATTGTTAATGGGCCACTATTGTCACCGAGTGCAAAAACTACCTTGTTCCGGGAATACAACAGGATTGGCCCATGGGAGCGGGAAGTATGGCACGTGCTTCGTCCAACGACGCCGTTGTTTTTTTTTGGGAACACCTCGTTTGCTTATGTCCTCGACTTGCCCCTCCAACCGTAAATCCCACCTTTTGTCCATGTTTCAATAATTCGAAATTTCTAGTATTCTGTCTGGTGCAATGCCAAATAATCTCCATGCGGCCGTTTTTTAATAGACCTTCCTGGGCAAGCAGAGGCGAAGAGCCGTCTTCAGACTTTTATCGTCGTGGAGACCAAACCTACAAGGACATTATTGCCGCCAGTAGAGATGCCCGGAAGAGACTGGAAAATGGAGTTGACATCTCAACAGACAGTAAGCTAGGACCAGAGCAACATGTTTCCCGGGGAAGCGTACCCCAAACGTGCCATGACCAGATAACATGTGGTGAAAGAAACCTTCACGAATGCTCCTCTAGACCTCGCAATCAGGTCGAACCCCACCAGCGCCAGCGCACCAAGTCTCTTGTGTCCGAGGACTCATGGTCTTCTTCTCCCAGTCGCAGTCGGGTTTCGGGTGTCCGAGCCACAAATTCGAGGCATACAACAGAGTGCCCGAAGAGCGAACATGAGCCATCTCGGGAGCCACATCATGAACGGGGTAGTGCAGTTCCTGGCGAGAATTTTCCCGAATCACGAAAGGATAATGCAGCCGATGATGTCGTCCAAATTCTTATTACTTCGCAGATTGAGAATACACAGCCACTTATCGTCTATCGCAGAATGACACAACCACTCCGAGACGTTCGCTTGGCTTGGTGTCATCGTCACAAATTCTTGGAAGATACGCAACCCTCCATATTTTTGACATGGAAGGGTAGGCGGCTTTTTGATGTAACAACTTGCAGAAGTTTGGGAATCAAACCGTCGAGTGATACTCTCTTTTCGCATACTTCCGATTCTGGCGAGAAATCCGTTCATATCCACATGGAAGCTGTCACGAGCTGCCCCAACAGTTTCAATAGTCGACAGTTCTCGCCGATCAATGAACGTGGGTTGGATCAGTCTGTGTTGAATATTGAAGAGACGAGCGAGAGGGACCAAAACCTATCTATTAGAGTCGTTCTCAAGTGCCCTGGTCATGATGAGTTTACAACAAGAACTCCTCCCAAAGCGCCTATCTTCCAAATCATCACTGCTTTCCGTAAGGCAAATAAGATCGCACTGGAAAAAGAGATCTATTTAGTATTTGATGGTGATCGCTTGGATCCTGGATCCTGCCTAGCAGACTATCAAATCACAGATGACGATCTCGTGGATGTTATGACTAAATAAGCCTTGAGAAGATAATAATTCCAAAGATAGTTTGAAATTGATGTTATTTTCGAACACTCCGGTTTACATATTGAGCTCTTACATGGGAACTTTTTGTGTTCAGTTGTAACAAACAAAATTGATAAATAAACTGTCGATATTTAGTCAAGACGTTGGACATCAGACTGATGCACTTCCTCGACATTTCCCGAGCAAAATAGCGCACTTTTGAATCAATAGGTGGGAGGAAAGGAACAAAAGGATAATCGGTTAGTGGCTTTCTGTATGCAATTTGACAGTTAGCGGGAGAGGCTTGAATCCGTCCCGATATTGAAATTTTCCGGGGCAAGTAAATTCTGATAGCACTTTCTGCTCAGCAGCATCTTGTACATAAACATCCCCCTACACCTAACCCCGAGTTTCGGTTGTTTTTTAACGGTATAAAATTACAAATTTAGGCTACTGCAGGGAATATGAAATTGTTTACAGCAAATTTCTTGGCTTGCGCTGTGAAAAGTTGCAGGACATCACCAGCTTCCTTTCCACTTCATTTTCGAGATGCCGAACTCGAACAACAGGAGCTTGACTTTCAACCGGATTTTATTCGTAATATACTTCCTCGACTTGACTGGGATGCGCTACAGGTGATTGCAAATGAGGTCAGTAGATTCCGCCGCAATCATTTTATTCGGACAGTGTTATGCTCACTTGTTCTAAAGCTCGGTTTCCCCAAACTTCCCGAGAACAAGCCCGCAGATGATTCACTGGGCGATGAAGGCCTGCTAAGGGATATCCACAAACTTCTTCTGGAAACACAGGTCATTGAAGGAAAGCTGGTCTGTGGAAACTGTGGTCATGAATACATGATTAAAGAAGGGATCCCAAATTTTCTTCTTCCAAGTCATTTAGGTTCGAAAGACCCCTCAATTCAGTTTATCACTATCACTAATATGTGAATTATTAATTAGTCTAATGTCGACGTTCATCATGGACTACATGATATCTGTGATGATCTTTTTGCGTGCAATACATTCTGCGCATATCATCCTTCCCATCTCATTTTCCAATGGACAGCGAGATGTCGAGTTTGGCACTATATATAGATTTTCACTTAGCCACCGTTCGACTCTCAGACAATGCTGCACTTGTAGCAATTACTCAAGGGTCCCCATTTCGCTAATGGGATGGGTACATGGTACATAATGATTACAATGGCGCATTATTGGAATTATGAGGTACAATGAAAAGTAATGGGAGGTTACAACAAATGGGTATGCTATATTCAAGCGGACATTCAAATTCCACGGGGTGTTTCCCGACCAGTAATTCTCAGCCGATCTACTAGGTTCAACGCTAATTAAGCAACCAAAAATCTCCTTGATCGAGGGGCAATGTAAGCATAGAATGCAGGGCTCAATTGAGGAAGCCTTTGCAGCCAGTTGAACCACAAAGACAGGGGATTCTGTCATCGCTGTCCCATTCTCTTTCGAACTTGTAGTCATAAGTGAGCTCTTCATCTGTGGGACAGTTAGTCGACCAGTACGGAATTGATAATCAAAGATTTGGGAGGCTCACCACGTTCGATATCCCGCAAAGCATATATGACAATCCTTTTGCTTCCGTCGACTTTTATGATCTTGGCAGTGCAATTAGGCGTACAGCTATGATTAATAAATCGAGCAATACCCCCTCGTTTTGTGGCATCTATAACTGTGTTTTCGTCGATACGAAAAAGATAGCTGCTGCCTATGCCACTCTTCAGGTACTGTCTCTCTCTCATGTCGGCAACCTGCTGCCGTACTTTTTCCCCCACATATTCGATGATCATGTCATTTGCGGAGATGTTTTCCTCGGCGTAAAGACCCCAATTATGGATTGCTGATCGAGCAAAGCGAACCGGTTTCTTTCGCTTTTTCAATTGATTAAATCGCAGAACGTCGCTGTCGCCGCTCTGGGTGGGAAGAGCCTGTTTTTGTGCATTTATGTCCGCAATGAGCCGACGATTGTTCACCCGTGTTGACCTAGATGTCGACTTAGAGATGGTCTTCGCTGCAGCTATTCTTGCAGCTTCGGCAGCGACAGTATGGGGGTCGTCCTTCGCTCTAGCCTCGCGCTCTTCTCGGGCTTTCTGGACTTTGATTCGATGCGGTAGGTATTTTGATTTCTCGGATTCCAGTATCTTCTTCCTCCCCTCGGTTCGAGCCGACCCTGTTGTATTCGACACGTAGTAGCCGTGAATGGTAGTTTGCTCATGCACTGGGCCGGTTCCTCTGGGACGGTTCAGAGTTTTGATCTCCTTTTGTCTCCATGCCCATGCTGCGAGATTACCAACACTGGCCATAGGGTGTTGGGTTAAGATGTCTTGCAGGAAACGCAAATCTTCCTCGTCCTTTATGAGGTTCTGCCAACCATCGAGATCCATGATCATAGCATCATCGTCTTCTGTTAACGGTCGTGGTTCATCATATGAGACCTTCCATACAATCTCCGCTTTCAACCCGTCAAGCAGCCTTTCATTGTCACGCTCATCAATGGGAAGCACTATGCCATGATGATCATCTCCGTACACAGGAGATTCGGTATCGACCCTTTCGACACTGGATGGGCTTGTTTTCCCATCCTGCTTATCGGGGTGTTCTGCGCTCTCCTGGGTTTCTTTCTCTTCGATAGAACTCGTCGGTTTCCCCCAAATTAGATTTCTATCGTCAGCCACGTGTAGAGTAGAGATACTACCCACATGATCGTTAGCCGTTCCTGTTGTCGGGTCAATGCTGAAAAGTTCGCCGTCGTCCTTCTGCCTCTTGTGTGCCGTGAATTCTTTGCTGTCCCTTTTCCTCTTGTGCGATGTGAGTAAATTTTCTTGAGCTGATTCGTTTTGAAATACGACATCTTCGGAAACTTCGATAGTGCCATCCCGGTTTGAATCAATCAAATTCTGGACCACTGATATATTTGATGGCTCAGAAACAAACCCATCATCATCATCATCATCATCGGACTCTAACGATGCTGAACTGATCCGGCTAGTTCGTCGGCTGTCTTGCTCATCTGTGTCTCTGGTAAACGGCGTTCTTTGTTCATCATCCGAGTCTTCCACATCATGAAGTTGCTGAAGACGATGATAAAGAGGTCTAACTTCTTTTCTTCGTAAAGGCTGCTTGCGCCTTTCGTCCAAGAAAGCGGCATTAGTTGGGTCGAGGCGCCGAGCCTTTCTGATGCGTGGAAGCGCGAGTATGTTGAGATTGGAAGTAGTGAAAGGACCCCGATCATTTGCTAACTCGGAGCGCGAATCGGAAGTGCCGAGTGAACTGTCAACATCGACCTGAAACATCGGCCTCTTAGCTCCTTCTGGATCAGCAATGCCGAGTTTTTTCCTCTTTGGTGCATGGCGATCAGGATCGAGATAATCGTAAAGGGCTGGAGCAGCAATGCGCGACTTCACGTCCTCGAGCAGCTTGTCTTTGAGGTCTCGTACTATGATGAAAAGCACCTCCTTGCAAGGATCCAAGTCAAGCGCTCGTTGCTTTTTCTCCTCTTCAATGTCCAAGGTGGCTTCTTTCTGCAGCCTTTGAGCTTCAGCCCGCTCACGTTGCTCTGCTTGGAATCGTGCGGGACTCGGGCTTCGTTCGTATGAGGGATTACCATAGGGCTGACTTTCCATATTCATGATATACGTGAACAGTGGTTTCATATGGCACATCTTATAGCAACGTTCTGTCTCTTCCTCGCCGCGCCGAGAGTTCTCGAACATGATATAATATCCGGTTTTATCGCAACGAATGTCTTTCCAATCGAATAACTTCAATCTTTTCTTCAGATGCGGCACTGTTGTGCTGAGAACCGGGACATAGCAGTGTGCGATGAAAATATATGGGTCGCGTTTTATTTGACTCAAGATCGGTGTCTCTTCAACTAGCGACGTCATAGTAGGCTTGAAAAAAGTCGCCCTCGGTCCTTCTGGTATCGTAAGGGGCCGCATTGATGATCTACCAGAAGGACCTTTCGGCGCGCTTGGTGGGGGCTCGTTGTTCTTTGCTTGGGGTTCGACTTTTGTTTCCTCGGACGCCGGAACATTGCCCTTTGGAACGACTCTTTGCAAATCGACTGTTTTGGAGACAATTCTCTCGGTGACGGTCCCATCCCTATCCAGCTCAACACGGATTCGGCGGGTCCCAATACGCTGGTCTTTTCTGCATTCATAGTAGGCACGCCGAGCTGCCGTTACTGCGAGGACCGGACCACCACCTCTGAACGACCCGCTGTCTTTGTATTTCACAGAACACACCCCGAGGAATCTTCCGGTTATAGGATCTGTCCGGTTATTGATTTCCGATATGTCTCCGAAGCTTGTAAACAACGCACTAATAGGCGCAAGGGGAGTAAGAGGATCAAATCCGGTGACAACGATTTGTACTGGAGGTCCCGGTCCTAGTGTCGAGGTTGAATCGTAAGGCCAGTGTTTCAAGTTGTATGGTGCGGGTCGGTATTTCGTCTTTTGTTTACATCCAGCACCTTTCGTGTAATTTGATATTGAGAGGCGGGGATCAGTCTGTTCGTCATCCTGCTTTTTAGGTAGAATTTCCGCATAGCGAGGTTTCCTCCGCTTCTCCTTTGAAGACGAACGTTTTTCAACGTCAGGATCGTAGATAAGTTTGTAGCCCCTGATGCTCTCTAGGCGGCGGCCGTGTGATTCGGGTGTTGGTGGGGTGTGTAGAGGCGTCATGGCAGGCTTTTGTTCCTCGCATCCAGAGAAGGAGTGATCCTCTGCAACACCATTCCTCGTCTTATTTTGGGGTGGGCTAGATTTATGGGGTGGCGAGGATTCTGTATTTGTCAATGGTGTGAGGGTATCAAAGCGCCCCTCATATAGATAGGGAGCGCCATTTTGAAGGGCAGATGAGCTGGGTGCTGTAGGACCCGTGTTTGCAGAGCTTGCGGGTCCATACCCGATGGTTTCGACTGACGTCTTCTTCGGTTCTGCGTGAGAGTCTGCAGGAATACCATCGGCGGCTGGATTGTGAGGCTGTTCCGATACAGCAGACTGCACAGCCGGCTCACCACTTTCATCATTTTCGAGTTGCGGCTTTGGTCGTGGTCGGTCTCGGGTGGTTTTGATCCGTTTTTGCTGGAGGACCGACGGAGCCGTAGGGAAGAAGTCCGCAAAGCCTGCCGAAGAGCGAGACATATTGAAAGGTGGCTACTAGCCAAAACCAAAGCAGCCGTAGTTAAATGGTAGCATCCTTGAATATAACCTATCTGGTATTAAGTGGACATTAGGCCAGGGGATATTTCCTGACCCAGACAGCGCGCGGCGGGTTGACTCTGAGTTGAAAACGAGATTGGTTTCTAGGGGAATCGGGAGGAGGCTAGATTGGTTGCGCTGACGGATAATCTTGCCAGAGTTCTGTTTGATAGGAAAACTTCAACGACAGCAATAGAAGCAACGGAAAGGAAATGGTTGATGTGTGAGAGGCAGAGGAATTTGGTAATTCAATGAAAGTTGCGCCCGGTCCGATCGGTTACTCTCCCTACCACGGCAGTGAAAGGGAGAGGAAGGGAACATAATCACAACACAAGTTGTAGGATTTGTCCAATTCATTTAATTATAGTGATGATGAGAAGCTGCTAATATTATTTTTTGATCAGTTGGCTTTTTCAAATTATTGATGTGCACATATTATTATTTTTTCTGCCAAAATAGAAGACAAAAGGGTCCTAACCACTTGCGAAAGGTTCTAGATTCTGCACATTAGTACTTACAGTTCATGATAGGATAGATGCGTGCTTGGCTGGAATTATCTAGAAAATACAGGCCTCTAATCAGCAGCACACTACACCTTCTTTCTCCATCATATTTCGTTTTCAAATTTGATCCTTGGGACCACGGTATACTTTTTCAATAAATATCGGTATATTCTAGGTAGTAACTCTGAGGTATGGGGGCTTTTCGCAGCATTCGAGGTCTGCTTTGCCTGTTAATCAGCTAGTTTCTACTAACAGCATCTGGCAGTGCAATTGACTTATGATAACATCCAACATGGTATACTGTCATTCAAGCCAAGCTAAATCATCAGTTGACTAAGCCAAGTATCCTACATTCAAAGTACACAAGAAAAGACCTGACATGACCTGCAACCACTACACATCTTAGACAGGTGAATACTGTAACCGAGGTTTGGAGTATATTATGTCTGTAGGGTGATACATTATATATTCAAACATATAGACCGGGTCAAAAAGGAAAAAATCATGTCTACACTCGAGGACCCATGAAAAGTTGATATGTATTCTATAACTAATTACCGTGGAGATCATGACCATTGACATACCCTCTTGCCAGACACTTGTTGATACTTTGGCCAATCAGCTGATAGTCAAGCTCACAATACCTAGGCTAGATAATCTTGACGAGTAGCATAGAGCGGCTAGGAGTTTTGAAACACAACTGCGTCTTATACCAAGTAAACAGAGTATACATTGTCACAAAATGTATATCATCGCGGGGTATGCCACAGGTCCTGCTTGAATATCCTCGTCCATCAAACCTAACAGATACCTGGTAGTCTGCTGTAATGATCCGTGTTCTGTCGAGTGCAAATCATATGAGATACTTTTCATTACCTTTATGGTATCCCCCCTGCCATATATTATATTTAAGTAAGTACAAAGGTGGCATACCTACAGGCTAGTCGTAGCGTAACCCTGACTACTAGTCACTATTCTTTGTGGCCATTTAATTTTCGATATTGGGCCTACCAGTAGCAATATGAAGAACAGTCTGCTGCATTCCTTGTACAGAGCCTGTTATATTAGATAATATGGCATGATAATTCATCAAATATGAGAATATAGCAAATGTTACTACTCCGTAGTAAGTATGTTATATGCCAGGTATAGGCTCGAGAGATAATCCATGACTAATAACATAAGTGGTCTAGCAATGCCCAAAGCAAAACAAACCAATGGACTAGCACTGGGAACTTGGCGTCCTATCTCTAACCAGTTTACAGATGTTTTGGAATATGGGAAATGGAAGGGAATCGGAAGAATGAGTACCAAGTAGTGGTGTTGGTCAATTTTCGATCCTGGGGTTTACTAACTAGTAGGTTGGAAATATGCCATAATTAGTATCCATCGGTAATAGGAAAGTCCTATATCCTCAAAGCTCGACGCTATCAATATAGACTATACTATAATAAGTTATCTTACACTACTCCGTATAAAAAAGACAAGAAAAAAAGACAAAAAAAGAGCGCAATGTTCACGACTAACATGAGTCGTTATATTACCAGGGGGGTTGTGGTACTAGAAACAAATAATATCAACCCTGGATAGGTACACGCAATGACATAATGGAAACAACTAGGAAGATCAAAATATCCACATACAATAAACTTACCCTTTATATTATTACTAACACAGGACCAAGAGTGCTAGGAACTAGTTTGATATAAGCCTCAGGTAGAAATAGTTCTGAAACACAAGGTCCAAGGTAGAATGTACGACACATATAGGTAGCCTGGATGGGTGGACCATACCCAGAGATAGGTGTAAAATATACGTTTGTATCGGATCCATTTACCAGTAATTCGTCCTACTTGCCAATTTGACTACCCGACCCACTAGCACAAAATATACCCATGGCCAGTATAGTCCCATATCAAGCTGCTATGAGAGCTACCAGGGGTGCACATCATGTAGAGCTGCGTAGAGTCCTTGTATATAGTTGCATCGAACCGTGCTGGCTGATTTATAAATGCGATGTAGGGTTCGTATGAAAAAAACGACGTAGACTTTACTTTGCGAGACCAATTGGGAGGGTTGTTATATGGAAGAAAGATTGCTTGTAAGAATAGAAATTGTGCAGCTTGTTCAACAATGAATCATATTACTATTATTAACCCTCCTAAAGAAAGCAAAACATGTATAGAGTATGACTAGTTCTATATTCTAGGTATATTTGTCTCATATGTTGATGGTAATGCCGGATTCCTGCCCCACAATTATTATTTTTAGGATGTAGGACCGAAAGACAGGTCGGTACCAATAAATTTCACGAATACAGACAATAGGCTAGCCTGATCCCAACTTAACGTATCCTTCGCATTTTCCCATCCTTGATTCCTTAATGTACCTGAAATTTACTACGTGGTTCTGTCAGTTATGGCTTAGATAAGGGACTTAAAAAATAGGTAAAGTGCCTCAGCTACAACATTGTCAGTACAATAGTCCTGCGTAAGAGCCATGGCCAAATAAGTAACATCCATGTCCCCATTCTAAGACGACAACACACACGCATATATTTTGCAGGGCCTGGCTGACTATTTCAAGATGGCTCAGCTGTAATGTTTCAGCTTATACGTAATCTGATGCGGTATTATGTATGCAGCTGGTTTTCTGTTACTGGATGTATTATTGCCATGGCAGTATTACCAGGCAAATCCCAATGAGGAAAACTCCCTATTGCCCATTAGAAGACAGGTTTGAACAGGAGGTTGAAGAATTTAGTATAGGTTAATAGTTAGTGCTCCAGAAGATCAGCGACTGACTGACTGTATAGGTCCAAGTTGGCTAATAATAAAATGAACAGTGTTATTTTTGACATGCTAAGTGGGGACTCTGAACTGTTAACAGCCGATCTTTGCTATGTATCCATCAAATGGGGGATTATTTTAAGCCGAGTCACGGGTGAGACATTCTGAGAAACTGTGTGAGGCGTGGGGAATACCATTGGCCACCGCCTCTTTGTTCGCCGTGGCCCATATTATTCACTAGTTGGTAGGTACTAGTACTAGCTTCCCTGGTCTGTGTGTGGGCCGATCACAAACATAAAACAACAACAGCTCCCCTCCTTTCCCACTTTGCTGATTGTCGATCTTCACACACCTTCTTGTCTCTTGACCTCTTGCTTCCTACAACATCATCTCTCATCTACCCGCAATACATCCCTATCATCACACCTACCGGTTTATCTTGTGTTCCTCTCTCCCAGTGTCGGCTTTCAAGGTGATAGGTTCAAAGATCCTGTACCTGTCCCCTGAGGTCCCTCATACTTGTAGTTCGAGTCCCTTCACCTTTCGAAACCAACGATAATCTGTTTTGGCTGCCCCCTTGCATAACAATGTGGTATGTTCTCGAATCTTCGAAGATTCATTCGCGTGGCATGCACAGCGGATCTAACATACTACAGTGGTATCTTCGGCTACATCAACTACCTTGTGGAAAGAGACCGCAAGTTTGTCCTTGACACTCTGCTCAATGGTTGTACCCCCCCACCCCCTCCTTCTTTCTCCGCCCAAAGATCCCCGCCTACTCCTGCGCTCCCGCAATCCAATATGTGTATAATTACTGACGGGTTACAGGCCTCTCGAGACTTGAATACCGAGGCTATGACTCGGCAGGCCTTGCCGTTGACGGCAACAAGAAGAATGAAGTCTGTGCATTCAAAGAAGTTGGGAAGGTTGCCAAATTGAAGGAGCTCATCGAGGAGTGCAAACCGGATTTGACAAAGACCTTTGAGTCTCACGCTGGCATTGCTCATACGCGCTGGGCGACTCACGGCACACCTTCACGTCAAAATTGCCATCCTCATAGGTAAGATAAATTGACTCGCGATCATCTTGATAATGTTGCGCTCCACACGCTTGAGGGGTTCGAAGGCTAATGCATACTGCTTCTCAATGGATAGGTCTGATCCTAATTGGGAGTTCTCTGTTGTCCATAATGGGATCATTACCAACTACAAGGAACTGAAGGCTTTGCTGGAAAGCAAAGGCTTTCGTTTCGAAACCGAAACCGACACAGAATGTATTGCCAAATTGACAAAGTACTTGTATGATCAGCAGCCCGACATCGACTTCACGGTATTGGCAAAGGCGGTCGTGAAGGAGCTGGAAGGAGCCTTTGGTCTCCTCATCAAGTCTGTACACTACCCCCATGAGGTCATTGCTGCCCGGAAGGGTTCACCACTCGTCGTCGGCGTGAAGACCTCGAAGAAGATGAAGGTCGACTTCGTCGATGTTGAATTCTCAGAAGAGGGCGCTCTTCCTGCTGAGCAAGCCTCTCAACATGTTGCCATGAAGAAGTCCGCCACTGGGCTGCTTGCTCCTCCCGACAAGTCTCTTCTTCATCGATCGCAGTCCCGTGCTTTCCTCTCCGATGATGGAGTTCCCCAGCCCGTGGAGTTCTTCTTGTCCTCCGATCCATCTGCAATCGTCGAGCACACAAAGAAGGTTCTGTACCTCGAGGATGATGACATTGCTCATATCCATGAAGGACAGCTCAATATCCATCGACTTACAAAGGATGACGGTACCTCCAATGTTCGCGCCATCCAGACAATTGAACTTGAACTCCAGGAGATTATGAAGGGTAAATTCGACCATTTCATGCAAAAGGAGATTTTTGAACAACCAGAGTCCGTGGTGAACACCATGAGGGGTCGACTGGATGTTGCGAATAAACAAGTCACCCTTGGCGGTCTTCGACAGTACATTTCCACTATTCGTCGCTGCAGGAGAATCATCTTTGTTGCATGCGGAACCAGCTACCACTCGTGTATGGCCGTGCGTGGCGTGTTTGAGGAGCTTACTGAGATCCCCATTTCCGTGGAGCTCGCATCCGATTTCTTGGACAGACAGGCACCGGTTTTCCGGGATGACACATGCGTGTTTGTTTCTCAATCTGGAGAGACTGCCGACTCGCTCATGGCTCTTCGCTACTGCCTTGAACGGGGTGCCTTGACTGTTGGTGTTGTGAATGTTGTGGGATCGTCTATTTCTCTCTTGACCCATTGTGGTGTGCACATTAATGCTGGTCCCGAGATTGGTGTCGCTTCGACTAAGGCATACACCTCCCAATTCGTTGCCATGGTTATGTTTGCACTTTCCCTTAGTGAGGATAGGGCCTCGAAACAGAAGAGACGGGAGGAAATCATGGAAGGCCTCTCGAAGGTTTCTGAACAGTTTAAGGAGATCCTGAAGCTTAACGACCCTATAAAACAGATGTGCGCAAACTTTTTCAAAAATCAGAAAAGCTTGCTTCTTTTGGGACGAGGGAGTCAATTCCCAACCGCACTGGAAGGTTGGTGAATCTTTGAGGACAATATTCCAAATTACTTGCTAATTCAATCTCCAGGTGCTCTCAAGATCAAGGAAATTTCTTATCTCCACTGCGAGGCCGTGATGTCTGGTGAACTGAAACATGGCGTTCTTGCTCTGGTCGATGAGAATTTGCCTATAATCATGATTCTCACTCGAGATAATATTTTCATCAAATCAGTTAATGCCTACCAGCAAGGTAAGTCAGCCCATTTTGACGTGTTTTATTACAACAAGTTATTAACAAAACATAGTCATTGCCCGAGGTGGTCGCCCTATCGTGATCTGCAATCACGATGACCCCGAGTTTTCCACTGCGCAGACCGAAAAGATTGAGGTTCCGAAGACTGTTGATTGTCTTCAAGGACTTCTGAATGTGATCCCCCTGCAGTTGATTGCATACTGGCTCGCCGTGCTCGAGGGCCTCAATGTTGACTTTCCTCGCAATCTGGCCAAGTCGGTTACTGTTGAATAGGCTCGGTTCGCTGCCCAGGCCTAATCATAGGTGTATTTGCATCTACTGCAGTATCCATGCAAACTCGTGGTAGTATTTTTCTGTCATCCTTAGCATTTCCCCTGTAATGACATTGGGACTATAACGTTTGAAGTTCCCGATTCAAGACTGCTTTTGTATTGCTCCTTCGAGCCGCTGCGCGCATATGTTGTGATTCTTTTTTTGTTTCTTCTTACTTTTATTTTTTTATGTCCACCCTGCTTGCTTTCAAACGAGGCCGGGCAGTCTAGCCACCAACTGAAACAATGAGTATCCGGGATTACTCACCGTACATAGAATTTTTGATTGGTGCCTTTATTCATGGACGTTCCTGATCTTTTCGAATGAGTTTGCAGACTAAGTCGGTAACGTAAAACCACCGTAAGACCGCACCCATGTTGGAAACTATGTAACTGTACTTTGTACAGCCAGCAGACGGAGGGATCAATGTGGGATCCCCTGATATAGATGCAGATCTTGAGACAATGTTGGACCATCGGATCTAGTATCTGGTTGGCTGGGGACAAACTGCCACAATAATATTTAGTGTGACGAACAAGGACGGTATTGTAGCAGCTCCGAAACAGCGGGGTCGGAAGAGTAATCTACTTTGAGGGAGGGGTCTCCTACTCCCTAGGGCGGCATGCCGCCTTTGCGCTGAAGTACGGCAGTAAAGGGACTCTTCTTCCCCGCAGTTTCTCTAAAGATCCGTCACACCATAACTCAAGGCACGTAACCATTGCTCATAACTTCATTCACGATCTCACTTTACTGATAAAGCCCAGAATTAGCTCTTCGAACCACGCAATCTTTTTAAATCATGACAAGTTTAAAGGGCCCTGGAGCTGCTCCAGAGCTTGATGGTGAGACCCGCCCTTGAAGACCTCGAGATCATTTTTGTGTTTAATGATCAATTGTAGGTTCTGGCTTGAGGATTGCAATAATCCATGGGCGATGGAATATGGGAATCATTGGCCCTCTTATGGAAGGTGCCAAAAAAAGTCTTTTCGCTGCGGGGGTAAAGGAGGAAAACATCAGCATTCACTCTGTCCCGGGCAGCTATGAATTGCCATTCGCTGCTCAACGGTAAGCATATGTCTCTAATCCCCGAAATGATACCTGTCAACCCCCCCCCCCCCCCCCCCCCCCCCCCCCCCCCCTTTATCACCTGGAGCTAAAGGGGACATCTAGAATTTATTCTGCCTCGCAAATCCAGGCAGCAAAAAGCTCCTCTTCGGCCGAAGGTATTAGCGCCACGGACCTCTTGTCTTCCTCCAATGCGGATCTCGGGAAGGCGCCGGCGCAGTCATCCACGGCCGCCTCAACGAAGCCTTTTGATGCTATCATCACCATTGGTGTCCTCATCAAGGGCGAAACGATGCACTTTGAATACATTTCAGATGCCGTGTCTCATGGGTTAATGCGCGTTCAACTCGAATCTGGCGTTCCTGTGATCTTTGGAGTGCTCACTGTGCTGAACGAAGAACAAGCACTAGCAAGGGCTGGTGTTGGCAGCCAGGCAATGCATAACCATGGCGAGGATTGGGGAAGTGCTGCCGTGGAACTTGGGGCGAAAAGAAGAGACTGGGCCGAAGGCAAGGTGGTTTAATTGACAACTCATTGTCATCACCCACAGATTTCAACATTAACAGCATCTCTTTATTATCTCCGTTTCTCATACTCTCGCCATTAAAATCGATCTTGACAACATGTTCAAGTTATCTTGTAAAAATATACCAAGACTCAGGTTATGGAGGTACACGAGGCACAATAGTGCACGGGATAAAAAAGGAAATGTTCGTAATTCTCCTATTCATGTCTGATCTCTGTGCTTAAATCATCGGATTATTCTTGCATCCGTTCACCTTCGTTGCTCTTTGTTCCCTCATCCTCATCCTCATCTTCTCCCTCCAGAGCCCTCTTCGCTGCCTTCTCCGCTTCTTCCAGAAGTTCCTTGGGCACTTCTTCATGTCTGCCCTTGGTTGGACCATCGAGGGAACTGATCCAAGACATCTCCAACTCAAACTCTTTATCTTTGCTATCTTCATGGGCGACATAGATGATTCTAGCTGCCTCCTTCACGGCATCGAGTAAGCTCAATTTTTCAGAGCCGAGGTCTAATTTTTCCAATTCGGCTTTAGCTGCCTGTCTTCCCTTGCCGGTGGCAGCACCGTAGTAGCCCTTGTACAAAAAGTTAGCACAACGCCCCAGTCGCAATTCATTGGGTGTATCTTACCCAGTACAAACCGCTAGGTTCAATCATGTACAAGCCGGGACCCCCGGCCTTTGCTCCTTCGACCTTACCGCCCGAACCTGCGTTGGGTCCAGTGCCGACTTGCCCATCAACAGCTAGCTCGGCTTCGGAGTCCCAACCACCGACAATAGCAGTGACGCCAAAGGGGCGTACGCTAGAATATAGGGTATAGGCTTGTACGTAGCTGCCGAGACGGTTCGATAACGCGGAGACTGGAATAGGTCCTTTGTATACACCTCTCCAGGAAGAAGCTTCGTCTCGAGCTCGCGAAACGAAATGCCGACCATCAGGGACTAACCCAGCCGAGACCTATTGATTGAAGAGAAAAAGAAAAACATCAGCACAGCTCTTTCATCGAGAGAAACTAGTGTATCTGAAACGGGTAAAGCGATGGAGGCCTTACAATGCCAACATGACGGTCAACTGTTGCTATCCTTTTATTCGCGCCCGGCTTGAGTAGTTTGCTTGTGATGATTTTCTCTACAGCAAGCACCACGCCGTCTTTGCAACGAATTCCAACGGCGGTTCCCCCATTCTCGACTGCCTTGACAGCATATTCCACCTAGGACGTACTATTAGAAGACCGAACTTGTTGGGGCGGAGGACTTCATTACCTGGAAATTCCGGCCATCGGGAGAAAACACCGAATTCGAAAGATCATAACCAGTACCGATGGACGTCTGCATTATGTTAGCATCGTTTTCTAGATGCCAATGACCATCATGCAACAGTGTGAACCGACCATGGCTCTTATGCTGTATCTACCCTAGATGCGGGACAATCACAGCAGCACCTTTGAGAGGGTTTGCGAATAATCAAAGAGTGCTAATTGCAACGATGCTAGATGTTTCAAAAGCTGGAGAAAGAATTGCGAAGGGCAGGGAGCTAATCAATTTGTAGACAATGGGGGCGGCCGTTGGTTGTTAGGTAGGTAGGTATCTAGCTTGGTAGGCACACTCTAACCAAGCTTACCGGACAACAGCTGACCTGAGTGATCGCGTCACGGGTTCTGCCTTCTTGTAGTCACGTGATCTAACGTCACAGCCTCCCGTTGCTCCAGTCAATACGGTATAGAATTCAAGGCTACTGGTCTCCTGTGTCTTATTGTATTGATAAATGGGCAACGGATTTCACACTCGGTTTTTAGGCTCTCGCGTATGATATTAGCGAGATTTAACCAGTTGGGTTAATGATGGTTGCATCCTGGGACAGTTATAGCAACAACGAAATCATGACCAAGGTGGTCGATTTCGAGATATATAAATGTACGATAATCCACAACGCCGCGGTAATGCTTGGTTCCAATGCCCTTTTTTACACCATTCTGTGGCATCTTCAAGAACGTTCAGACACATATCCCAGGTTCCTTGATTAGAATCGCTCTGGACAAGAGACCAACTCTCATGTATGATTAAAAAAAAATCCTACTGATGAAACTGGTTATCTCTACTGTCTCGCTGCTAGCACAGTGCTATCCACTGCCAGATAGGGCGGGTCAATAGTAGTAGATATAAAAGAGAGAGAGTGAGAAGAGAGGGGTGCTTGGAAATGAGCGTGCTCAGAAATGGACCATGTACCAGATCAAGATCCCCATAGAACAAGAGACTTGTGTTTACTGTACTATAGGTTTCAGATATTCAGACACTCTTATGAATGAAGTGGGAAGTTGTGTAGATGGGTCACTGGGATTTCTGTTACTCCGCTTGTTCATGTAGATTCGTCCATGATCCGGTGGAATGGTGCCCGATATGGTACTTACATAGGCTTGGGTACTTGGGCATCTACAGGCTTCCAATCTTCTGCCAGTCAAACATACCTTTCTCGTTTACCTCAATGACTCAAGTAATGCTTGCTATTTCAAGGCTGTTCCTTTCTTTTCTTCGGATGTATTTACTTTGGTAAAAGCGGAACTTCAATATACGATATACAGACATACATAATCGTTCCCCCAATTCTATTTTTACACAGTTTCTTTATGCTACACATTCTCTTCAGCGAAGACAAGCAATGGCGTCACATCAATTACAAGCCCTTGGAGGGTGCGCAGATACAACCTATCGCCCCGAAGAGAACATTGCATTCCGTTTTGTGAGAACCTTCGTCCCCTCACCTCCCCATTCTTTCTTCTTCACGGTAGTGTTGACCATCATGATGAACAGGGCAGCTCTCCGGTAGCTGATGATAGAAATCAAGTCCAAAAAGAGCTCATTGCCCTGTTTAACAGGCAGATTAATGTCGAAGAAACCCCATCATATGGAGACCAGACAATCCAGTTGCCGCCTTGCAACCAGTCTATATATGATGCCACACAATGTCTCGGCCATTCCCCTTATGCAGCTTTAGAGGAGTGTATGCAACAATTGGCAAATCCGAGTCGTGTGACCATGAGGGCGATTGCGGAAGACTGCCCAATAAACTGTGGCATCGATCCATGGTCTCTTTCAGCCGAGCAGCTCCGGGTATTTCAATATGCGCTTCATGAAAAACGATTGGGTTTTCCTGGAGATCCATCAGCATACCGGGGAGACAGTAACATTGTGGACTCTCCGGCAGTGAAAAGACAACCCTCTGTGGATTTCAAGGTGCACCAAAACGGACAGATATTGAGTTTTGAAACGGCGGACGGTTTGGAAGACCCGTCGCAACTACGCCCTGCTGTTGACTCGGAAGCAGACAACTCACCCCCCGAATACCTAGGTGATGACGATGACTTACAGTACGCAGAATCTTATATGATCGCTGGGTATGAAACACTCTCGGGGACACTGTGAAATACTGGCTTTGGTTGTCATGCCTTGAAGTTCATGAGCAACAGGATAAATATACAAGGCCCGAGGGAACCAAGACAAAGATGGCTAAAACAAAGTACTAAGGAGTTCTAAGACTAGAGTACTGATAAAGGGCTGACGCAATTTCTCTCGGTGTATTTAGGGTTAACAATTAGCTCGCATGGTTATAGATGTGATTCCAAACCATGACCCTACAAATGCATTGACATGTACCTAAGATTATCAACCGTGCTGATTAACGAGATTAAATTAGCCAGTACAATCACCCAATGAGTTAGCAGACGATACGAAGAAAAAGTGACATTTATCTTTTCATTGCATATTGTGCAAATTCAAACCTATTCAAAGACAGTCGCCTATGCCATAAACTTTCTTGCTTCCTATGAGCTCTTGGGAGGACTTGCTCGTCCCTTTACGTTCTTCCTACAATACCCAAATCCAATAACATCTTGTAAAGAGATAATAAGCCACTGGTAATGATCAAACCTGCGAGAACCCATAAATCCACCCATGGTCTGGCACTTGTGCCCACCCGTCAGAAAGAGACAGCGGATGGATCTTATAGACAAACCACGAAGGACAATGGAGAGGGCGTGGCTTGGCAGCGACCGATTCTACAAGATCTATCAGACTGGCTTGCTGCACAGCGCTTGTAAGAGACATTTACTCTGACAACAAGACTAACTGAGCAATGGCCATGGGAAAAGTGAGATTGGTACCTCCCTAGGTGTTAGGTACGTATAAATCAAGGGCAGTGTTTCATAGCCCTAACAATAAGATTCCCAAGCAAAATTCGTCTCTCCTGCGCTTCACTGTCCATATGCTTCCAAATGGACCTCCAAGCCTCCATAAGTTTGTAATTTTCATTATTTTCTGACCCCATGACTGGACAAAAGAGCGTACTACCTTGATCTGGTAACAAGCAAGGCAGGCATAAAAGCAGTCCACATTGTCTTCACCGACCAACGCAGGAACGAAAGAGCACGTGAGGTGAGCCGTATGACACACCTGCTTAAATCGATCTTTGCCGTGAAACATCTCCCAAAAGGATCGCCGAGGACCCCCGAACCGGAGAGAACTGTACACGAAAAGGGAACCGGATTAGGAACACTGGCCACCTGACGCCATTTAATCTGATTGTGGCAAGCGAACCTTTCTATTGCCCATCCTCCTCCTCAAGAGCGGCCATGGCTTCCGCCAGAGCATCGGCAGAACGCTTGACTTCGCCGATAGCCTCGGCCGCTCGCTTGGCCTTCTGGCACCCTTGACCAGGGAAATGGCACCATGTGTTGACGGCTTCAGGGTCGGGCATGGCTTCGGCCAAGGCTTCAGCAGAACGCTTGACGGCACCGGTGGCATCGGCCGCACGCTTGAGCATGTAGCAGCCTTGGCCGGGGAAGTGACACCAAATCTGCATGGCGGCACCCTGTACAGTGGTGGCAGCAAGCGAGGCAAGGACAAGGGTAACGAGCTTCATGTTGTCGGGTGGGTCAACTGAGGCAGGAAACTCGAATGAAATTATTGATGGGTTCTAGCAAGATGTTCACAAGATGATGTTTTTTGGTTTTTCCTGGAGGATGTGTCTACATTTCAACGACATCTGGAAGGACTTATATAGTTACTCAACCATCGAACCGTCCAGAGCCTGAACGAACATCTCATTGAAGAATGACAATAACCCTTATTGATGCATGAAAAAGGGAAATTCCGCCACGAGAAAAGGTAGCAAGGGCATGTCAGGAGCGCCTGTCATTCAGGCAGTACACCAAGGATATCTATTGATTTACCAATTGGTCACGGTATGGGAGTCTCACCCGAGTCTCGTTTCTACAAAGAGGGTCCGTCATGGCGTCGATTGCCAAAAGAGAATGGTGCCTGCAGGCCAGGGCCAACCCCCAGGCCGTAGAGAGAGCATCACTTGGATGATGAATGGAGAGTCGAGCTTGTGCCTCCTTACATTCAATAGACCCACTCATCATATCTTTCATGAGGCATAATTGGGCTATGCTGGTGTTGACGGATCCGTGGCCAAATAGGGCTGTAGTCGGTCTTTCTTTGAAGTCATCAATGGATGGCATGCCTGGTGCTAGTCGAAAAAGGGCATCAATAAGGGTAGTAAAGATGTGTCCGATGCCGGGTGAATTAGGCTTATGATAGAGTAGCCACGTGCTTGGTCGAGTGAAGATCCCTAAGAAGACAACATTTTAAAGTATACTGGAGGGTTGATTTGACAGCGTCTAATTATTGCAGATGTATGTCTTTTGATACTGGGATATCGTTTCCCAAGTAATGATTTCATCAGTCAATACACGGGAGAATACTGTAATGTTGGGTAATCAAGCACTGCCCCCTGTTACCGCGATGTTCAAATTAAGATAATAGAAAATACCAAGTCAATTGCTGTATGAAATAGTAGGGCTCAAATCGGCCAACCCATTTGGAGCATCTCTTACCTACAGTAACATCCTCCACTGCCACATCGTATCCTGTACAAACCCCGTCATCATGTCAGGGTCAAGCTAGAGTGGCGACTGGTTTTCTGACTAAAATCCTCCCGAGCCAAAGATAAGATCGGACCGTAGATTGACCGTATCATAGTGCCGCGACCATCCGCTATTTTTTCCTGTCTCGTGTATCAAATCCCTGGACGGCCTAGGCCAACTGACTATTTTCCTTCGCTCCGCCGGCTCCGTCCTCCCGTCTCTTTGTCCTCCCCCCCTTCCTTCTACCGTGCACATCCTGCTCCGGCTCTATTCAATCTCCTCATATCACCTTTCTTTCGATTTAGATACTTCCACCTCTTCCCGAAAATGTTTTCGCTGAGGGCAGCGCGACCTGCGCAGGTAAGAATTTGAAAACCACCGTGGTTCGTTTGTGGACTGTTCGGTGTTCTCTCACCTTTTTTTTCTTTCTTTTTTTCTTTTTTCTTTTTTTGCTCTCTGTTCTTCAATCCTGCAGGTCACCTACTTTGCCATTGTCCCCACAACGTTGTGAATTCTTCGTCTACTTCTTCTTTCCCTCGTTCTGTTTGGGTTGTACAGCGCAATTGCCTTGTTTTCTATATTCTTTTCTGGTTGATTCCTTCCGGCATTAGCATACTATCTTACGGAGACCCACCCCTTCTCTCATCGTCGTTTATATATGCATTGACTAATATGGCCATGGTGGTCAGTCTTTCCTGCACCGCGCAACGGTGTCTCCTAGCATTGCCCGGTCTTCGATCCCTGCCCGATGTATGGTTTACCCTTCGGTCACGATTTTGCCCAGGTTCCGCCGTTGTTAACCCGAAGCAGCTTTCGCTAGCGTCTCATCGGACATCTTTAAGCCCACCAAGTATGGTGGAAAATACACTGTTACCCTGATTCCAGGTATAGATCACCAGTCCATGTTCTCCCTACGCGATTGTTCCAGACTCGCTGACGCGCTTTTTTCGCCTTCGCAATCAAGGTGACGGTATCGGTGCCGAAGTTGCCGAATCGGTCAAGACTATTTTCAAAGCCGACAATGTTCCTATCGAGTGGGAACAGGTAGACGTCAGTGGCGTTGATACGGGAAATAAGCATTCGGAGGAACTTTTCAAGGAGTCTATCGCGTCGCTCCGTCGCAACAAGCTGGGCCTTAAGGGTATCCTGTTCACTCCGGTGGAACGCTCCGGCCATCAGTCTTTCAACGTTGCTCTGCGCCAAGAGCTCGACATCTTTGCGTCCATCGTCCTCGTAAAGAACATCCCGGGCTACAAGACACGCCATGAAAATGTCGATCTCTGCATCATTCGTGAAAACACCGAGGGAGAATATTCGGGTCTTGAACACCAATCTGTGCAAGGTGTTGTCGAGTCGCTTAAGATCATCACCCGTGCCAAGTCGGAACGTATTGCCAAGTTCGCCTTTGGATTTGCCCTTGCGAACAACAGAAAGAAGGTCACCTGTATCCACAAGGCCAACATCATGAAACTGGCCGACGGTCTGTTCCGCAGCACTTTCCACAAGGTTGCTGAGACCTACCCCACTTTGGAAGTTAATGATATGATCGTCGACAATGCGTCCATGCAAGCTGTCTCGCGACCCCAACAATTCGACGTGATGGTGATGCCTAACCTTTACGGTGGCATCCTTTCCAACGTTGGTGCCGCTCTTGTCGGCGGACCCGGCTTGGTTCCGGGCTGCAACATGGGCCGCGATGTTGCCGTGTTTGAGCCGGGTTGTCGCCATGTCGGCCTCGATATCAAGGGCAAGGACCAGGCTAACCCCACTGCCATGATCCTCTCTGGCTCCATGCTTTTGCGCCACCTGGGTCTGGATGACCACGCGAACAGAATCTCGAAGGCCGTGTACGATGTAATTGGTGAAGGGTAAGCACAAGACCCCAAAGAAACGAAATTTACAATGGCATCCGTACTGATTGAGGAATTCTTATAGCCACACGAGGACGCGTGACATGGGTGGACAGGCTACAACCCACGAATTCACCCGGGCCGTTTTGGATAAGATGGAGACTTCCCTGTAATTTGGAAGGGACTGCTAGCTTTTATTGTGTTTCTAGTTTCGATAGAAGAGGGCTTGTATAGGATGTTGCTGGGAAGTTGCACCGGCTACCCTTGAATCGTGCGTAAATAATTTGTATTATCAATGATTCGAATAACATAAGATGCCAAATTGTACGTTCAGTATAAAATAGTCTTTTTCAGCTTTGCAAGATGAGCTAAGCCTTAGCATATTGTATTTGTAGTCTGTAACGTGGCAAAAGGCGACTAATTTCCTAAAATTATTCGACAATGCTGACCCAATGTTGGTTTATTCTGTTTTCTTCGCGTGTCCACATCAAAGAGCACGTGCTGCGTGTAATCCCCGGCCATGAAACTTGAGGTGTTCTAGACCTGTTTTCTAGACCACGCTTAGCGTTCATTGAGACATGTAGCCCCAAGGAATGAGGGAAAATAGACGCTCTAAAAAAAAAAAGAATCCGGACACTGCTTGTCAACGGCATCTGAGAGCAAAAGACCTGAGCATGTGCGCCGATGGCGCTAGCGTTACTGATAAGACATTATCGCCTTAACGCGTCAGTGAACGATGCGGTACACGGCCAAAGCTGGTTTCACCCCAGTGGTGGAATCAGCTTTTTGAAATTGAGATTTCCCGGCCCCGAGAGACCGTGCCGAAGCGAGTACGAAGACTGCAAGGACCAAACGAAGGACCTGAGCTCAAAATGCAATCTTCCTCTTCCTTCCAGTATATTTGGAATTCGCTTTGACGATTTTGCCCTTCTTCGTCATCTGATCCTTCTTCCGCATGATCCAAGCCTTGTCACCCTTTCTTGACAAAGATGCTTTACCATTCTCCATCGCTCTTTTCCTGGCATCCAAGACATTCACGTCACTCATACCGTCAACAACGCCGGTGATATCACCTTGCAGACCGCCCCCGCCAACTGTTAGAACGAGATAAAGTTTGCTGTTCTTTGTGCCGGGGTCGTCTTCGAGAATTCCTGCCCCAAAGCCAGCTCTCATCGCAGCTCCACTGATCATGGTCCGTTGGGCATCGTTTTTCGGGTAAAATTGACAGACAGCACGGCCTCCACGTTTTAAGCTCGAATAGAGACCTTCGAAGAATCGCCGCAGTCGCCCTTCTGGGCTGACGTCGCTTGTTTCCGCGTTGCAAAGCCACTGGATAGCGCTGATGCTGATGGCGGCGTCAAAAGTTCCAGGTCGGAACGGAATTCCTTGGCCGATATCCGCGAGAAATAAATCGCCGGCTACGCCTCGCTGAAGCGCAACGTCAAGCATGCTAGGTGAAATGTCCATTCCGATCCATGTGTGCGGTCCACCTTGTTCGCGGGGTTCTTGGGAGAGGATTTCGCCGGAGAGGCCAGAGCCGCAGCCGACGTCGAGAATGAGGGACGGAGATGACAGGTCGAGGAGTTCGAGGGCTCGATGTGTCATGTCTGATTGAATGTTTCGTATACGAGATGAAGTCGTGTATTTTCGAGATTCATCGTCACCGTAGAATAGGTCCGGAGGCCTGGTTACGTTGTGAATAAACTGTATATTGTTTCCCGGTTGGACATAAAACTTACAAGACATCCTCAGGGCGCGACATGTTGAGTAGAGTCAAATATAGTCAAGAAACTAGTAAATTTGAACAGAAGACCAAGCTAGGTAGATTGGGTCACTGAGTACAAGAACAATCTGCGACTGATATTGCGGGTATGTTTGGAAAGAATTTTGGTACTGATAACAGGCGATCACTTTAGCCTTTATCATTTTTTCTGGCGTCCCTCCGCCCACGATTCCTTGGCATTCACCTGCGGCCTGAGGCACCAGAGACAGCGCCGGATCAGTACGATGGTTCCGCGCCAAGCTGGAACATCCTCGTGTCCCATACAGAGACCAAGACAATCTGTTTGATTCGCGCTCTTCTTCCTGCTGAAGGTCTCTCGAGTGATTTTGACCTTTTCTTTTTATTTCATCCGACCCCCCACCCCCTCTCGTTTCCTTTCGAGATGTGGATCCTGCCACTGATAGGATACGCGGGAGTTATAGTAGGATTCTCATTCCTTACGCTCGCTATAGGTAAGGAACTATACCATGGACCTGAGTAACCGACTCGCTAGATAACGGGTGTGCGGCATAAAACAGTGATGGGCTGACAGACTACCTACTACTAGCTTCCGGCCTCTACTACCTTTCGGAGCTCGTGGAGGAACATACAGTGCTGGCGCGTCGAGTATTAACTCGACTGATATATGGCATCATCTCCGTCCAGATCCTCCTCTTCCTCTTCGATGGATTCCCATTCTTCCTATCCCTCCTCAGCATCGGCTCGCACATAGTCTACGCAAGCAACCTCCGCCGATTCCCCATCGTCAAGCTATCGGATCCCCTATTCGTTCTATCATGCGTTCTCGTCGGCCTGAACCACTGGTTCTGGTTCTGCCACTTCTCCAAGCCACTGCCTGCTTTCCGGGGATCGGGTAATTGGGACCAGTATGGGCCGGGAGATGTCCCGACTTTCACGGAGGTGGCTTCATACTTTGGGCTCTGTGTCTGGCTGGTTCCCTTTGCGCTTTTTGTGAGCCTGAGTGCGGGTGAGAATGTCTTGCCCAGTATGGGGTCCGAGTACGCTACGGGAGAACATGCTGCATCATCGTCGGGATTCCCTGGAAATGCGCTTGCGTCGGACGGGAAAGCGAAGAACAAAGGTATGGCTAAGGCTTTGGTAGACAGTGTTCGAGATTGGGTCAGCGAAAACGGAGAGCTGATGGGGTTCTGGAGGGGCGAGCGGTCAAAACGGTTTTAAGACCTGAGCATGGGTTAGTGAGGAGAGAAGCTAGAAATACTGCTTTTTTGTCACTTGTTTCTCCTGCACCTGTGTTTTTACTTTACGAATCTGAGATCAAGTGTAATATATACATACATACATACATCAGCCCTGTGGGATCGATTGATGTACAGAGTAAGGCGAAACTTATTCAAATGAATAGTTTAGTAAGTTCTATACGAGAGCACAGGAACTTTTGTTACGAGCTTGCAATGCCAGAGCACTTCATTAGAGGTAGATGGATATGAGCCTCGGCCATTCACAAGTCCCAGGGTATCAGAATATGGTGGAACTTGCTTGTGACAATAGACAATGAAATGGATATTATATCGAGCAAAGAGTCAAACAAAATAGCAAGAGACCCCGGTGAACCAGGCTCTGTATAAGGCATAAGTGATATCAATAAGAAAAAAGCATATAATCCATGAACTGCACGGGATATAAACAAAAAAATAGCGTGCAACGGTTAGAATCTGATTATGATTAGTGCAATGGTTCCTGGCCAGGTTTTTTTAGGCTTGTGTTAATTCATTTCACATTCATTCAAATCATGATTGGGTTTTGTCGCATAAGCAGACCCATTGTCTGGCGAATGGAATGCGTGGCGCCTATTGGGTGTGGAGGAATGACAGGGACCACGGTAGGTAGATAGATAGTACGGGAGCGTATTGATGGGCTTCGACTTCTCAAGCTTTTGTCACTGCTAATTAGTCCATCATTCCAGTAAAGATCCTCAAAGGGACACTCACAAAAATCATCGGATTGCTGATGATTCAGCTCCATGAAGAGAAAAGAACTTTCTCTTCTCTTTGCTTTAGCCGAATGGGAATTGTCCATGCTGGGAGATAGCATGCTATTGGTGGCAGGCGAACCCGACCGGCTGGAGTTATGCTTCTCTGGGACGCTGTTTGAATGTTGCCCGTAGCTCGGTTGGACGGAAACAAATCCGGTGTCATTGGCACCATCCCGGGGATCGACGTTTCGACGGAACGTTGTCTGATTGTAGGCGGGAGTCGGTATATCAGAGAACATCTGACGACGAGGGGAACGGATGTCGTCTGGGGAGTTTGGATTATAGGTATTCGGCTCAAGTGTCCCCAAGTTGGAAGTCGGGGGATGCTCAAAGATGTCTTCGAAGTCAGTCAGGAACATCGAGAAGACAGGTGCCGGGATATTTAATGTTGGAGCAAAAACGATCCCGACGTTTCTGATAGTCATCTTATTGACATCAGAGTTGTTGACAATGACAATTAAGAATTGGACCAGCGCCCGTAGCAATGTATAATTCGGTCTCGGGAGTTTGTAAACAAGGAAATTGAAGGCCTGGATTCTCTTGTGTTTTTCCTTAAGGTCTGCAGGAGGGATATTAGTGCTAGATAGAGAATATACTGACAATGCGTCACTTACCAAGGACACGCAAAAATTCCAAATGCAGCTCGCGGGTAAGAACTGTCGCGGGCAGCTCCCGAAGATATTGCTTGAAGAGTGAGGCAATGGCATGGACGTCATAATACTGCTCATCAGCAAGAAAGTCGATATCGCCTTCAGTATTGAACCGTTCCTTGAGTCCCTTTATAACCACATTTGATCCACTCAGACGGAATATACCCTCTTCCAGCTCGGCCTTCTTGGCAGTAAGATACTCTATACAGCGATAAACGACTGCCGGCAGAGCCACATCGACCCCTTGTGGCGCACAAAACTGGACTGCCTCAGCCAAGGGGATCCCAAATACTGGCCGGATAAGCTCTCTCGGGAACCCCGGGCTACTGCCTTGAACCGGTGTTGTTGGAGAGTCGGAATTGGCTTGAACTTGGGATGCGAGATCAAAGGATGATCTTGTACGGAAACCCCAGATGCTGCGCTTCTTCTCTTTAGTGCTGGTCGTTGTTGCCTTGTTGCCCCAGGCGCCGGCATTTTGGATGACTGCACCGTTAGTGGGCGCGGATATGAACTTGCTGGACTGGCCCTGCTCTGAAATAGGGCTTGTCAGTTGGCCAAATTCTGAGTTATCTGTTGATGGTCCTGGTGTGATCAACGAAGGTTTGGGATTTGGCTGATCGATAGATGGCCCAAACACCGGAGGTTCTGCTGGAACGGCACTATCAAAACTGAATCCTTGGACAGTGTCTGCACCATCTAGCTCTGAATTTTCGGGTGCCCTGTTGCCCTTTTTAGGCCCATTTCCAAATAGTTTTGGCTTGCCAGGTGTGTTGGAAGTCGGCTTTGACGAAGCTTGTGCTTGCACTTGCGCTTTGGGCGGTGCAGGTTTAGAGGCCTCGGCTTCCGGGTTTCCGCCGACATGCTCTAGGAGCGCCTCGACCCATGTGTCCCTTTCTTCATCGCTCTCGGCACACAATACGTGACGAACAAGTGCGGAGGAATCCTTTTTCTTTGGTTCCAAGATGAGAAAGGCATGTCGATATTGGTTATCAGTGTCATCCTCGACACCCGAGGGAGGGGTGTTCTGGCCGTTTTGGGACTGTTTACCGATTTGCGCATTGTAAATTTTGATGGTTCCCATATGGGCCCCTCCCGGCGATTCATAATACTTCAACTCAGGGCCGTGCAGCACGAAATACCTTGCTTTCCAACCTCCGAAATTCTTTCCTCGTTTGGTCAGATACCCCTCCTTTCTAGGTTTCCCATCCTGACCGCGAGTCAGTTCGGACTCAGGTTGATTACTACCCTTTAGCAAGCTAGTTTCATCGTCCCGAGCCTCGATTGCATGAGACGAGAGAAATTGGCAAACCACTAGGGCTGCTCTTTCGTCCATGTAAGTGTTGAGAAGGGCTTCAAAGTAGGAGTTCAATGCCGAACGCCGAGCATCAACTTTCGCGGGAGAATGTCCAGTAAAAATGGACCGGTCAGGTAACTTCTCCGAGAATGAAGACACCTGTTTGACTTGTTGATCAAGCAGTGGTAGAGCTGCAATGACCTTTTCAATGCGCCAAAGTTCTGAGTTATTCGATCGCGAAAAGATACTCAGCGTGAAAACAGGTTCTTCTTCAAAAGGTTTGGATGCCATGTAGCTATTTCTCGAAGGCCGAAGGCGTGACGACGACACCTTGACTTGGATCGACGGAAGGGCGTTAGGCGGTAGTAAAAGATCTGGATAATCCGGTGACACTAGTCCCTGGTAAATCCCACTCAAAGTTGAGGGCAGTGACTGTGGACTGTCTACCCTGACAGCCGAATCTATGGATGGCATAGACCTGCTTGTAGCGTCAACAAAGGCGAATGAACTTGACGGCTCATTTGCAATCGCAGAGGGGGTAGATGGCCCCGTAGCAAACGAATCTTGGTATTTTCCACCACGTGCAGAGAGGGCTAACCCTGATACATTGGCATCTGAAGACACAGGCAGAGAATTCAGCGGATTTGACATGTCTCTCGGCATGCGCGGCAACGGTGAGCCAATGGGGCGATCTTCCGGTCTGGGACTGATGGGCAATCCTGGGCTCTTAGGGGCAGTAATGATAGGGTGATCACCAAAAGATGGTGCATGTGCCATGTTGGGACTGAGTGTGAAACCCGAGTGTTTTACTTGTTCGCTCGATGTCGACCTTTGTCGCGGCTCCGAGGCAGACCCAACAAGCCCCGGGAGTACAAGCGATGGATTTCCGTTTTTATCAGGATTACTCGGTGGGTTCGTTTCGTCTGGCAGTATGAAGTCGCGATCTCGATCATCCTCATCCCTCGTCTTTCTCCGTCCGCGATCCACTGGCAACTCGTCCACGGCCAAAATATCTTCGTAGTCGGAATCGGAGTCATATGGTCCAGGGTGGTTTATGGCTGTATGGTCGAGATGATTAAGATTAAGCGGGGCGGGGGGAGGTTTTCGCGCCTGGGGCGATACATTTTGCTGTCTATATTCGGCTTCGGTATGCTCATTCCCGGCAGAATTGGAACTTGTAAGCGAGGTTGGACTTGTCCTTGATAGTTCCTGTCGTGCATACACCAACGTTGGTGGATCTGGGGAGCTTTGTCCTTGCGACCTATCCAGTATTCCTCCCGGGCTGGCTTTTGTATGTCCTTTTCGCAATGCGAGAGATGGGTCAATTTCGTGGAGGTTTTTCAATCCTTCGCTATCAGAACCTGACCGCTTCGCCTCCCCGAGTTCAGACCTGCCCGTGTGTGTGGCTTGGATTGAGGGCGGATTCCCCCCCGCAGTTGTTTGGCGGGCAGCCTCGTCATTGTTGCTTGGGAACTTGTGCTGTGCTTGCGAACCTGGAACAGATGGTAAAGGGGGCGTCGGGGTTTGGAGCTCTTTGACTTTTTTCTTGTAGCGTTCTTTTTCCTTCAAAGCGCGCTCGAGGTCTTTGTTCAGCCCGAGGACCATAGTGCGCTGCTTTTCGACTAATCTCCATAGTTGGGAGTTTTGAGACGCAGCATGGTGCTTTTCCTTCAAAAGATGTATGATGACTGCTTCGGCAGAACCTGCAGTAGCGATGAGGTTCCCGATATCAGCCTGGCTCAACGCGGTCGCATCGAAGGAAGTCTTATGCGACTGCGAAACAGAAGAAAGGGAGGATATCGCGGAGTCGATAGACGAGGTTCGGGGCATTGTGCGCTGGCCCAATACCGTGCGCTCGCCGGTCATCGATCGCGAAGATTTGACGGAAGATATCGGGGAAGACGTCGCTGACTGAACTGACTCCGTTGCGTCCGAATCCTTGCGCGGATTGCTGCTGTCTGTTTGTTCATTCATGTTTCTATCATGCTGCTCGGATTTGCTGGGCAGCAGCGTCGTCCCTGGTGGGCAAGATATGGTCGAGTCCGTAGTCGACGGAGGCGCCGGAAAAGCAGCGTGTGATAGTTGACTTTTATTGGAATAGCTTGCGGAATGAACAATATCCCGTAGTGGTAGATGTTGTGAAAGACCGGGATTTTCCAGGGCAGAAGACTGGGGCTGGGAGCTAGTCCTTGAGAGAGACGGGGTAGGTTTGGTAGGTTTGCGGGGAGAGGCAATGGCAGTAGGCCCGGAAGGCAGGTTGATCAGACGGTCCGATGGTGTTCCAAGATAATCCCTAGGAACGAGGTCGCCTTCCCACGAGGAATGATTTCCAAATGCCAGATGCCTGGCCGAGGGGGAACCGGTAATATCTGTGGGTGATTGCCGTGAATTTCTTGTATTGTCACGACCTTGGTGTTCCTGCGACATGGCTTAATTTAAGAATTGGAGCTGGCATGGTTGAGGAGACGCGGACTAAAAACGGCGAGTCGACGCTAACTACACCCGGGCCGTCTCGAGTAATATAGGGGGGGCGATTCCGTACCAGCATTGATGACCTTCGATGAAGACAAGACTTTCCACATTATAGAGGGGGTAATAAAAAAATAAGGGAAAGGATGAAGGAGAAGAAGGAAAAGAGACCTGTAAATGAGAATGGAAGTGAAAATGATTTTTCGATCACAATAATCAATAAAGTGTGTCTCAATGTAGATATGTTTGCCACATCTTTTCTTTCCCCTTGAACTAGAGTCAAGTGGGGAGAGAATAAAGAAAAGGGGGGCGTGGATGAAGATGACAATAACCCCAATTACAAGGATAATGTGAATATACAATGACAAAAGTCTACACTGATATCAATGGGAACAAAACAATTTCTACCAAAGAAAAAAGAAGAGCACAGTTATGAAGCCTAGCTATTTTTGAGTCAGATCAGTACTTTTCTCTCCTGGCTTAAGTGATAGTACGGAGTATAAAGAATTCCTTTCACAAAGCAAAAACTATTAGAACAACAATAGACCTTAATATATTATATTATTATTCACGCAGTGGGCAAGGGGTGGTCCAAGAGAAAGATATAAAGCCAAGCGAATCCTTCACACGAGCGGCTCACAGCCACTGCAAACAACTACCCAGAATATACAATACCCATCCTGAGGCTAGGTCAAAACATTATATAATATGATATATCTCCCTTCCAGGCCAACAACCAATGCGATGATCAGAAACATGCACACAGAGTGTGTTGTGAGAATGTCCTTTTTCTTTTACTTGCTTTCCCATTCAACTCGTAGGGAGTACATAAATAATTCTAGAACCTAAGTGCGTAATAGAGACCAGTCAGTGCAATCTACTAGTTTCTATCTCAGTCAAGATATCGATGTCAATGAATGGATATCACGCGCAAAAGAAAACGGAAAGAAGAATAAGAATGAGAACCCAGCAATATTGTCTATACAGAAATGCAAATTCAAGACATGTGAACAAGCGGTCTATTGATGCGTCTCACAAGTATTGCCGGATCGGGAAACCTTGACAGTGATGGATAGATGATAGCAATCAACCAGGATATATAACTCACAATTACACTCGGACAACAGAGTCAAGTGCCATGTATAGAAAGAAGGTAGTTTAATTTACCTGATTACTACTGCATCAAGTAAAGCCTCTGGATTGAACATATAAACCAGGTTTATCTTATCACCTTATCACCTTATCGATGGTTGAAGGTGACAACGCCTCCCAAAGGCAGTTTGTACTGTTTGCAGTAAAAATCTCTAAAGACTTCCGCACCCCCACTCCTCTTGACAAAGCTAAAGGAATTTCAGATGATAACAAGGCACTAAAAGCAGATGTACACAAAACCTTAAGTCAATTTAATTCTCTCTTTCAAACCACCACATTCTCCGGGAAAATGCCAGCCCCGACAGGCCTTAAACAGTCGGGCGAACCGACAACAGCCCCCCCGTTCGATACCCTGCAAACACATGGTTGGTCACCTCGACAATTTTGCGAATTTGGCCCGAGCCTCCAAACTAACTGTTTCTTGAAGACCAGAGCGATGAAGTTTTGATCGATACCCAGAACCCCGTGGACAACGGGACGGCGGATTCTGCTCCTGTAGCAGGGTCTGCCCAGGACTCCGAGATGCACATTGATGAAGAAGGACGACCTGTTTTCACTCCCGCCAAAGATGTCAATGGTGTCTACCGTGTTGAGACTCGGAAAGTGCCCGTCCCGCCACATAGGATGTCGCCATTGAAATCATATTGGGCCAAGTCAGTGTGATCTCCCACGAGTACCAGACTGCGACTGACTATTGACTTGCTAAGAATCTATCCTCCACTCGTCGAACACTTGAAATTACAAGTGCGGATGAACATCAAGAATCGGGCTGTCGAGTTGCGAACCTCCAAGTTCACCACAGATACCGGGGCGCTTCAGAAGGGCGAGGATTTCATCAAAGCTTTCACTCTTGGCTTCGATGTCGACGACGCCATTGCACTATTGCGACTGGATGACCTATACATCCGCTCGTTCGAGATCCGCGACGTCAAAGCGTCCCTCAACGGTGAACATATTGGCCGCGCAGTTGGCCGCATAGCTGGAAAGGACGGGAAGGTGAAGTTTGCGATTGAAAACGCCAGTCGGACCAGAGTCGTACTGGCTGACCAGAAGATTCATATCCTCGGAGGGTACCGGTCGATATTAGTGGCCCAAGAGGCGATTGTCAGCTTGATTCTGGGCAGTCCTCCCGTAAGTCATCTCACCCACCTAGGTTGCGTTCAATATTGACAATGAGTAGGGTAAGGTCTACGGAAACCTTCGCAAGGTCTCGGCACGAATGAAGGAGCGTTTTTAGATCATCCTTACTAGCTTCCCACCCCCTTTTGGCGCAGTTCTTTTTTTACTTTATTCTCTGGTCATGGATGTTATGGTTTTTATGGTAGCAATGAACAATAATTGGCATGATTACGAAGGTTTCGCCGCAAATGATCCTTAATCATGAGAGCACGTAAAGTTGATTTGTTAGGCTTGAAGAGAGACAGAACGTGATGCGCATCTGAAACACCTAGTCCTGCTTCAAGGGGAAGTACTTCTCCTCTATCCCACTCTTAGTTATGACCATCATTTGCAAGCCATCTCCGACTTCGATATGTCTCTCCACGGCGCTGGTGAACGCATCCTTCACGAGGTGCTCGACTGTCCCCATCGGCAACAGCTCTTTCTTCTTGGCCTGTAGGTCATGTCCTTCACCACTGCCAGGAATGTATTGGTTCTTGAAACTGACTTGGTTGTCAAGGAACGGCATGATCAAGCTCGCAGCGGAGCCGGCGGCTCTGCATTGTTCCCTCTCGTAAGAGCCAACCGGATCGTAGCTATACAGAGCTCCTTTGCCCTCCTCATCTAACCCAGCCAGGATAGCGGTTACGTAGTAGGGGAAAAACCGCTTCGAATAGAGGATCGTTGACAATCGTTGAGCACAGGCTCTGACTGACATGGGTTTTCCGTGCTGATACTTATACATCTTGACAATGGCGTCTAGTCGTTCCTTGAGCGCGTGTCCGTCTGCTGCGAAGCCCACAACTGACAGGATGATATGGGCGTTATCTCCGGTATCATCTTCGCCACCGATCTTGAAGACCTTCGGGGAGTATCGAGAGTTGATGTTGTATCCAGCGACGGAGCGAGTGTCACCGGCGAGGATAGCAAAGTCCTCGCCTGTGATTCCTAAGGTCGAGCCACCATTGTCGGTGTAACTAGGAGAATGTTTATTAGTTTAATTGTTGCATCAGTTCAAATGATCATGATCATTACGTACGGATAGAACGAGTGCTCTTTGTGTGGTGCAGTGGTTGGAGTACCAAAGGAATATCCGATCGTCCCATTCTGAGACTGATGGCCCATGGCAGACATCATGATTACTGGAGAGTTGTTGTAGAAGGGGCGTAAGTCGTGGAGAAATGGAAATGTGATGAAATCGCTGTCTGCAGAGAAATGTGATCTTCTGTATGGGTATTTGAGATTGGGGAAGCAGTCATGGATTAAGCTGTAGGTAACCTAGGTTCTCTGACGCGATGCCGTGTTAACAGCTCGATCGGCTTATATAATGCGGGCCAATTGGCCCATGCCATAGAACCTCCAGAACCTCATAGATCTGCTTTCCAAGCTGCCCTCTTTTTCTATGAACGTATGTAATTGGATTATTTAACATTTCCTTTATTCGAATCACCGTCGCTTTCATTTAAGCCCCTTATTGAAACCTCTTCGCTCCTCTATCTGACATCGCGTTACCTTCCTCAAGATCTCTTATCTCTAAATTCTAAGCTGGTTCTGTAACCTACGCTGCTCTTGCAACTATGCTAGGTCTTGGAGACTATGAAAGCAGCAGCGAAGATGAAGTTAACGACAAGCCTTCGACTCTTCATGAGGTATATCTAGTCCCATGAGTCTTATTCATGCCCTGATTACACCTCTTAAGCTAAATCTCTTTCTAGCTCGCGCCGCAAGAGCAGCCAAGAGAAGGTCTACAGACGACGGAGGGTCCAGGTACATTGGTCTTCCACTTTTTAATTTTCTACGAATGGAATCTAACGAACAGTAGTGAATCGAGAGGCTCATAGTGGCCAACAAAGTCTACCAGAAAAGAACCCAAATTCGGAACCTCGGGGTCCTATTCTTGGACCGTCTCATGAAGACACCCAATCTACAATAAGCACCTCACTCAATGGACAAACTTCACCATTCCCACCACCTCGTGCATTAATACATGACTTAACACTCCCCCCGGTACCGAACCTTGAGATACCACCGTCTCCGCCGGGGACTCCTCCTTCCGCGGCCAATGCGAAGTTTTCGCACTTCCTGTCCTTGAAAAGTCGTGGCACCCATTTCAACGAAAAGCTAGCCGCGTCAACTTCGCTAAGAAATCCAAGTCTGCTCAAGAAACTTATGGAGCATGCAGGAATCGACGATCAAGCGCAGTACTCTACCTCCCTTCCACCCGACTTATGGTGTATATCTGATCTCCCAGGGTGGGGCTTCAAAGAAGAACTCCTGAAGGCCCAGAAAAAAGCTCAGGATGCAACAGAAAGGAAGCAAGCTGCTGGTCAGAAGGGAACGGTTGATTTTGTGGCTGCAACAGCGACTGAGTGATCAAACAATCCTACATACTCAGAGCAAGGGTCCGAGGAACGAGTAAAGTGAAACATGATATATGTAAGATAGATGAATAAATATACCCTCATGAGAATCAAAATATTTTTTTTTTAAGTTATTGTCATGTTGACGTTGTCGTCCAAAAAGATATACAAGTAATCGGTAAGATACACAGCCGTATTTATTATATTTCGGAGGATAATACATTTTTGATTTATCCCTGGTCATAGTGATACAATGTTATATAATTGCTATACTGTACAATCACGTAGATACGAATTGAATTTGACGATATAGATCTTATGAAAATAATTAAAATTTACCATGTAAACAGTGTTTTGCTAAATCAAGTGGGTGACAACGACATCATTGTTGGTACCAGGTAGTATGGGCCGGTCATGTCACGGGTTGGAAAATGGGTTTCACCGCCCTAGAGCGTAATGCAAGAGGAGCTCCTGCGTCAGCTCTACTGCCTATCTAAGCAATCAACCCAAACCACGTATCTTAACTTTTCCATTTGCTCTTTAGGTCTCTATAATCTCAACATATCACCTGGCCGAAGAAACTTATACACGCACCTTCATTATACTTACGCAACTTCCGTTCGTTCAGAATGAACCATTTCCCGGAACTCTGGGGTCGGGTAGGGTTTCATTCATCACCACACGAAAGCTATCCTAGCTAACACCAGAACCAAAGCCCAGAGATGATGTCTATGGTCCATACAACTCGTCTTACCTCAAGAGCACCGGCCCTAAAACCCATACCCAGTCCCCTGCTGTGACCGGAACCTCCGTGGTAGCGGTCAAGTTCAACGGCGGCGTTGCGATTGCCGCTGACAACTTAGGTACGATCCTAATCTCGCGAGAGTATTCAAACGAAATGAAACCGAAATAACACCTTCTTCTCTCATAAATAGCTTCATATGGATCCTTGTCTCGTTTCACCGATGTCAAACGTCTACGCATGTTTGGTGAATCTGCCGTGGTTGGATTCAGCGGTGATGTGTCCGATATGCAGTATATCGACCGTCTCCTAGAATCCATCGACATCAGAGAGAACTACTCCACTCATGGCAATTCACTCAACGCGAAGAACCTTCACACCTATCTCTCGAAGGTGTTTTATAAACGCCGATCCGATTTCAACCCACTGTGGAACCACATCCTAGTCGCCGGATTCGATGGAGACAAGAAGCCTTTCCTTAGCTCCGCGGACCTTTTGGGGACTACATACTCAGCCCCACACCTTGCAACTGGATTTGGCGCCCATCTCGCCGTACCGATTCTTCGCCGGTTGTTCCCAGAAGAGAAGCCTATCGAAGAGATTAGCAAGGAAGATGCGGTTTCCGCCTTGAGAGAATGCCTCAAGGTTTTGTGGTATCGCGATGCCCGGAGTCTTGACAAGTACTCACTAGCGATCATTACTGAAGATGGGGTAGAGCTGAATGAAGACCAGAAGCTTGAGGAGCAGAGCTGGGCGTTTGCTGAATCCATCAAGGGATACGGAGCTCAGGTGGTCTAGGTGCTCCGCTTGTATTTAGGTTCACGCCGAAGTGTCTACGATTTAATCCCACGTCACATGGTCTGGTATTTTAGTGTTCAAGAGCATTCATAGTATAAACAATCAACGGGTAACAAATGTGCTATTTACATGTAGCCCCAGCGGGAATGAAACTTAGCGAGGAGAGGAAGTCTGTAGGGACCTTTAGAGCTTGGATGAGGGCTTCTGGTAGACAACCTGGTTAGTACACGAGCCCACGCCTTCAAGGTTAACCTCGACCCGGTCGCCGTCTTTAAGCCAAAGCGCAGGTTTCCGGCCCATCCCAACACCTTCAGGCCTATAAGGAATTAATTAGTACCTGTCTGTCTGGAACCCCATGATTGGGATTTATAACATGGCCCTAACTTACGTTCCGGTGAAGATCAAGTCACCAGGCAACAAAGTAGTTCCCTGGGACAAAAACGCGACTGTCTTGGCCACGCCGAAGATCATATCCTTCGTCGATGACGACTGCACAGTCTGGCCATTGAGTTTCGTCGAAATCTGGAGCGCATTGGGATCACGGATCAACTTGGAGGAAACGATGCCCGGTCCCCAAGGAGCCCAGCCATCGAAGCTCTTGCCCAGACCCCATTGGCCTCCACCACGCTTGATTTGCCAATCGCGGTGGGAAACATCATCGCCCACCGCATACCCGAGGACATAATCCAGAGCGCGGTTTTCGGGAACGTCACGGGCTTCTTTCCCGATGACGATGACCAGTTCGCACTCGTAGTCCAATCCTTCGCTTTGCTGTGCGAGTGTTGGGACTGGGATCTCGTCATGCGGCCCTGTGATGGCGGTGATGGGCTTGTAAAACAGAATCGGGTACTTGGGCGCAGGAAGGTTGGATTCCTTAGCGTGTTGCTCGTAGTTCAAGCCTAAACCGCGCACTGTCCCGATGTCCTTGCGGGCTAGCGGCGATAAAAGCATCTTGACTTCGGCAATCTTGTCTGTGACTTCGTGCTGGCCGAAGATATCGCCCTGGATCACTCGTGCTTGAGTGGTCTTGGCAATGTCGGTAACACCGGCGGGAAGAATGGCGTCTCCGTAGTAGGTCTGGCCATCCTTTGCCAGGAAGTGAATGAGACGCTGTATGAAATGTTAGTGGCTAACATCAAGTGTACGGAGAGGAGAACGGTGGGATGGGCAAAGCTAAAGAAGCCGGAGAAGTTGAAGAGGCAACGAAGCACGCAGACACGAAATTCAAAAAGACAACAGACTTTGGCCTTCCAACAATTACCGTGTAGAGCTATGTAAAGTAAAGGGTGGGATGTGCAATGTGCGATGTGTGTTTATTTGCGAAACTGCGTCAAATGACGTAGTCTATGATTGTACTCACAGAGAAGGTGACCATCTTGAACAAATCAATGTCGACGGTAACTATAGCGCGATTTTGGAATGAAGACTACTAGTTTAAGACCGTCGAATCCAGTGTTAACAGATTGATAAAGGGTGTCCGTGGTAGTAGGTGGGATAGTAACTACTTAGGGACCTTCATAGTACAGAAAGTGCTTCATGCTCGGCACGTTCCCTCACTCGGTCGGCCTGAGGGTGTTCCTCGGCCCATGTCATTGAGACGTATTACATAGGAATACATAGCATTACCTACGATTATGGCTTGAAAATGACCGGGAAAGGAGACAACTGGTCAATTGATTTAATTACCTTACACAGTACGGTAATTGTGTGACGGCCCATTACACCCGATCGGAAAAGGTGATTTCTCCAGACCGGCAGAGACCGGAGCTAAGGAAGGGAAGCTTGTCCGCTTATCCAAATTTCATCATTCAAATGTGACAGAACTTCAGTCAATAATTGACCTCCATAATTGACCCTAAACGAAATTGTCGCTGAAACGACGAATGCGATGAAATATAGCGCTTGATTTGGCTTCCCAAATCAGGTGTGTTTGTATCAATCCATGGCTCGACTGTCTGGTCTTCAGCGGGAGGTTCTGTCCCTGTACCGGAAATGTCTGAGGGAAATTCGGAAGAAGCCTTCTGTGAGCGCCTCTAGCTCAGGTTCTGGCCATTGACATGAACACAGACTAATGCATTGCGACCTTGATCACTGCACAGGATTCAAGGGAGAACTTCAGGTCTTATACTAGGTAGGTTTGAGCATCCATCTGTCAGTTTACGCAAAGTCGCTAACGTCCCTGGCAGGAAGGAATTTGAAAAGCACAGGACACTCAACAAGAAGGATTTCAACGCCATAGAATACTTATTACGCAAAGGGCACAGGCAGTTTGAGATGTATTCCTCGCCTGGAATCCGCAACATCCGATAACAGCCGTTTGACCCAGTCCGCGCCATGCCACAACCACTGGGGAACCCAATCAGCGGATGAAGATGCCCAATATTCGTGATATCGACGAGGCGGAATGGATACTGTTTAGATGAACGCATGCACATTCGTCTAGGAGGAGAGGAAGGCGAAACCTACACTGGTCATGTGACCTTGAATTCGAGAGCCCACGACGCGCTATTCCAGAAGTAGTAAGTAGCTGCTTATCAAAACCGCTTATCAGTCCGCGGGACATGGAAGGCTCCAGAGGCATCTGGTCAGGTCCAGTTGCTTCCATGGCTGAGTATATCATCATGTTCAAATCTATACACGACTATCTTGCATGGTCAGTTCCGCTCATTGCTTTGATAAGCTAGCAGATTCCAGAACAATTGCCATTGCCTATATAATAGTGACACACATCTCTACTTGGTCCAACATCTAGATTCACACTTCTATTATAATCCATCCATTTGCATCGTTTCAACTAAGGTTGTCTGTCATCTAGCACCAGACAATCAGATCTCGTACATCCCAATCTATATCAACTGTGGGGAAAACTTCTTCCCCAACCACAGAACAATGGTCTTCTTAACTTCCCCTCTGGCGAGCAACTGCGCGCCTCTTTTCTCTCTGCTCGATGACTATGACATTCCTCGCTCCAGGCCTTCGAACAAGGCGGTAGCCACACCACCATTCATTCCCACTTTTGATGTCTATGAAACAAACGACACATACCACCTCCATGGCGAACTACCTGGGGTCAGTCAGGAGGATATCGCAATCGAATTCACGGATCCCCAAACGATGTCTATCAAAGGCCGCATGGAGCACAGGGACCACCACCTCAAGACCAACCCCGCCCGGCGAATCAACCAGACATCGAGCAGCCCACCCCCGAAATATCACCAACCGACTGTGGAAGAGGACTCTGATGAGGATGGTGAAATGTCTACCCCTTCTCCAAGCAGTCCGCCTTCCCAGGTGACTCCCGGCGAGCCGGCTGAAGCACCGACCTACAAGTACTTGATAACTGAGCGTTCGACCGGGGACTTCTACCGCGTATTTTCCTTCGCAACTAGGGTCGACCAAGACTCAGTCAGGGCCCGCCTACAGGGTGGCATTCTTTCTATATCAGTTCCAAAGGAGCGGGCTCCGCAACTTAAGAAGATACGGGTCGAATAAGCAGCCGTCTTCCCTATTGAATCTTCATGGTCTGGTGTTTTGTTGGGTTTATTCGCGCTTGTATAACAGCTTTTTGTTTATGTTTCTGTAATTATTTTGGAAGAGCGACAATTGTTAGATTAAGGGAATGATGACCTTGATGACTCATGGAATTTACCGCCGACTATTTTCCCAAAAGTATATATAAGCGGATGATAGATCCACGGAAGTAGCTTCGGCACAGTGTCATACGAGTGAGCAATCTGATCTCTCTCTAGTACTACAATACATAGATTCCACCCATGTGATAATCTCAGCAAACGTATCGCAACAAAGCCACGACAGCCCAACTCCACCAAGCTGCAAGACCCCGTCCACCCTGTCTGAAACCTACCATCGCACGAGCCACGACTCACAACATGAAACAAAAACAACGTGTAGCAAACCTCGCAACAGGGCTTGACCCATGCAGTCCTAAGTAACACCGCCTTTCCACACGGCCCACCCATTACCCACTACAGCTAGACAAAGCGGTGCCCCACGACACGAGGCTCTCCTTGGCAGATGTGTATGTGGGACTGTGCAGGTAGACATCGCTTGGATCTCGCCTCGGGCGTTAGCGCAAATAGGTTCGTTCATCCCTTGCTTCTGGCGGTCAATGGGCGTGGGCTTCAGGTGCTCATATGTAGCTAGTAGCTACCGAAGATAATGTATTGTAATTTTATGTATGTGAGAGACATGCATGTTCAATAGTCTGTTGTCACTGCAGATGCTGGGCACTAATTAGCTCTTTTGAAACATAGCTGCCGCTTCGGTGATCTTTGCTTTACATCTTGGTAACATATGTATATTACTCAGTGATAAGGATGTAAAGGCGTACTGAGAGATACACAAGTGGTTGTAGTATGTTCTCTTTTTCTACCTGTATACGTGCATACTATCAATGAGCCTCGGTTCTGGTATCGTCAGGCTGTATACTGCTATGTAAACAGACAAAGCACATGGATAAATAGGGAGATGTTTTTTCGTCCAAATGCAACAATAATTAAGCACGTTCTCACACGAGTTCCGACAAGACATATTTAACGATAGAATCACAGAAGTTGTCACTAGGCCAACCGAAAAGGGTATATATCAGAACACAACAGAAACCCCAGCCGATATGGTATTTCCGAGGAATTATACACAAAATATAATCACCCTATCCGCCCAGAAATATGAAAACAAAAAGAAGGTTATTCCGAATGAGATGAAAGGAAATCTTGGATATCTGAGCCTCAGAGGTATATGAAGTGTGGAGTTTCAATATGGACGCTCTCTTCTTGTTGGTTTGGCAATCTGCATCGCTGGTACTCAAAGGTCCGGCTTCTGGTTCTGCCTCGCTGGAGTTCAAAAACAGGGTCTTCAATAAGTTCGTATCCCGCTCGGTCATCTTGAGTTGGCGTAAACATAGCTGGAACAGCGGTTGCCTCAAGGCCTTGTTGAGGTGCCTCGCGTGTCGACAAATTGCCCGTGGTCACTTGGATCGACGACGGCGCAAAGAATTTGGAATCGTGGGCTGTGTTGCCCTCGAAGAGTCCATCATAAACTTGTGAGTTTCGATTTGGTGACTGGCCATGTTTAGCAGTGACCTCACCCTGATGTTGACTTGCTCCGGGGTAGATGTCCCCTGAAGGTCTGGTAGGATTGTGATAACCTTCAAATTCAGTCCCGTGGGGTTTGCTGTGGAATAAAGCTGTCCCCGACACATCCTCTTCATTTACCATTGTCTGTCGTGGGGCGGAATTTGCGAGTTGAGCAGTAGAGGAACCATGGCTTCGAAGTTGAGTACAATATCGAAGTGACCTCGAACGGTCAAGCTCACGATGACTCACAGTAGACAAACTGCGCGTACACTCACTTGCCGATGTGTTGGAAGTATCATGGCACATCGAAGACTTGTCCGTGGCCCAACTATCAACACCAGTCCTGGAACTTGCCTTGGGTCCTTGAAGACTTAGGTAGCGACGCACAGGAAGCTGATCACCCGACCCAGAGGGAACTTTTGTCTTTGATGCTTCGGAATTTTTAGAACTACCGCCCAGAGTGAATCGCCGAGACCCTTCTTGACGGCGAAAAGATACCTGGGAGTCAATCGATGCTCGAGCCCGACTGTCCTGCAGTGAACGAATAGACGCCGCAGAGCTGTAACCGCTGTCGACCTTGCGAGAACGTGTGGAATGTCCGTAGTAAGAATTTCGTCTGATCGAAGCTTGTTGGTGAACAGAAGACTTGTCGTCTTCAACAACATGGATTCCTTCGTCTTCAATCCCACTTTCTTCCAGTGGTCTCGACACTGCGGTTGTTGGTGATTTCTGGAAAGAAAAGGGACTTGAAGGGAGGTTATCGGACCAATCAGGGTTCTCATCTGGAGGGATTTGTAGCGTGGATGTAGACGGGGCTTTTCTGATGCGGCTGTCCAGCTCTATAGGGCCATCAAGTGTATGACCGGGGGTGGGTAACATATCGGTGTTGCCGGATGGAATTAATCTAGAAGCTTCAGCATTGAAGCTTGCGTGTTCTCCGACGCGATGCCTCCCTTCCGAAGTAGTATCGAGATCAGGGCTGGACTCCAAGGACGGACTGCTAGGTCGGTTGAGCAAAGTTCGATCACTGGGACACGGCGACGCAGAACCATTTACGACTCGCAGTGACCCCAATTTCAGGGCCCCTAAATGGGTATATTCGAAATCACTGGGAGTTGGCGGGCGAAACTGAGGGACCGGGAGAGAGTTCCTGATAGGGATCTCTTCATTGTCACGCAGTGGCCATTGCGGCGGTCTACCCCGCTCTATTGCGCAATGAGAGGGGAGCCAGTCGTCCTGGCGGATTGGAGAAGGTAGTCGTCGAGGCACGTCTCTCGTTGATCGTCTCGTGGCGACACCAGGTCTTGTAAGTAAAGAACGGCGGCGAATTAGAGAGAACCCCTGACTGTCTACCATGAAATGGGTATTCGAACATGTCGCCTCTTCAATCGTACTGTTATGTACAAAGCTGTTTTGGCGAGCCGGCGTATGGCTTGAATGCGACCTCTGTGGATGAGCAGGTTGTGCTAAATGCTGGAGCTCACCCCGGAACGTTGCCGGTTGAGGGGCGGTCTCTTTGGGTGCTCGGAGCGAAGTTTGCCTGGTCAAAGGCCCTGACCTTGTCGAACTGGAGGTGGGTGAACGAAGACAGACGCTGTTGGCTTGTTTGATGCCTAGCCCGACCCCCCCAGGTCTCTCGGCAACCTCCCATGGTGCCTCAAGTTGCAGTGAAGGTGAAGGCAAAGATTGGGACCTGTGACCATTCGTTCCAACCTCAGATGGGCTACCAGGGCTCGAGCCAACGGTCCAGGAGTTTTGCCAAGCGGGAGAGTTAGAAGATGCGGCGGAAGTTGAATTGGAAGCCTGATCGGGTACGCGGGACTTCACTGAGACCAGCGTCGCCGGATTCGGGGGTGGTTTAGATAATCTATTGGAGCGACGGCGCTTGTCTTTGCTTTGGATAGAGAGGAAGCTTCCCATCCTTGTGAAAGAGGATAGTAGAACCTAGGGCAGGCCGAGAATTGAAATTCTCTCCCAGGTCCAATAACGGATTAACAAGACATGAAACTGAATCAGACCGTTGAAACGTAGCCAATGTTAAATAGAGCCCGAAAGCTTGGTGATTTCACCGATTGGCCGGCCGAGGAAAGGCCTTGAGCGACAGGAGACCGGGGTCGGACACCGGTCTGGTTTAATCTTGAGGAATCAACCCACGCAACTGGTTGCAATCCCAGATGAAATCAAGTCTGAGACCGAGGAAGGCCTCGCCAAGCTCGACCCTTGGGAATGGCTGATAAGTGAGGAGGTCTCTCTATGCTGCCAGTGAAATTGTAAGGGTGATACACCGAGCTGTGAGGATCTTGGCAGGTCTTATCAGCGAGTGAGAATGCAGAGAGGAGTACCAATAAAATATATATCAGGAGGAGTTCCCCACGGAGAAAAAAAGCTGGAAAGGGGGAAATAGATAAATGGAAAAGACGACCGACGACGGGGGAAGAAAAGGGCAGGACAGGGTAGCAGAGGATTGGATCTAATGGCTCAATCCTTCTGATAGGGCAGAGACACCAGCAAGATCTACAAAAGTGCCTTTTACCGATGAAACACTAAATCTATAGGAATAAGAAACACGTCCGACAGATCTAGAGAAGAGGAAACGAACCAAGAGACAGCGAAGGACCGTAGCGAAGAGGGAGAGAGCCCCAGCGGTTGCACATCAAGTTCCAACCAAACAGTAAAATAAGAGCCGATCTAGATTTCCCGGGGGACAAGTAAGGGAAAAAATAAGATACATGGGAGAAGTGGAGAGCGAACGGACTGCCATGGTTGAGGATGCAAGAGACACAACCATGACGAATGCGTTATCCACAGGTAACTGTAGTCCTGATAAACAACAACGGAATTGGCGAAGAGACGGCCGGATCGGCGGGACTGGAGTTCGGCGAGCTAAAAAATCATGTAGGGTAAGGTAGGAACCAGGATGACAAGGGCATTGATTGTACGTGGATCTGTAGGATGTGGAAGTGAAAGTGGAGATGGATGCGGAATGGATGGATTCGTGGGAAACGCAGCACCGTCATAGGAGAGAGACAACAAGAGACGTTTGGCCTTATTTTCCTCTTTTTTTTTTTTTTTTGGCTTGTTTGATTGTAGTTTATTGCTCTCTATTTTCTATGATTTTTCCCATTATTTTTTCCATTGTTTTAATCTATTGTTCTTGGGTTTTGACACCGGGAGTCATTATTATGAATTCTCTACATTGGCTCCTGATTTCATTTATTTTTCATTATAATTTTATTCTTTGTTTCGAAAGTATTAAATAATAATTATTAACCCTCTTTCTTTTGCTTTCGAATCAGCAAGGTGGTACGTGGTGTCAAGAATTATGGGGCACAATATAGTAGACACGACACCATAGCCGAACGCAGACAGGTCGAATTGTAGTTGCAGGACAAGGATCCAGGCGAAATACCTGTAGTACCTTGGTAGCATTGATCGTTGGGAGAATGGTAGTCCTCGTAACTAGAGGGAAAATGATGTTCGACGGAGACAAATCGTCGTCATCAAGAGAGTATCTACGTGTAGGTCGAGAATCCCTCTCTTACTACACCTACAGCGTCTTATACTATGCAAGTATGGAGGCTAAAGATGTAGTCTCAGTAACCCACAACTGGGTCAGGATGACAAGATGGGGCATTCGGATTCTTGGCACTTTCTGCAAACAGGTCAGTCATGATTATGGATGGTGCATTTAAAAAGGTTGTTCAAGGTTAGAAGCTTGGAACCCTACCGGAGATCGCATGTAGTCGGTTGGTTCAACCTCCTGGGCTACGGTGTACTCCGTAGATCTTCCTGACAATCCCCACCCAACACTAGTGGTTCCTAAACTTTCTTCCTCCCCTGGGTTTAGACTCGGTAGATCCGAGATCGAAACTGGTTGATCCATCACTCTTTTCTATCCACTCTGGTTTACCGCTCTGGAACCTTATCCGCGTTCGGTTCAATCCTTCTGTGGCTATACAGCTGACTGCGCCTTAATAATATCGAGCTGGTATGTACGGGTACAACTGTTGCTGCAAACAATGCCCACCCAAAACTACCCACGTCCGAGAGCAGCTGTTTTAGGTAGTCGCTGACCCGCCACCGCGGACGGTCCGTGGGTGCAGTCAACTCATTTGAGAAGAGTTGGCCCTGCACTGCAACGGCTTCTGCAATCTGCAGTCATTTTGGACCCCCTCTCTGTCGGTCAGAGAGTTGGTGGGACTACACCGCGCCTTTACCAGTCGCATGGCGTCGCCTCTGACTCCCCCACGCGCACATTCCTGTTCGGCCTTCCCGTTTCTCACGGAACAGGAATTCGAAAGCGCCTGCTGCTTTCTGGTTGACCGTCTCCACTTGCTGGGTGATTCGCCTGCTGTGGGATGCTGGTCGTCAATCCAACTGACACGCAAGGTAGGGAGTCCTCCATCGCTGTAACCTTCCCCCCCCAAAAAAAACCCTTGGTTTAGGATCTACGCCTCCGTCCGTTACAGACGGTCGCTTTTGATTGGCTGTAATATTTGATTCCTTTTTTTCTTAACTAGCCTGCTACCTCTAGGCAACCGGTCCGATTTTGAAGATATCACAAAACATTGATATTAATCATCATGACGAGGACCTCATGGGGTCTGACCGGCTTGACGAATCGCAGCTGGAGCTCCACGAAGATGATCCAGTTCGTGAGACCCTTTCGCCAAGTAGACTGCTTGTTGTCACCCATCTGACTTGATGAACAGGAGGCCCTCGTTCGCAGATCTGATCCCCGTGCCCGCCTACAGGTAAACTATGAAATTATCCTCTCTTCCACATATCAGGTGCCTGTTTTATATTTCACATTACGGCATGATAGCCATCCGGGACCGCTGGGATTAGACGCTGTTTACCGGTATCTCGTATCGGACCAGCATACAAACGAGCTCCAAAGTGTTGGTGTCATGGGAAGTATTAGTTTTGGCGTAGGTGCCATCGCTCATAACCGCTTTATGATCCAGAGCTCATGCCTTGTAGTACCATCCAGAATCCGGGACCCCCGCATCTTTTGTTCATCCATGTAACACTGCGGACGCTATGAGGTGCATCGCAGGGCAGCAGGCCGTCGACCCCGATACTTATCTCATCATCTGGCTCGGGCTGGTGGGCAGCCGTCTTGGTCTCCATTTACCGTCTGCCGTCTTCGTCGCCAATGATCAGGCTCGGACCCAAGGCAAATAATAGGGGACAGCAACAAGAGATGCCCTGAGGTGGGTTCCTTCTTCTCACGTCCATCTCCGCATGACCATTCGACTTGGTTCGAAGAATCCGAATTCCACTGGGTTTCTAATCTTCATCGGATGAAGCCTCCATGGGCACATCGCTCTCTTCATCCATGGGCGCTTCTTCTTCATCGCTTTCATCTTCGCGCGGCCGTTTGACACCATGCGCTGCCTGAGCATCGCCATTAACATCGCCGGCAGGCTTGGGGGGCAATGCCGTGGACCCGGGGGGGCCGCTGAAAATCGACTTCTGGAGGTCTGTTGTAACGATCCCTGTAGGAGCCCCGGAAGGTGCACTGTAGGTCCCACGGAGCTTGGCGATGACATTTGACGAGCCCTTGGCATAGACAATTTTCTAGTAGATTGCAGTTAGAAGAGCACCGACCATTGCAGGGTTTGTGTATGAGACCTACCATTTGTTTACCAAAAAATTCAAACCCTTGAAGCGCGCGCATAGCCTGCGTACTGGATTGGACATCTTTGAAAACAATGTGGGCTTGACCGCGCATTTTTTCGGTCTTCATGGCCACGACGTCCAAAACCACGCCGTAGGTGGAAAAAAGTGTGTAGAGCGAGAGCCGTAAATCATACTTGCGGAGTTTATCCGGCAGATTGGTACAGTATAGTCTGCAAAATAGTAAGCATAGTCGGCTTCAAGTCTAGATGGTGACTGACGTTTGACTTGGAAGACCACCTCCAACGACTGGTTTCCCTTGCGCACCGCGCGTCGGGACCGTTTTTGTAGACATCACCGGAATACGAGATTGAAGTTGGGTCTCTTGTGTGAGATACCCGGTGGGCGGACGGACGAAAAAATGGCCGTATGTTAATGGGCCAGAGAAGATAAGGAGGTCGCGATTAAATGTAGAAAGAGGCAGAAAATATGTTGAGTGGGAAAAGGTACAGAAGTGACCGGACGTGTGAGGCGTGCCAATGAACTGGCCGGGACTCGGACGGGGCCTTTTGTATTCACGTGACATTTACATAAGCAGCACTGGCGTCATCATATCTATCCCCTGTCGTTGACGAATACCAATTGCTACCACTATTCCAAAGTAAACATCAACAGTCGAAAATCGAGTCCACCCTAATATACGGCAGTAGAGAGTTCCTCCTGTCGTCTACTTGAAAATGGCCGCCCCCGAAGTCCACCACCTCTTTCACAATCCGATTGCGGATCACTCCTTTTCCTCCGACAAGAGCACCCTCGCGGTAGCGCGGGACACCAACGTGGAGCTGTACCAGAGGGGAGGTAGCAAATTCTCCTTGACGGATGAGCTGAAAGGCCATGAGAAAACTGTCACGGGAGTTGACATTGCTCCTAACAGTGGCCGCATTGTCACCTGCTCTCAGGGTAACTACCCCGCATGCCTTGCGTTGTAACTGTACCGCCTAACCGGGTTTCATACTTTAGATCGCAACGCATACGTCTGGGAGCGAACTCCCGCTGGCTGGAAGCCTACCTTGGTTCTCCTGCGGATCAACCGGGCTGCTACCTTTGTGCGATGGTCTCCGTCGGAGCAGAAGTTTGCGGTTGGATCAGGGGCTCGCGTGATCGCCGTATGCTACTTTGAGGAGGAGAACGACTGGTGGATCTCGAAGCACTTGAAGAAGCCGATCCGAAGCACCATCACTACGCTTGCCTGGCATCCGAACTCGGTGTTGCTGGCTGCTGGCTCGACGGATTCGCACGCTCGTGTCCTCTCTGGCTATATCAAGGGTATTGATCAGCGCCCAGAGCCAAGTGGCTGGGGCGAGCGTCTTCCTTTCAACACAATCTGTGGAGAATTCTTGAATGACTCGGCGGGCTGGATCCAAAGCGTCGGTTTCTCTCCCAGTGGGGATGCCCTTGCCTTCTCTGGGCACGATAGCAGCATCACCGTGGTTTACCCTAGCGCCCCTGAACAGCCCCCTCGAGCGATGTTGAATATCACTACCCCTCTTCTGCCATTCAACAGCTTGATTTGGAACGGCGAGACCGAGATTATTGCTGCTGGACATGTGAGTGCATACTTGGCCCCACCTCGGTCTCTCGGGTACTAATGACTTGGGACTTCTAGGATTGTGAGCCGTATCGTTTCCGCGGTGATGAACGTGGGTGGCAGCTTGCAGGACCTCTTGAGCACAAGGCCGGACCGGGTGCTGGAAGCGTCCGCGAAGAGTCTGCCCTTAACATGTTCCGTCAAATGGACCTGAAGGGCCAGACGCAAGCTGACACCCAACTGAAGACGACTCATCAGAACACCATCAATACCACGAGGGTTTATGAGGAAGCTGGTGGAGCCGTTCGCAAGTTTAGCAGTAAGTTTGAAGACCTCGCGCCGATCAGATCACAACTAACAATGGACCCACAGCGAGCGGTGTTGATGGTCGCGTAGTCATCTGGACTGTTTGAATTGACAATTCTGGTGTTATTTAGACATTAGCAGCAGTTGAGGCCAGTGTTGATTAGAACATAGTTTATATTATTCCATTTAAACGAATTCCCAATGTATTACCTGTATTGTACTATAATTAATTACACTATACATATCTGTTGGGGAGTCGCTCACTCTGGGGAGAGCATAGCGGATTGGATACTCGTGTCAGGACGGGCACCATACAACGGAACCCCAGGCCTTTATCCTCCGCTCACGTCACGCGGATCACAGGGGTCACGAGGCATTCCTATGATTACTTTTGGTTCGCCTCAACTTCTTTGCTACATACTCTGTACCTCATTGAAGTTGACAATGGACTCGCGTTTCAACTGGGAAGTTTTATTCCATAGACGATGCGCTCTGACATGATTCTACCTGCCATCCTCTTCATTACTCTGTTGGGTTCACTATATACACTGTTTGTCCAAGCTCCCGACTATGCACACTCAGCTATCGGACGCCATGAGAACAACAACACACAGCGCACAATTTCGCGCAATCTTTTCAACTCCCTAGAGCAGCTCGCCCGTCTCGTGGACATCTCATATTGCGTCGGCAGCTCGGGGATCCAGAAACCCTTCAAATGCCTAAGCCATTGCGCGGACTTCGAGGATCTGGAACTGAAAGCCGTAGGTCTAGCTAATCTCTTAGCATGCGGTTACCCAAACTAAGAAACGATCCTCATTGTTCTTTTTTTGATTCCTTTAGACATGGAACACGGGCCTATTCCTCTCCGACTCATGCGGCTACATCGCGCTCTCGCACCCGCCTTCCCCGAAGCGAATCCTCGTCGCTTTCCGCGGCACGTACTCCATCGCCGACACAATCGTCGACCTCTCCGCCTACCCGCAAGCCTACGCGCCCTACGATCCCAAGGACGAACACCGCGCTCATAACGAGCGACGGTCCCCGCGATGTCTCAACTGCACCGTCCACGCGGGGTTCATGACCTCGTGGCAGAATACGCGCGACATCATCCTACACCACGTCTCCGCAGCAAGGGAGCAACACCCGGACTACGCGCTGGTCCTGATCGGCCACTCCCTGGGCGGTGCGGTCGCCGCGCTAGCTGGGATCGAGATGGAGCTGCGCGGGTGGGAACCCCAGGTGACGACGTTCGGGGAACCGAAGGTCGGGAACGAAGGATTGGCCAACTACATGGGTGAACTGTTCGGGCTGGGTAAAATTGACGGAGCGGGGGCAGCACCACGTCCGTCGCTCCACGAGGAAGACCCTCAGGATCGACGGTGGAGATACCGTCGGGTCACTCATGTGAACGACCCAGTGCCGCTGCTGCCCCTGGCAGAATGGGGGTACGAGATGCATGCCGGTGAGATCTTTATTTCCAAGACAGATATTCCCCCGTCTGTTTCGGATGTCGAGTACTGCGAAGGCGCCCACGACCCACGGTGTATTTCAGGCGTCGGAGAGGATAGCCTGACCACGGCTTTGCACGCGGCAGCAGTGACCCTCCAGGACGCAGAAATTCGTCCATCCGAGCAGGTAGATCTCTCGGATAGGCACGCCTCGCGGTCTGTGGCGCCCCCTGACGAGAGGCACGAGCAGCGTTCACCGTTCCAGCTGCCTTGGGACCTTACTCTCCCCAGATACCGATTATGGGGGCCGTTTTTCGCCCATCGGGATTACTTCTGGAGGCTGGGAGTATGTGTACCGGGTGGGGATCCGACTGGGGGATGGAAGTGACTCATTTGTTTAAATAACGGGTTCATGTGTAGTGATATGCGTAATGATGCATTAACGTGTTAAAGTGTCGATACTCCTCTCTCTCTCTTTCTCAATAGAACAGAGAGTAGCAAGTAAGCCGATATCAACTCCATTCCAAAGGAATCTATGACTTTGGACAAAAAAGAGACGAGCGGGTCATCAATAAAGAAAAATAGAATTTCAAAGGTTCTATAATTGAACGTAATGGACGTATATCATGGCCGAATGAGTATATCGCTGGTCAACTATGAACCCTATTTATGATCTACTTGATAGGAAATGAAAGGCGAAAGAAAGATAGAGGGGATACACAGACTGGAATGGAATGGGAGAGACAATGGGTATAGGAGTAGAAAAGAAGATAAGATTGAAATAGAATGTCAAGAAGGTTAAGAAGTACAGAGAAGATGATGATGATGAAGAAGAAGAAGAAGAAGATACCACCATAAACAAGTGACAGTGACAGCAACGACAGTAACGACAAGGACGATTCTAACCATCAATCAAACACCCAAACCCAAGCCAGATCCAGAGAACAAACAGTCGAGTCGAGTCTACATCCATGAATACCATCATCACTTCCCCAGCTCCAAGCTCGGCACAATAACAGGCCCATACTTAACCACACTCCCATAAGCGCCCTCCCCCTGGACCATAAAATCCGCCGCCAGATTCAGCTTCCCGCCATGACCAGGAAACGCCGGACCATAACCGTTATTCACAGTCTCAGGGTCATAAGCGACGATGGCCACATAATTGCGCCTCCCCATCAGCTTGCGGTGCTCACGGGCCTGGCCGGTGACATCAGACTGGAAGATCTCCATCATGTCCTCTTTCGTATCTGTTGGTTGGGACGGGGTGGAGCGGTGGCCGTTGGCGGGGATGTAGATGGGCTTGTTGTTGTTGTGGAGGAGTTTGAGGATATATGAGGGGGGAGGGCTGTTTACGACTGCGGAGGAGATGAGCTGGTACATTGTTTTGTGGTCGGAGGGGTGGCTGGGGTCGTGGACTAGGCCGGCGCCGCAGACGTTGACGGCGCCGGAGAGGAAGGTCATTCGGAGGGACTTTTGGTGCGCGATGCCTTGGAGGGTGCGGATGAGGTAGGTTCGTTCGAGGTCCTGTGGTGTGGTTGTGATTAGTACGTTGTTGGTATGTGTGATCAGTACATAATCAGCACATGTACGATCAGTACATGCATGATCAGGAAATCGCATTATAGACTGAATGAAATCTTCGGTGCCAAAGTAAAAAGCGTCCACATACCTTAGATTCATGCGTCCACTGATCTCTAAGCTCATCCATCATGTCAAACTCGCCAAAAGGACTCAATATACCACCCATAAGGCCAGACTTGCCCACCGCACGCTTGACAGAGTCAAACCCCGAGCCGACCATATCTTTCGCGCCCACAACACCAGCAACAGAGCTGGTGACCTTTCCGAGGACGTTGTACGCACCCGTGATGGCTCGTTTCCCCGAGGTGACGGTATGCGCAATGTGCTCTGCAGTTTCCAGCCGTGGGTAGATGACTGGCATGGAGATCATCCACAGGCAGTGCTGTACGGATGGTGGTAGCATTGCCACCTTGGGGAAGATGCCTTGATATGTTGGACCTGCTACCACTTGGTGTGGGTTTCGCTCGGACCGGCAGTCGACGCCGACGACTACCACTGCTGGGCCAAGGAACTTGACGAAGTGCCACCCTGTCCCGGTGATTGTGAACAGATCGGTGTCTGTGTTGATGTTGCGCAGGATCTCAAGCGAGGTGTGGTGCTGGAAGAGCAGGTACATCTCGATTCCAACGCGCCCTATGTTTTTGAACATGTTGGAAAACTGCATGTGCTCGGGATAGGAACCAAAACCGTCGAATCTAGGTACGCAGATTGTCAGCAATTTTTTGATTGTTTCCATATCAAATCACCGAGGAAGTCTAGGAACGACCAGGGCCTGGAAACGACCGGAGTAGCGTGCGTCAAAAAAAAGAAACACTCACATATCATGGTCATCAATCTGACAAATATAAGGAATCTGCGCAAACGACTCCCTCAAATAAGGCTGATCAAAATGGCTGGTATAGTAGTGGAAGTACGCCCGCGAGACATCCTCCTCAAGGGCAGCCGACCACGGCGAGTTTTTTCTCGCTTCCTTACCACTGATCGTCAGCCACTGTCTGAGCGAAGCGATCTCTTTCCACATGCGATCAGCATATATCTGCCCCCCGAGACAGAGCTGGGCATGGAAGCCCCCGATCTCGGTGTGCTTCTGCATGATGTCCTTCCACATGAAGCCCTCGCCGCCTACTCGGGAGCGCTCATTTGCGTTGATGTTGAGGGAGAAATCGTTGCCGGAGGTTGTGACGAAGCGCCAGTTGGTCTCGTGGCGACCTGCGACTAGGAACTCGTAGCGGGTGCAGCCGAGGTGGGAGGTGATCGCGTATGTCCATTTGGCTGGTCCTGCTTCGTCCATCTGGATATCAAGTTCATACTTGTAGAAGGTCCACCGCTGACGGACGGCAATAGCGAGTGGTTTGAGCTGGCGTGGGTTGGGGGATAGATCCGCGCTCTGGTGGGTATGGATCGTTGGGGGTTGTGGAGCGTCAGTGACCAGCAGGATGGACCCAAGCCAGATGCCGCGCTCCACATCCATGTTGGTGTAGCGGAGGTATGGGCCAAAATATACGCCGTTTGTCGGCGCAACCTTGTACATGTCCACGCCACTACTTGGCGGAGGGCCGGTGAATCCGGCCACAACCGGGGACTGCAAGCTCTCGAAGCCCGGGGTCATGGGAAGCCCCGGGGAGGCCAGTGGCTTGCCAAACGCCGACAAGCCAGGTGAGGTCAGGGGATGGCTGCTGTATATGCTGCCCACTGGTGACAAGGGCGTTTCGTTCAAGTTAAGGGGTGTCGGACCCTTCGGGAATTCCCACTGCGTAGACTGAGTGGGAAGGTGAATATAATAGTATTGTCCCGAATTGGGGTCCAGGTGGGCTATCCATCCCTCTGGGAGCGGCGGGGGAGAAGCAGGCGGAAGGCCCGTTGGTGAAGCCAACGCGGCAATTTGGGTCTGCTGGATAACATGCTGGGGCTGTATGTCCTGCCCCCCGTTCGGTACAGCGTGTTGTGGGGAGTGGCCCTGGGGAGAGTGGCCCTGGGAAGAGTGGCCCTGGGAAGAGTGGCCCTGAGAAGAGTGGCCCACTGGTTGTTGTTGCCTGGGATCGTTGGCAAACGCTGGATGATCCTGGGCTGAAGTCACCGGGACAGGGGGCATGTTTCCAGCGCTCATAGGGCTCATCATGGCTGGATGCACAGCATCAGGCACGGGCTGAGGTTGCTGAGCTGGCATACGTTGCTTTTCGTTGGGATAGCCCTGGGGTACATTGGGACCAGAGACACTTGAATAGGCGGGCGGGGGCGAAGAGCTGATACGCATCCGGTCCAAGTCCTGCTCTAAAGCATTGGGTAGAACCCTGGAAGGAGTCTGGGCTTGCGCTTGCTGAACTGGAGTCCCGGCAGAGTGTGGGGGATGATAGGGAGTCCCGGTAGACTGCGGGGGATGAAAAGGAGTCCCGGTAGGTTGCGGGGGATGAAAAGGAGTTCCAGTAGACTGCGGGTGAGGAAAAGGAGTCCCGGTAGACTGCGGAGGAGGAAAAGGGCTCGCGGGAGGGTCACCCGTCGAGACCACGCCGTCGCCCTGATAAACAGTGGGGGGACCATGGGGCTGGGTCCCCGGCTGTTCAGTTGGGGTCCAGGGGCGTTGGACCAGTTGCTGATTCCGCGGCTGTTGTCCAGCATACTGCTCTGCTCTTCTCTGCGCGGCGGCACTCTGAGCCTGCAGGCCCGTCAACGTTGAAGTTCCTGCAATTCCGGACGCGGCATACCGCGCCTCGATGTCGGATGCCGGTTGCTGGCCAGGCTCAACAATGGGAGTCTCGGGGGGTGGAGGGGAGCCGCGCTGGGCCCGCGTGGTAGAAGTGGACGCCGTTGAACTGATTCTGTTAATGGGATGTGTGGCTGGCTGTAGATGTTGCCCGGTCGCTGGTCTCGGGGTAGACGCTTGAGGGGGAGGATAATATTGTTGACGATAGTCCGGATATGCAGACCCCTCAGCCTGAGCGTGGCTGGTCGACGCCGGCGGCGCTGGAACGCGTTGATACTTTCTCGCAAACATCGCTTCCCGGTCCGGCATGTCCCCGGCAGGTGACTCGGGGAGAGGCTTGGGTACGTTGCCCCGCCGTTCAGCCAGGGTCACCGGTTTCGGTTCGCGACCTTCCCTCGACCGCAGGGCTGTAGGGTACTCCCAAGGTTTCGATGCGCCGGGCCCAGGGACCGTAGGCGAGTCCCCCTGGTAGGCCCCGGGCGAGCCAGTAGATTCTAAACCATGAAGCGGTGCATATCTTGGACGATCATCGGGATATGGAAGAGGGGAGTTATGCGAAGCAGGCGGAGGGGAATGATTCTTGCTGATTCGCAGCGGACCGACGATGGGCGACTCGGCCTGCGATTGCCCAGGGTCGGAGAGGAATAATTCCCCTTGTTCAGGGTGGTTGTTGGGATTCATGATTGATTTCCCGGGATTTTCTCGCTGTTATGTTGGTTTTGTTTCATCGATGTCGATCAGTGTCAATGGGTGTCAATTTTACAGTGTTGTATAGCTCTCCTCGAGTGCTAGAGAGCAAAGGCAGACCGTGACCGTCAGTCGTCGCGTTCTGTACGAGTGCGGGGAAAAGGACGAGCGTGATCAATATATAATAGATCACCACGCCACCGAATGACTTACATCAATGACGAATTGAGGAAGGTTTCAGCAGAAGCGCCGGAGCTCTGACACTGGGCTCTTTATCTCCATTATTGTATGACAGAGCGAGAAAAAGGAAGGGTAAATAAGGAGAGAGGAAGTACTAGGTGGGGGGGGAAAGGTGATGAATGATTGATCTCGGTCTGGACGATTAGCCGCCGGGGAGGAATCACTACGCGACACTAGACAGTCCTGCGTAGTAGGGACTCATGCGATTCGGGATCATCATTGGCTGCAGTCGGAAACAAATCGTCTAGGCATCAAGGAAGGAGGGGGTCCTGCAGGTGGCCACTGATTTAGTTTGTCCCTAGCAGCAAATTACTCGGGGTGTGATTGTCTCTGCCTAACCGTTGTCCTCTCCGTCGTGATGAAGATAGAGTTACTCACAAAAGCTAGAGAAGTCATGATAGTGTTTGTACTCGGTTTCCTTCATTGCCTGACTATCCATTTCATTTGTCTAACCACCCCATTGTCTTTAGGTTCCTCGTGAAACCGAAGCATGGACCACAGTGGATCGGCCCGCAATTGGGAGCAAAAGAGGGACCGTGGATCACAGTCCCACCCAAAATTCCCACCAAGAACGAAACTGAAGGAGAGGGGAACTGATCACAGACTGAATGTAGATACTACGATCCCTGTCTTCTCGTAGTGGATATCATCGGAATAAATTAGAGTAACATGGGCGTATACCGTTATATAGATCATATACATACATACAAACCATCTCCGCCCACCCTGGAAATTGCATAGATCGTCGTCTAGATCCAGTCAGAATCCCTTGCCTCCTGTCATTATGCATAAAGAGTCGATTGGGTGTCCTGTCCCGACAACAGGTCCATCCATTCCACAGCCAACGTTTGAGTGCCATCCTCGGCCTGCTGCATCTGCCGCTCATACACGAGCTGGAGCATGTAACAGGTCGCCGCAGCCCGGTATCCCATTTCCTCCTCTTCCAAGATGGAGAGCAATTCCCACGCCCGTATCTTGAGATCACCCCACGGCGCGCCCACTCCGGCGAGGAAGATCGGGAAAATATGCAGGTGCCGGTCGCTGTCAATGGTCGTAGAAGCCATGGCTTCTACAAGGCGAAGGATCATGGTTGCATGGTGCTGCATCTCATGGTCGGCGGCCCCGTTGAGCTCACTGCCCTGTCCCGGCCAGAGACTAGTATATGAAAAAAGCATGGTTGTGTGAAAGACGATCGAGATCTGGACAATCATCATTAGCATCTCGAGCAGAGCATGGAGAACGTTGTCGACTAGCCTGGTGAAACATTTCTCGCAATCGCTTGGGTAAAGCGGCTTGATTATGAACGAGGTCAAGCGCTTCGGGGGAATTCCACAGTTGTCGAAGCGCTTGACGTAACTCCTCCATCTCCTGCAGCCGTTGGCCAACATGCGGACTCGGGGATAGAGACCTGAGGCGCCTCAGTTCGGCGGCTGAGAGCCCAAGCTGAACAGCCAGAGCAAGATGTTCCTGGTACAGATGGGGCAACACTCCCTGGAATCCATACATATCTGACTCGTCAAAGACGTGAGAATGCTCCGAACAGGAAAGTAGACCGTTCCCAATCGCTGCCTGGACAAACTCGCCCGTTCCCGCGCCGCTCAAAAGCGAATATAAATCAATGTGGCAGACCCACCAGACGATGGATGAGAATCGCTCGCTACCAAATGTACAGCGCCGAAGAAGGGCCAAGCGGAGAATCCGAGAGATATGATGCTGCGAAATGATCAAATCGCTGGATTTCGCGGCGGCAGTCTGCAGTTGATCAGTTAGCCCGGCCTTTGTGTATCACTCGTAGGTAGGCATATATACGAAAGCGAGGCCCGCCCAAGCCATCCGATCGCTCGAACCTTACCTCGAAGACGAGAATCAAAAAATGCGCCAGGAAAGGTCCATCGGACAAGAGTATCTTATCTTCTGACATGCTGGCCTGTAGCGAAGAAACGGCTTGTTGACAATACAATGACGGGTCTGTATGCTGGTCTACCCCTTGACGATAGAGGCTGAGTGCAGATATCGCCATCATGGCATAGAGAAGCTGTTATAGTGATAAGCACCTGGCCGTCCATCCCCTGAAAAGAACGTCTCAAGGAGGTCTGGAGATGGTCCACTTACTGGAGGAAACTTGGCTGCTTCTTGTTCAAAGACATCTGAGTTGATCTCATAGCCGCTTGGGCTCTCGAAAATGCCAGCCCAGGGAATGACTTTCCTCCACGCCGCAGTGCGAAAATGGTCCAGCAGGAAGATCTCATGTGGCTGTAAGGGGCATGGCCTGTCTTCCTCTGTAAAATCCGGAACCGTCGTATAAGCCGAGACTGAGGATAAGGACGATTCCCTCAAGTCTGAATTAGGCGAGTGGGGCGAGTCTCTTGGGCTTAGGTACGGATTTCCTCTCGCATCTCGAAAGCTTCTGAGTATTAATATGTTGGGATCGCTCACTTCGGAGACATTTGCCGTCAAACGATTGCTGCCGCTTCCGGGTTCAGGACTGGAAGATAGATCCTTTGGTCCATCAGGCTCGTTCTCGGCGTATTCTGGGAGATCAGAGAAACTTTCTGGAACGCAAATGACGTGATACGTTCCGGGAACCGATGACTGTGCCTTTTTCTCTCGTTCTTCGTCCGACGCGAGCATTTTAAAAGGGGGCAGGACATCTAATGTGAATGTGCCTGCCGGAATATCCGTGTGCGCAATCGGTGAGGGAGCTGCCGATAAGTTAGGATACATTAGCCTTCCCTGCTCATTGAAATCGTAGGCGAGTGGAAAAAGAGTCGAGGAGTTTGGGCGCCTCACAATCCCAGACGGCATTTCCTGTCGTGTCAATATCCGACATGCGTTCCCTCACCCGACGGGTATCGTCCCGAAAGCAGAGACGCGGTTGGTAGTCGCAGAGGTGACCTAGCCGTGCACATTGCTGGACGAACAGAGTCAGGGGTTAGACAGATAGAAGAAAGGGAACACGGTCGTACATTGCATTGAGGGTGGGTTTCGTCGCATTTGACTGTAGCAAAGACGGCCTAGTTAACAACAAATGAAACCCTTGCCTGAAAGGTCGCTGCATCTCAACCTACCTTTCCGACTCTAGCCTCACAAGCGCACATGTTAGCATATCGTGGAAATATCCTCGGGTCTCCCTCTGGGATGAAGGGCTGGCTCACTCTACATGTCCTGGAGTAGAATATCGAAATTAGAGAAAGAACTGTAAAAAGCAGTGAACACCGGGGGATGGGTAGCAGGCATACCAGCAACCGGAGCGAGAACGTGGGGGAAAGCGCAGGCGAGAACGGGGAATCGAAGCTTTGATCAACGCCGGTATGGAGAGCGCCGAGCTCGAGGCATGGATATCATCTTTGGGGGCAATGATGGGCAGTCGCAGAGGGAGTTGTTTCCTGGCGGAACCCCGCCGGTTTGACATCACCAAAGTTCGTCCTGTCATGGGAATAGCGGGGCTGATCCTCTATTGGGCGTAGATTAGGGAATCGCTCATGGGAAACGGAAGAATCGCAGGAATCTCGAGTGATGGGAGAGGAAAGAAGGAAGATGGTGGGCCGCCATTCTTCACGAACGGAGCGAGATAGAGGGGATGCAACCCATTTTAGCGGAGTGGACCAAGACAAAGTGAGACATACACATATTCTTCCTCGAGGCAAATGATTAGGCAATGACCGAAAGGGGATAGTAAATAAAACAATGGACGTGGCTGTTTTGCACGCAAACAGACAAGAGATAGAAAGTATCCAAAGATGATTGACAGCAGGGGCCAAGACTGAGAGGGGAAGAGAGAAGAGAGAAGAGGGGAAATAGATGAATGGGGAGAACAAAAAGAAAAAAAAGAAAATCAGGGGAAGATCCGGCCCAGAAGCCGAGAGGAGGAAAAGAAATAAGAAAAACGCGCCGAGGAGAATGAAGTGAGGAGAGAGAAAACACTCCAGGTATCAATCAGCCAGCCCTGGCGCTGGTGGCGGACGAGAGTCAGAGAGTAAGAGTCTAGGGTACGAAGGCAAATGATCAGTTTCCCAATACGACGTAGAGCAATAAACGAATCAGAAAGCCGTTGCCAACATGCATTTTGGGCTACCAATCTCACCCACATGGCCCGATTGTTCGAATGATTTGCTCAGACACAAAGAAGAGGAATAGCTCGGTTTCTAGCTGGATAATTAGTTGGTTAGTCTGTTAGGAAGTGGACGGAGCGTTCCGAGCTGCAGGTGCCAACCATGTGGAGTGAGCCCAACGGACTTCCAGGACGGTTGACGGGTAAGGGCTCCGTTGATTCACTCCTATTCTTGGTACGAATGATTTTCAGGGGAGTAATTGAGAGAAGAAAAGAGAGAGAGAGAGAGAGAGAGAGAGAGAGAGAGAGAGTGGATGGAGGAGTACCAACTATGCTCAGTGTTGGATAGTAGATGTTGTGGAGATTTGCGCGATCGTCACTGTCAGGATCGCAGTTTATTCTCCGGTGGGTACGATCATCGCTCTTTCTACTATTTTGGTAGGGGCATCTTGATAAGATCGACATGTACCTCTTCCCTGTCTACCATATTGTTCTCTCTACATCCTTTCCATCGTCCTTTCACTATTACCCATCCATAAACCAACATCGTCAATGGATAGGGTTCCACAGAATCTGCAGGAACTGGCACTAGTAATACTAAGTCTAGTAAGTCTCCACTGTGTCTTTCTCCCTCCTTTGGTCCGACTTCAGTGGTGGACAACTGGTATGTTTGTCCCCTCAAAACACGTGGCGGACAATTCGGTTATTCTCAATAGTCTCCCAATATCCGAATCTGACTGGTAGCGAGTGTTGGCTGACTCCCCCGGCCCCGGTGAGTGTAGAGAAAGTCCAGTCGAATAAAACCGGTATAAAATCAAAGACAAAAATAACACCAACATCAAAAAAGAAGAAGAAGAGAAATCTCGGAGCCGACAAGGACCAAAATAGATCCCACCAATCTCATAACCCTAAAGACGTGGACGGACCGCGAGTCCGGCTAGACTCATCCATCCTGGCCCACCGGCGACCACTCCCCAACACGGCTTAGTATGGAATGCGAAAAAAGGATAACTTGGACTTGGCAGCTCTGGTCTGAGTCCTTCCCTGGTTCTTTGACTCCTCCCCGCCTGAAAGTTCACCATGGATTGAGTCTACTTCCGCGGAGAAGTTGGAGGTGAGTTGTTCCCTTCTAAGTATGGTTTGCGAGGTCTATAGAGAGAGATAGATATAGAGAGAGAAAGTGTGTGTGTATACATGGATTTGGAATTTATGCGTCGCCTTCCAGTTTTATTGCCCCCCATCCTGTACAGGTCTAGTGCATTACTGACTGAAATCAGTCAGTGCGCACATTTACCGCCACAATGTTCGCCATGAGAGGAATCAACTGGATGGGTCGACCGTTTGGTCCACTAGCGAGACTGCAACTATTGGGGCTCTAAAGTTAGTACGGATTCGGTACGGGCCCCGGTGTTCCTAGTGATCACGCTGCGTTCCTTGGAAATGTTCCCAGCGGCAGTCTCCACTGCCAATTTTACCGGGTGGCGAGCATGCTTAATGCCTGATCTAGAACCTGCTGCACGGGCCCAGATCGTTCTCCCTCCCTCCACGATGGAACCATCCGGGCGATGGTCCCATCGACCTCGAGCCCAGCCTGCCTGCAAAGCGTGATGTATGCGACTGCAGCCTGCGCCCGTCCTCGGCGGATCCCCTCGACCGATGCATCGATCTCAGTAGAGAGCAGCGCGCCCACTAGCGCTGCCAAGGGCCCTTGCAGCTCGCCTAGACTGCTCTCCTGGCTCCCTTGCTCTGTGACCCACGTGTTCAAGTTCTTCGCCAGGTTGTCCAGCTCCTCGTAAAGGGTCTTTTGCACGTGCCTCCCACTTTGCTTCAACGCCGTAGAGAGCACTCGCGTTACCTCGTCCAGATAACCTTTCATGGCTGTGACAGTGATGAGCATGCGGTCAGAGCGCCGAATCGCGGTAGACTTACCCCCTGATGGAACCTGCAAGGCAGGATTGAAGCACTGTAGAAGGCATTTCACACAGGCCGCCAACGTGTCGTCCACGATTTTCCTTCCAGTAGTTAGCAGAGGCTCCGTAGACAGCCTTGCGATTAGGGTACTTACTTCGAATTTGACGCATTCCCCGAATCAACGTCCATCAGGTCATCTTTGTCCTCAAGATTCTCTACGACCTGAGACACGACAGCGATAGCATCAGGCATCAAATCAAGGTCTTTGCGACCTTGCGACACCCCGCCCAACGCCGCCAGTCCAAACGGGCGATACGAGGCATTGTTTCGTTTTGCCTCTCTGATCGTGATTGTCTGGGTTCCTTCAATTAGCCTTCGAAACACTACACACGAGAGGCGCTCATCATATAAAGTGCTTACCTTCATCATCTCACTGGCCTTTGGATTCGCTTGCCACAGTGCCCTTGCTTGGCCGGAAAACTTTACAAACGCTTCCAGCACCGTCTCCTTACCCTCCCATGTCTTCCCAGACATAGCCTGCACAAGAACAGGCCACACCATCTCGCTAGTCGCGAGATCAATTTGAGGATCCAACGCCATGATGGCATGGGCCAGGCCCAGCGCAGACGTATGCTTAATGGCCCAACTGGGCGAGTCCAGGTTGCTGGACACAAAGCTGGTGATCTCCTTGATATAGAGGGACACAGCGCGGTTACCGCCCACGTTATCTTGCCACGTTTTCTCAAAGACTTTATTGACATGCTCGTCTCGATCGTATTTGGCGACGAAGACGAATGGCAGGGCCGTTGCTGCAAACGACATAAACCGGTCGTTGGACAGCTTTGAGGCCGAGTGAAGAATTTCGGCGGATATGGCTCGCTGGTTGGCGTCGTCGGCCGTCAAGAAGAGTTCCTTGGCATAGTTGATGGTCTTCAGCACGAGATCATCGGAAGCCAGGCGCAAGAGGTAGCCGATGGACGCGCAGTAGGATGCACTGACGGTGTCGTTTCGATCAACGACGTACTTGCTCAGGAGCTGGACGAAGCGGTCCGCGTAGGGGCGGAAAAGGAATGTTCTCATGCTGAGGAGCACCAGAACACGGCTGCATCCTACCTTGGACGGAAGCCCAACTGCCGATCGAAGAACGCCCTCCAGTCTCGTGGCAAATTCCTTCATGCTGGTTTCGTCTAGTGCGTCGACCAAATATCGCTCGATCACTTCCATCATAGGGGAGGTGCGGATACTGGAGAGCCTCATTTTGTCGATCTCGTCGCTCGTCAATCCGTACTTGTCCGCGTTGAGATGGACGTAATTGACTGCCTGTGGTTCCAGAGAACTCAGGCAGCTCAGGAACTGCTCCATTATTTGGGGAATAAACGGACGTAATGGCCCACCGGGGCTCTTCTTGATCATTTGGATCAGAGCCCCAAGAGCAAAACCTTGGACCTCCTGGACACCGGATTCTATGCCTTGTTCGCTTAGCAAGAAGGGAATGGTGCTTCCCAACAGCGTGTTTGCCCGTTTAGTGTCTCTGTCGCTGCTTTCCAAGGTGCGAATCACTGAATTGGTGATAGTCTGGCAAAGCTTGAGGGCGGAGTTCCGAACTGTCTCTTTGATGTCATCCAAAAGCTTGAAGGCTTTGGTAAAGATCTCATCGAGGTATTTTGAGTATCTCTCTGGCTGACGTCCATGAAGCAAGTCCGCAATCGCCGCACAGCTCGCTTGCCGTGCGCGCCATTCCCGACCGCTCAGCATGCTCTTAAGTAGGTCTTCCATGATCTGGTCGAAATGCTCATCGACCACCTCAGTGGGATCTTTGACCAAGGCTTGCCAGATCGTGTTCATGGAGCGCTGCACGTTCGGATTAGGGTCGAAACGGTACCGGAACAATTTCGGGTAGATTTTCGGATTCTTGGCCAGATAGCCATTGACACTCGAATCGGAGAATATGTTGCTGATTCCGAGCTTGCTGAAAGCCGAACGGTTGGTCCAGAGGGCATTGTTGGAAGCCAAAGACATAAACCGGTATACGAGTGTTGGATCACCAGCTTCAGCAGCGAGGTTCATGATGTCTTTGTAGGTATTGACTGACGAACCGCCGCCCGTGGGAAGGGCTCCTGGCTCAAAAAGCTCCGTGTCTTCGTTGACCTTCCCTCCTGCAAGGCTCGAGCCGGTTGCTGTGAAAGACGCCACCAAATCACGCACTAAGTCATCCTTCAGTGCCTGGTCGCCAATTTCGTATACTAGACCGAGTCCCTGTGCGCCGGTTTCCTGTACCAGCTCATCTCGATCCCCAAGTAAACCGGCGAACCTGCTCTGGCATTTGCGCAAGCGAGATTGTATCTCTTGCAAGTGACCACAATTCTTGACCAGACACAGGAGCCATATACTAGACGCTTTTCTCAGAGAGGGCTTGGGCGCACTGCAGTCCGCTATGATCCTGTCACATATAGTTGCAAGAACCGATAATGGAACCGAGGAACTGGGCACCTCTTCATCGACATCAAAGTCTGTGGTCAAGGATTTCGAGTTCCATCCGGCTGCAGAGCTGCTCAGCGCCTCGCCAATGGAAAAGTGAACTTCAGGACTGCGGATTTCATGTAGACCATAAAGAGCATCTAGCAGTTCTCTGAATCTTGTATTGTCGTGTCCATCCTTTGAAAAAGGCAACGTCAGAAGCCCTATTGTTTTGATAGCTGCCTCGTTTTCAGCCTTCGCATCGGATACCAATTTGTCTTTGATAGCCACCCATCTCTCTTCAGATAGTAGCTCGGTTGACAAAATTCCAGAAAGACTTATCTGTCCGAGCGCAACTTGGGCTGAACGCCGGAGAAGAGAGTCGCGTGAGGTTTCGATTATGTCAAAGACCACGCCGAGGTAGTCGTTTAGCATGGCCTCAGATAGCTTACCAGTCATCTTGCGGAATGCAAGCCTGCTAAACAAGTATGACAGTCCAAGTACAGAGCCCCGGACCTTAAGCACCTCTTCGCCAATGGCGGATCTCCACGATCCCAAAGGACCTGACATAGTAGCAACGAGTCCGTTCAGACCTTCCTCAGAAAACGCAGGGTGAGAGGCCAAGATGCCCGTCGCACGAGCGGCGGTATCCTGAACCGCCTGGTCGTTACTATTCAACGGTTTGCTCAATGACAGCACTTGGGGAACTATAGCCCCAACTATGTCGTCCGACGCCAACGAGCCAACACTGACAAAGTAATCCCCGCAGTGTCGTAGGCTTTTTCTACCCTGTCCAGCGAATCCTGACAAGGCACCCGCTAGGAATAGCAATACGGCCTCTTTGTCTGAAGCCCGAGTGTATTGTTTCACCGCACTCCGAGCTTGTTCATCGGACGTGAGGAGCACATCAAGCTTCACATCCCAGTCTTGCTCTATGTTCATGCTGATATTAGCAGCCGAGAATGACTCCGAAAGCAGGATGTTCCGCAAAAATTCGATCGTCGGCGTAAACGACTTGTTGTAGGGTCCCGACAATATCTGAGTCGCAGAAAGCCCGGGCACCCCATTTGAGTCCGTAGTACCAAGTAGAAATCGGGCCGCATCAGAGAATCTCGGGAAATCAGACCACCGATCACTTGAGCTGGTTGATTGGGGAGCAGAAGACTGTTTCTTCGTACTGGGGTTCAAAAGCCGATACCAGTAAGGGTGTAGACCCTTCCTCCCTTCTTCCGTAATTTCTTGTAGCTTGTCTGACCCTTGGGAAACGGCCATGAGATCGATCCACCGAGCCACAACGTCGCTGTAAGGCAAGAACCTATTGGCAAAACGCACCGTCGCGTAATGAGAACCACGAACAAGTCTGTAACCAGTGTTTGGATCGTCTGCCCCCTGGATATTGCTCATTTGACCAACCAGAAAGGGACGCAGTTTTTCTTGGAGACTTTGATCCAGAGTATCCACCGAGGAATTCAAAATGCTTCCTAAGGCTTGCTCAATACTGACAAACATCTGAGGACTCGAATCATCACAATTCAAGGATGTGAAAAGCCATTTGATAAGGTCGAAATCTGAGAAAGCATCCTCCTCATCCTTCAATTGGAAATCGACCTTCGGAACTAAGATACCGATACTTTCGTAGGCGAGACCTCGCAAACTCAAATCCGTGGAAGGGAGCCTTTGTCCAGAGGCTCCGGGGCTGGGCCATCCCTGAGACTGAATGAAATCCATCAATCCTGCGATAACCTTGGGCGCCATCTTTTTGAGAACGGATGGCGACCCCATGCGAACCACCCATGTCGTGAAGGTAAAGATTTGAGTGCGCAACTTCGAGGCTTGCAGCCCCTGCGAGGACCTTGCGGTGTCGGATAGGAGGCCCTCTTCTATGAGTCTAAGTACTCGTCCAGGCTCCTTGGTAGCCTGGATCGACTTTCCAAGGACCGATAAGATCTTGATCTGCAGAGAAGTGCGCGCTGGGGGCGCACCATCAGAGGACCCTGTTCCGAAATACAGCGTATACAGCTCGTCGACGACATTGGCATCTTCAAGATTTGGGATGAATCTTTTCAAAATCTCCTCGCCCAAGTCCGAGAGTCGCGAATTGGCATCAGACGATGCGATCAGAGCAGGCAAAAAACGCTCAGAATCCGTGAACGCTGCGCTTGAGAGGAATCTCAAACTGGTGACTTTGGTCTCTGTAAGGTTCAATCCCCCACTTGAAGACGGGTCCCATGCCTCAGCCACAGGTGCATCCCTGTTCAAGAAAGCGTAATCTGCAGGGGATAGTCCCGGGCAGGTGGTGGAATTCTTATCCGCAGGGGAAAGGATAAGGAGCTTCTTGAACCAGGTAGACAAAAAGGCAGTATCCTTGTCAGAAAGGCCTAGCCGCTCCTTAAGCTGCAGATCGTCCTTACTTTCTCTCGGGGGAAGCTTAAGCAGCGGTAATAGTCGCAAGACAAGGTTGAACACAATGGCTGCCTGGTTCGGGGATGTGCCTATCTCCGAGATCCCCTGAAGCAATGGAAGAAGTAATTCTATTCTCGCGTCATGGCCTAATCGATCGATACCCTGCTGAAGGTATACCAGATCAAAGTGCCTGATGAGCTGGGATTTCTGTTCCTTAAACTGCTTCAATAAAGCCGTGACAGGGAGCTTAATGGACGGTGCTTGAATCCGAGTGTTAATATGCTGGCACACACTGATTATTTTATTGCGAACCGCAAGACTCTCTGATCCAAGCTTCAGCAGTAGAGGCGCCAGATATGTATTGAGCAGGGAATCAAGCTTGGCATCTGTGTCTGCCAGGGCAATTCTCAGTTCCACCTTCGATATTAAACTCAACTCGCGGGCCTCGGCGCTCGCTGACGTGGAGTCTGAAGCCATATCCTCCGAGGGTCAACAAAGGGATCAAACTGAACAACTCAAAGCATTGGACCTGAAGACTTTGCGAGAGTAGATAGATTTGGGTTAGAACGAAGAGGTAAGAAGCTAGTGAATTTATAACACCCCTCGCGCTCCAGGTTGAAGATGCACTCACGTCATTAGGCAGAGTAGAGCTTATGAGGCCGCGACGCTAACTCACTCACTAACATCCCGCATTATTAGTCATTATATGCACACCAGTGCACAATTAATTACAAATCCGGTCAATTCACAGGAGACAAATTTATTTACAGTTTAAACTCGACCAGCTTAATGCCTAGTTGGACAGAGAATAATCGCAGAAAATATTTGGTACAAGATACACACATATCGATTTATTGCCTGGACCGAAAAGTTTCATGATCTCATTCATGTATCTTAGTATGACTGAGGCGCTATCATCTAATCATAACCAAAAAGCAAAACAAATGTAGTAGATATGTCGTAGATATCAAGTAAATTCATGGAGAAGTGGGATTTGTCCGCCGCACTTCTGCTGCTTCTCCTCTGAGAAACCTTGCCACTTCCCTGTGGGCGTTGTCTGAGCCATATAAAGCTTCCTTTGTCTTGCTTGTCCTGCCAAAAAGACACTGCCATAGATCATCTTTCTTCACGATTTCTCCTCCCGAACCTCCAGCCATTAATCTAGACAGTGGGGCATCTTGAATCTCTGAGGAATTTGCTGAGTCGATAGCGACTTCGGTGACAGCAACGTTCATATTCGTACCGTCTTTTGAGGACACTGTAGATTCGGTGACATGCTTTTCGAAGGCCGTGTCACCTTGCTGGGACATGGTTGAATGAGACTCTCTTTGTCTTTCTTTTTGGATAATGTGATCCTGGCGGCGAGAAACGGAAAGTTCGTAGATCGATTGCTCAACGGTATCCGAAACTAGATACATCCAAACCGTGGTAGGTCGACGTTGACCTATCCGATGCACACGGGCTATTGCTTGAAGCTCGATTGCCGTATTTACCAGCGGTTCGCAGAGAAACACATGGGTAGCATTGACAAGGTTAAGACCGGACGACTGTGCTTCGGCGTGCAAAAGAAAGCATTCAACCTGAACAATGCTGTCAGTACATGGTCTCGCGGCCTTCGAGAGAGAAAACGGAAAGAGCGGGGATAAGTCATACCGAGGGATCAGTCTTGAACATGTGTATGCCGTCTTTATTATCAAAAGTGCTATATCCAATCTGGAATTTTTTGAACGCCGATCCGAGGATACCAAGAAAATACCTATATTGAGAAAACACGACAGATTTTGAACCGGGGTCACGCTCGCGCAACCATAAGATGTGACGCGCCAGGGTGTCGATTTTCGTACCAAAGGAGCTGTCGAGGTCGATATTCTTGATTTCGCTCAGTGTCCCTGAGCTAATGTCAGTGTATATAGAATTCTTTCTCAGACGTTCAGATCCCATCTTCATAGAGGGCTTTTCTTCTTCGGCGACGAATTCTTGGGGTTTGTAGGTGATCTGATGGAAATCGTTCGCTTTTAATCGCTTTTTGCATGTTGGACAGGTCCGACTTCGACTCCACCACAACTGTAAACATTCTTTACAGTATTTGTGTCCACAAACCGTCAATACGCCTACGAATAATTAGACGAAAAAGAACCGAATACTTTCCAAGGTAAGAGCTGTTTGTACGTACCGATTTCAAAGCCCGACTGGCATATAATGCATATCCTTGAGGACTCGTCCGAACCAGATTCATCTCGCAAGTGTAGAAGGTAACGCAGTTTGGCCTTCAAGGAAGAAACCTTTTCGGCGGTTATGCGCTCTTGCTCCAGTTGAGCAGCGAAGACCGCTTCATTCAGCGGCTTTCCGACACTCTCTTCGTCATATGGGGCGACAGTATCTGAAATTCGCTGTAACTGACGATAATACTCCAAGCGGTGGTTCATTGTGTCCCGAAACATCTCCACTTCCTTGCTCAAATTCAAGGCAGCCTTGTTTTGTTCGGATGCCATATTGCTAGCATGTTTGAGTACTAAAGTGACAAGCCCCAGCTCAGCACGAGCTCGCGAACTACCCTCGTTCGCCTGCCACTCAAGGGAGGTGGCAAGGCTACGAAGTTCGCTGATGATGCCCCGAAGCGAACCGAGCTGAGGTTCTGGCTTGATATCACTACGAGCATTCATAGTCTCCAGGTAAAGCTTCGGAGAAGGGCCTTCGCCTTTTTGTGCTTGGATGATGCCCATTTTGACCTCATGGGCGATTAGAGTATTTTTCTGTCCGGTGAGAGCATCATTCCGATCGGCAAACATGGCACGCAGAGCTTCCATGTAGACATACATCTCGTCTTGAAGTTTCGTAGATTTTTCGTACTCGTCGCCTTCGAGCTCTGAGTCGTCTTCCTGGTCTATCAATGAGCGTGAAAGCAGCTTGATCATAATCTGACGCCACATATCGTATTGAACAGCGTGTCCGTTCAAAGCCTCACAAAAATCTTCAAATCTGTCGAGAACCCGATGTGATTCTAAACCACTGCTATAAAGCTCAGGGTTCATCTGGGGAATTTTCACGAACTGTTGTGTCCTTTGCTTTTCTCTTATTTTCCTCATATAACGGCTTGCCTTTCTCGAGACATCAGCTAACATCTCTTTTCTGATGAGTTTCGCACTTTCATATGCTTCCATTTCGGACTTTTCCAGAGACTTGAATTTGTCGGTATCAGGCGTGGTAAGGTTTGGATCCGTCTTGATTTGGTAGTAGGCATTTGCAGTGAAGAAAACGCAAGTATGCTGAACGTCGAGAGCAAAGCGCAGTCTTTGGCGGTATGTGCCTACACGAGTATTCTTCTCCACCTCATTGCCCTCATTGTCGCTTAATTCGGCCGATGCGCTGTCGTCATCAACCTTCGGGGTTCTAATTCCATTTTTTGCACATTCCGAATTCAGCCGTTCTCGACATTCCTCGACAATGGCATTTGCTCTCTCCAATGACTTGGTCCACACGTCAAGAGCCTCCTGTCGGTGCAGAGCATTCTCTAGTAATTGCCCGCGGCGTGCTTGGGACAACAGGAGAGTACGTTCCTCTGCCTGAGCCAGTGAATCGGTTTGATCAATCATGACCTCGAGAACTTCATTCACGGATCGTAGAGGGCCTCCCGTTCCAAGTCCTCGGCGGTGACTTCCCCCAGGGTGAAGACAAGTTTGTCGAAGTCTGGCAAGCCAGCTTCTCATCCTTTCAATGACCAAAAAGTCATCAGGGCTCCAATCATCGGTAACGGGAGCACCCGTGTAATCAAGACCACACTCTTCGCACATTTGCTCGAACAATTGCCCGTATCGCTGCTCTTCAACTGCAGTAAAAGGAACTGTGAGAACGATCCTCTTCTGAGGTGGCAGTCGAAGCTCGTCCCGAACGTTATCTTTGTTGTGCCTGATTGCAGTGCTGTGGACTATTTGCGCTAGTGTTGGTTTAAAGAAGTGACATAATCTGTTCCAAACTCCACAGAATGGCTCATAGTGGAGGAAAAGCAAGAGTCCAAGCAGGTCGGTAATATCTCTGCGAAGAGGAGTTCCGGTCACTGCCCAAGCATTTTGGCGAGGAATCAAACGGGCAACCTTTGCTGCGTTACTGACTCCAGTTTCAATCATTTGAGCTTCGTCAAGGCAAACCCTCCACCAAGAGATCTGAACCAGGAGTGATTTCCTTGGTTCAAACCTTTTCTCGTGCCGTAGATCGCGTTTTGGGGCATCCCCAGAATAATGGACCTCTCGGGCAAGGACATTGTAAGTAGTAAGTACGATATCGTGATCCACAAGAAAGCTGACTAACTCTTGATTAGACATCGTCTTGTGCCGCTGGATACCTTCATAATGAGTTACGCGGAGGCCTGGTGCGTGCGACCGGATTTCTTGCTCCCATTGTTCGAGGATTGCAGGAGGGGTTATAATCAACGTCGCCCCCGATGGTTCCAAGCCGCCATTCGAACCGTTCAAACCCAATTCAGAACTCAGTGAACGCTTGTTGAGGCAGATCAAACTGATCATCTCAACTGTCTTCCCTAATCCCATCTCCTCGGCTAAGATGCCCCCCTTCAGATACTCTCCCGCGTCGTACCAGTTATGGAGGTCAGTGGTGGCAACTAAAAACAGATGGCTGGAAAAGCAAACACGCCCGTCTGCATCGGTGAACTTTTGAAAAGACGTAGGTAGCGAGTCATTCGAGGGGTGCCTGGAAGGAAGCACACGGCCATCCGATTGGAGTGCCATGCCCTCCCTTTGAAGAAGCCATCTAACCGCTCTCCTTTGGAATGGGAATAGTTGGCACTCGATCATATGGCATTTTATCTCCTCCGAAGATTGTGGGGTTATTGGTGGGACATAAACGTTCTGGTAGAAATCGTGTGGCGACCAAGAAGACTCTGACGATTTTCGATTGCGCGACTGGGACCCTCCTATTGGCGTAGTATCATCACCCTGCAAAGCATACTTGCAAAATACACGGTATTGTTCTTGTGTCAGACGGCGTTGTTGTAAGATTTCAAGGGAATCTTTCCAAAGCAATGTTGTTTCGAGGCGAAAGCAACTGTTTTCAGGCAGATAGAAAAGCGTAGAGACGTAACACGCAGTTGGTACTTTTGTGCCATATCGATCACCGCAAGGAAGACCACTGGCGAGCTCCAGGTTCTCTCCAAACTTGACTAGTTCTGGATCACTGGACGTGATGTCAAGGAATACCTCTTTATCCGACACAGTCGTCAACCGTAGCTTGAAACAGTCACCTGAGGTCTGCCTAGACCCTATACGGTGGGAGTTCGGAGTGGCCCCGTGAGAGCTCTCTGCAACTTCGATGAAAACAGCGACGGGGCTTCCAATACCAGGTGGCAACGAGACAGTGTGCGCAAAGTCCTATACAGAGGAAGGCTTTCATTAGTAGCTAATCTCAATGGTACGACAAGAAACACGAGCAATTGACCGGGTTCAGTACCAGATACAAGGAGAAGCGTGCCAGAGGTATATACCCGAAAGGAACAGAACCAAGTGGCGTATGTGTTAGATCTCTCAAGCTCCGGGGAGCTGCAACTGTCTTGCGACGCTTCCCGGGTGGTTCATTATCGCTGGATTCCTCATGTCGCATGAAGGCAGCCGCCAGGTTATTCAGGACATCAGCGCCTGCAGGAGATTATTAGTGATTATTGAGTCCGACTTTCGTTGCAACATTGAGAAATGATCTCACCTAAATGCGCAATACGTGCATTCGCCACAGCCATCACACAGCAATAGACTTCATCTCACCAGACCTGCTCCTAGATGTAAAGATGTCCGAGTCCAACCATAATGGAAACGTGTACGAAGGATCAATGAATGAAGACCATCATCAATGGACTTATCGCATGAAATCACGTGGTGATAACACGATCCGCTCACTGTCGGGTTATTCTAAATCCGGCTTATCGGGAGTGGTCTGTATCCATTCCAATGTTTAAGTGTGACCCACTGGGAGGTGCGTCACTTGAGTGAGGGCTCGTCGACACCGTCCAAATATCTAGGCAGTATCTACAGAGTAGATGCATCCCAGTTATGTCTATTCAATATGCCAGTATCAATACTACACATCTTTCAAATTGATGCCGATAAGTTTGTGAACAAAAAATTACCGCGTGGTCTTGGAACAATCAAAAAAAGACAAAGGCAGACTATATGAAGCAAGTATGCTCATCGCTCCCCGTGACACATATGCTTAGATACATCCAAAACCAACACGAAAGTACTTGATCCGCTGTAAATCTGTGTCTATCGACCCATGGTAGATTGGAAGACCTTGGCCGCTAGTTCACTCAAAAGACGTGCCCGGCCATCCTGCGGAAGATCCAAGAAGACATCATAGACGCTTTTGCCTTTGGCATCGCGAACAGCACCAAGTCGGTTTCCAGCTACTGCACCCGCAAAGGCGCCTGCAGTATTTGCCATGATAAACCCAAGTGCACCACCACTGACCCCACCTATGATAGACCAGAAACGGGAGGTAGGCCGGACACGCCTCTGTCCATCTGCATCCTCGCTTTCGCTGGCAAGGCCTTCCTCACGTAACATCTCTTCGAATATAGATCCGAATTGATCAGAGGCTCGTTGCTCACTGTCCGCCGTGCCGGTGCCGGTGCCGGTGCCGAAACCGAAAGCAGACCATGGGAAACTCCCCCATCCAGGCCGAGGTGCCTCCTCTTCAGGTTCCTCCGCATATTCCCCAAATTGTCTCATGGCATCGTATTCTCGCCGGCGGGATTCATTTGACAGAGTATAGTAGGCATCGCTGATTTCTTGGAATTTACGCGTCCGAGCAGGTCGTTCGGGCGAATCGACAGGGACCCGGTCCGGGTGCGATTTGAGTGATTCCCTATGCATGTTGTGGTCAGCGCAAACGTAGTAGTATAAATGCCAAGTCTGAGGTAAATGTTACCTCTTGTACGCATTGCGGATTTCCTGCTGCGTTGCGTTGGGGGACACGCCTAAGACCTTGTCTAGAGATGAGTTAGAAAGTTTCCAGATGTCTCTTCTTATCGAACGGGCGCGAAATCGGTATTGCCAGTACTTACAGTAATCTGGTTGTTCTGTTTATCGAAATGTAAGCATGAGAATTATAGTCATAGAAGATCTGCTTGTGCTTACTCGGCATATTGTACTAATCAGGATCTGTAGTAGTATGTTGTTTGATGACACGGGTGAACAACTGTAAGCAAATGATGCTTAGTCTGTCAGGTAGATAAATATAACGATAAGCCAGAATCTTCTAATAGCGATATTGAAATCTCACGAGAATGAAGTCCAGCAGACATGACGATTGAAAGGCGACAACCACAAAAGACCGAATGACGTCAGCCCCACTCTTGCTGCCTGGGGCAGAGACACGAGCAAAGCCTCGACCGACGCTCGAGCCCGGCAGAGGCAGAAAGTACTGTGAAGGACAGCCAGAGCGGCTGGAGGCGCCCCTGGGCAACACCACCAATGAGAGGATGTTGGATCACCAGCCACCCACTTTCCGACATGCACTCGAGACACACCATTCCTACTCAGTGTACTCACTCAGATTCGCCTATTCTGATTGGGACACACTCCTGCACGATGGAGGCTTTTCAGCTTACACACTCTTTCTCCCCTGGACTGGACACGACTTTGTCCTCCGGAAGCTCTTAATTCTTTACCTTGTGAAACTGTACAATAGGTTCTGACAACTGCCTACGTACATTGACAACCCGACTACGGCGCCCGTCATCTGCTATTTAATTGGGAATCTACCACTTTCGCGCCGATTGTACAGCATCTTACGAAGAAGCCACGGAGCGTCCGGTGTCGCTGTTTAATTTTGGTTGCGGGGACCGCCAATGCAACAAATAGCCTAGAACTGCAGCTCTTTTGTGCATACTGCATCTGCAGCAAGTGGCTCCGCCTCTCCTTTCTGATTGACCGACATCGTACTGCGAATCTGAAACGCAAGGACTCTCCTGTGGTCTGTTCTAGCAGTTTCTGCCACTGAGATCGAGGACGTCCGTCGTCAATTACCCCCTCTTCCGAACAAGAAGGCCCAGAATCTTGACTGTATTCGCGATATCCCAACTCCATCAAAGGCGTCATCGCAACCAATCAATACCTTCAAGATGGGTTGGTTCGACGGAAAATCTTCCTCGTCCGGCTACTACGTCCGCCGACGCTCACCTTCTCGCCGGTCGACCTATTCCACGCATCACGCGCGACATTCAGCGCCGTCGATTTTCAGCCTAGGCGGTGGCAGCACGCGCGGCGGCGGCGGACGCTCCAGCCCGTCCGTCTTTTCGTCGTATTCGTCTTCATCGCGGCGTGCGCGACCCCGATCTGGCTTCGTGCACCGTGTGGTGCGCTACATCAAACGCCTGCTTCGGGACATCTATGACTATGCGCGTCGCCATCCGTTCAAGGTCCTAATCATGGTAGTCATTCCACTGCTTACCAGCGGCGTGTTGCAGAAGCTGCTGGGCATGATTGGCATTCGCATACCCAAGAGCTTGGGAGGTCTGGCAGGCTCTGGGGGCCTTGGGGGGCATGGAGGACATGGAGGGCATGGCTCCAGGGGCGGCGAGAATACCATGGCAGACAATCTCAAGGGGCTGATGAGCGTCGCGAAGATGTTTATATAGTCGACCAAATACGCAAGAGTAGAAGTGAGGAAAGAAGGAAAGAAAGACAGAAGGAAAGAAAGAAAGAAGGAAGAAATAAAGAAGGAAGGGACAGTCCCCAGGAATCACCAGCGAAACATATTCCAGGGCTGAAGTTTCCACGTGCTTTATGTGATGAGAACGATCATGTATGATCACGATGATGATGACGACATGACATATCTCCGGTTTCACTCATTACCGGCTTACTTTCGATTCATTAAATCGCTCAAGAGCGCGATTACTTTTTGTGGTTTTAGATGAAAGTTTATTCTTGATTTATATATACATTTGTTGTCCTATACTTGTAAACGATTACCTAGTCTTTTTACTACCACCGATTTTGGTCTATAGCGTCCAACCCACCGACATAGAACTGATTTCTGCGAGCTTCTGTGTGATCATGAGAAAGGATATCACTGTCCATCACTGTTCATTTCAAGATACCTAATATATTTTTTATACAAGAAACAACATGGAAAAGAACCCTCGTTATGGATACACGGGACAAAAAATAGACCAGAAGGGAATCACACCAGACCTCGAGGCACGATTATCCGGTTTGTATACAATTAAGACTTTTGCGAGCGCTTTCCCCTCTTTTTCGACGACTTGCTCTTGGGCGCGATGGCGGAGCTGCTCGATTCTTCCACGGGGGAGTCCGCGCTCTCAGCCGACTCGTCGCCAGCATCAGCAGCGACGTCTTCAACGGCCGAAGATCCAAACAGTCTGCCCACAGACTTGGAGTAGAACCAGATAGGGACGCGGAAGACCATCGTGTCGCTGATGGACGGGCGCTGGATCTCCTCGATGTCAAGGAGGAACTCCTGGCGCTCGCCCTCCTCCGACTCCTCTTCCAAGAACACGTTACCGACAGAGTCGACAATCAGGACCTTGCCGTTCTCAGCAACCACGCGCTTCCTCTCGCCGGTGGGTTCCACGGTCTCGGAAGTGGGTGTCGCGGTGCCTGAGGCGCGGGGAGTTGCGCGGCTCCCCTTCTTGTTTTCCTTGCGGTTCTCCCGGTCCATCATGCGCTTCTGCCGACGGTTGATCGGCATGGCAGCTGCGGCATCGCCCGCTTCGGGGGCGGGAGCTGGGGCGGGTTGAGTGGAATCAATGCCCGGGATGCCCCGGATGCCGGTTTCGTCTCCCCAAGCGGCTCTCCTGGCCTGACGGATATACCGATCGACGAACTCCCGCTGGCGCTTCCAGCTGAGAACCAGAGCGCCGTAATGGCCAGCGCCGCCGAAAACCAGAAACAGGCCCGCAAGCACGGAGCCCAGACCAGGACGGTATCGCGAATAGTAGTATCCGGTGCCCTTCCACTTGGGGAAGCCGTTCTTCAGGAAGTGGTCGTAACGATCGCGGGAGGGGCCACGGAGGATGTTGGCGACGGTGTTCAAACGAGCGGAGCGCTCGTGGGCCTCCTTGACGGCGGCTGCGATCTCCTTCTTGGACGGGCCTTGGTTGACGTGGACGCCAGGGGTCTTGGTGTTGGCCTTCTTCTTGTCCTTGGAGCTGTTGGCGATGAAGGACCGTTTGACTTTATCCGGGTGGAGGAGTCTGGATTTCTTGCGGTAGGCCTTGTTCAGCTCATCCTGGTTGGCATTGGGTTTGACCTCTAGGAAGTCTATATCGATGATGTTAGAATAGTCGGTCTGGCCACGAGGGTGTGGGTTCAAAACATACCGTAGAAGGTGACATTGGCGCCCTCAGCGGCGGACACTTCATCTTGTATGCTAAAGATTTCATGATCTACAAAGGAACATATTAGAGGGACAATTGCATCGCCACAAAGCATAAAAGACAAATAGAGTTACCGACCTTCTTTGGTCCACGCCGCTGCAAGGATGACCAGGGTCGCGAGCACGAACAGATGAAGAGTAGGCACCTTCATCTTGAAAGGTCTAGCAGTCGGGGGTTCAATGGGAGAGCGGTCAAGACCGCAAGACCCAATGAAAGATGAATGGGGGGGGGAGAAAGAAAAGGGAGGGAATTGACAGTTCGATTGGATGCAGACAATGACGCTGAGGTGTTCACAATGAAAATAGTATTGCGTACGAGCCTATCGCTGATAATACCCCAGACGCGTATTTAATTCATGGCCTAAGGCCCGAAGTGGTAAGGTGGGTTTCCATTGGGTCCTCTCAGGCAATCTTCAGGCGACAACAATGTGATCTGTCATGGATACAAAGGCGGTCAGAATGCAACACCATGGAATCTTGCTGCATACTCGGTAATTACGGGCGAATAACGAAGTAGATCATCCATGGCTGTTCGAAACAGTAGGAGAGTTTACTCCTGATGAACTCAATATCCAGGTATGGATGTTGAGGCATATTCGTACATTTGAAGTACATCTAATTCATCATACTCATCGATCATGTACCAAGCCTGATCTACTGCAGAGTCCAGACAACCAACGTGGACCAATGATTGCGGACAGGGCCACTCACGCCCAGGCAAGGCGACTGGAGCAAGGCTGATGAGGGGAAGAATAGATTATGATTCTGCATTGAGTCGATAGGAATCATGCCTAACAGTAGGAAGTACCATGTGAATAATAAACGGAAGCAAACTCGAACAGCATTGGGAGCAGCCATCATGGCTTAAATTCGGCCATTTTCCCTCGACCCGCCGCCCAATTTTGTATGCATGCATCCAGGACAGCCAGACGTTTCCCCCTCCGGCACATATCAATGTATGGGCAAGATGGGAGAAATTCCTTTGTTCTCGACCGGATAGTCTGTGGCTTTGGATAAATTGTCTTTCTCTTCCTTTTCTTCTTTTTCTTTTTTAATTTTTTCTTCTTATTATCTGTTGTTAGGCGGTGCTTCTCGAAGCAAGAGGATCAGTTGAGCGTTGTTTGAGCTGGTACATCTCCCGCCAGGCCAATTCCGCGCTCAGCAGGACAAGGCCCAGAACCAGCGGACTTACCCACATCCACCTTCTATTCTTAGTCCGCCATTCATTGGTAGACTTCCTCCGGTCGGGTCCATGAAACTGGTGAAAGCAGTGCACTTTGGATCGTTTGGAGAGCACATTTGCTACGAAGCTTCTATCAAAGATATTTGTACTTCTGGCTATAAGTTCAAAGCATTAGCTTCTTGACGGGGCGAATTGATTCGATGGGAGGGGCCGTTCTGGAAGAACCAAATAAAATACGACAGAACATCGCCGCTTTCCTGTCTTCATTTCTTGGGGCCAACTAAGCCCGTTCCTGGCTGACAACACCCGGGCCCCCTTTATTTTCTTGGGTTTCCCCCCCCCCAATTTTATTCTTATTCCACTTGCCGTCTGATTCCTTCCACCAACAACGTTCCACCTTGATTGATCTATCTCATTCGCCTCTCCCTCTCCTCCCTCTCAACCACACCCAGTTACCGATTCTACATATCGCAGTATTGTGATCTTTCATCACCCTTACAATGAGTCCGATTCAGATCCCCTTCGACGCGCTCGCCTCGCGATTCGGCGACCGTTTCAATAGCGTCCGTTCTCAATCCCTCGGGTCGCGTTTCGCCAACCTCCGCCCGGTGTCCGAGTTCCTGGACTTCAAGCGTCTGTCCAAACCCGCCAACTTCGGTGAGGCCCAGAGCCGTGTCAACTACAACTTGGGCTACTTTTCCAGCAACTATGCCGTGGTCTTTGTGATGCTCAGCATCTACAGTTTGCTGACCAACCCCGTCCTGCTGTTCGTCATCATCCTGGTCACCGGCGGTCTCTACGGGATCGGAAAGCTGGAAGGCCGCGATCTGAACCTGGGGTTTGCCCAGTTGAATACCTCCCAGCTTTATACCGGTCTCGTCTGTGTCGCGGTCCCTCTGGGATTCTGGGCCTCACCGATTTCGACGGTGCTGTGGCTCATTGGTGCGACGGGCGTGACGGTCTGCGGTCACGCCGCCCTGATGGATAAACCGATCGAGAATGCTTTTTCAGAGGAGGCGGTCTAGGTGGTCGGCCGCGAGCTCCTTACGATGTGCCCCGATGGGGAAGACCACCGGGGGCACGACAGGGGAGACAGACCAGGGGATGGGGGACTCCGTGGGTGGATGGTGACTCACGAATCCAGGAGATCGATGAGGACGATGGCTTTCTTCCATACGACAACTGCATGTCGTCGGCGAGACCGATGGGGAATAACGTGGACGGGGATGGAGGAGCCACGTGGCGGAGGCGGAATCTGGGATACGACAAATACCGGGGGGACCCTGGGCCTGCTGACGTGGTGGACTATGCCTTGTATGATGATGTGGATAGTACGGTGGCATATGCTGTTCAACTGGCTATGAAGGACAAGGAGGAACGCATGGTCGATAGTGCTTTGGAACGGATTCGACGGGCACAAACTTGCGGACAGAAAAATGTGCGATTATCGAAACGGGAAGTTGAGGCGCTAGAACGCAAGCGTCTGCAAACCAACGGCATGGTCGATCTCAACCGGAGAACGAGTATGCCGATGGCGTCCCCCGTCGATCGAGGTATGAAACCGACGGATGGTCTGCGCAAGGGGGCTCCAGGGAAGAGTGGGCTACGGCCCCGTGGGTCGAGTGCATCGCAGGGCAAGCCCGCGAGACATCCCGGTCTGGCCGATAACAGCGATATCTTCGGTCCTTGGTCTGCGGGGAATGCACCTGTCACCCCACCCTCCAAGCGGCCTCCAGCCTCACGAACTCAGTCAACCAACGCGTCACCTCGGTCTCCGCGCCCGCCACCGTACCCCACCGAACACCACTTGGACGGTCAATATGGCTATCCAGTGATGCCATTCCCGAGTGCTGCCTATCCACGCCCTCTACCCGACCACCCTCATTGGGTGCCCCCGTGGCAGGTACCGTACATGGGAGATCCGGTCCAGTATCCAATGCCGGTCCCGCGAGATGCTCGCGCGAGACCCCCTGGCCGTCCCGGGTCGTACATGTCGAACCATCCGGCCGGTCCTGGGGATTGGCCCCCTAGCGGCATGCGCGGTCCGTTAGCCTCAAGTGTTGGCCCAGGAAATACCACCGAGGGTTCCCCTGACGAGGGATCCAGCGAAGTGGACAGTGATTCCGACGACAGTGGTGATGAGGTGCAGATGGTGGAGGTGATGGAGCGGAAGGTGCCCACGAGCCCATCTTCGCCGCGTGCGACGACTCGAGGGGACCGCTAGCGCAGCAATCGTCCTTTGGAGTGTCTTCGTTTAAGCTCCTTGCATTGATATTTCGGGATTTTCGAGTGACAGCTCCCACATGGTTTGATCGTTTGTCTCTAATGTCGTGTCTTTCACTGCAGTATTCTTGGCGGGGCATGGAGCCATGGGAGCTTTAACAAGCCATAAAAAAATGGTGGAGTTTAGTATAGACTAGGATTTTAAGTTTCTATCTCTTATTTTTAAATATCATTTATCTTCTCGTCTTTTTCAATTCACCTTGATTTGAAGTTAGATTTTTTAATTTTATCTCTATTTTTAAATTGAGCCAAGGTAACCAGAAACATGAATATGCAACCGTATCTGTTCTCCACGGTATACTTACCTCGACGATCAGAGGGGGGGCAGATTGATAAGAATTGAAAGACGCAGGGGATCTACTGTCTGCCACGACAACGCAGGTTGAAAGCATCTCCAGTGTACAGATAACCGCGTGTTAATATATCAACTCGCAGCAAATATGGATCAGGAGCCAGATGGATGACGTCGACTAAGCACGAGGGCCCACATTGATCTTAGCCATCCATGGTCGATATGGTTGACTCTCCGTCAACATGGTACCTTGAACCGTTAGAATCCTACTCTGCCCCTCTTATTTATTATTTAATTTGATTTTAATTTTACACATTTAATTTCCATTATTTTATTTAATTTTATTCAAAAATTTTCCAATGTAATCCAATACTATTACCCTTTCCGATATAGTTTAGACTGGTCCTGCCGATAACCGACGGCTTCATCTCTCTCCCTTGCCTGGGAAAATCCAAGGCAGGATTCCTGATTGCCTGCCTTGATCCTCCGGCGTCAGATCCCAAACGGGAATAACATAAAACTCCGCCCACTCCAGCCTCCTCATCTTCTTCTCCTCTCCTCTCCTTCTCCCTGTTCCTTCGTTTCTCCACAGCCTGACCGCGGCTTGGGATTTTCTTGCTTTTGCTTTAGTGCTTTGGTGCTTTAGTCTCTCTCTCTCTCTCTTTCTTTTGTTCCCTTCATTCTTTTCATATTTATATTTTTCTTTCTTTCCCCCCCCCCTTCAACCCAATATATCACCCTAATACACGCCATTAATTAGACTAATCCCCCCCCCGACTCGTTGTCTTTGATAAGCTCTGTCTGAGGTGAGCCTGATCTAAGCCACTTCCGCTGTTCCCGGCGCCTTGCCCTTTATAGCCGAAACGCCCACTCTATACTACTCGCTCGGACTGTTCAACTAATTTCTCGCTCGTCCTAGGTTCACCATCTTTCCTTGTATAATATTGTCGAGCGTCCCCGTACATATTCAATTATATCATTATTACCGTCATTATATCCTTAGACGTGGTCTGGCATAATGTGGATAATTTCTTTTTGGATCTTCCCGGTTATATCGGCATGCATGTGGTTAGGTAGGTGGTTCCCGTATGCTCCCGGAACCTCCAATGCGGGAATTGACCAAGTTTAGCGATGTTGTTGGCCATGTTGGGGAATTGGGCCGTCATTGGGACCCCGCATTATAGTACTATGGAAGAGGGACAGACTATCGCGTGGGTTCCTCCCTATCCCGCACTCGCACCAAGATCGAGCGCCCAACGCTGACGCGCCATACCAGATATATTTCCGATATAGGAGCACGAGGCTTGAAACCCCTGTTTGTCGCCGGCAGTGTGATCACCGTGGTGTTTTTGGATCTCTCCTTCATTGCCGAACGTTGGCTACGCCATGCCGGCCAGTTGGTGTCGAACAAGGGCGTGTTCGACAAGACCTGCGCTTGTCTGTCGATCTTCTTCTCGATTGCGGGTGCCTTGGGTCTCATTCTGTTGTCGATTTTTGACACATGGCGCCATTCGAGGTTGCACGAGGGCTTCCTCGTCATGTTCCTGTGCGTACTGATATCTCTCTCCTTGCACGGGCCTCTCTAACAGCGATATAGGGTCGGATATCTGATCAGTGCAATCTTCATCTGTGCCGAATACCTTCGTCTGGGCATCTTCTACCGCTCTCAGCACCGCGTTCTGTTTGCCAGCTTCGTAATCAAGCTCACCTTCATCATCGTCGAGGTCGCCCTCGCGATCGCGTTCGGGGTTCTCGGCCGGAAAGGTGCTAGCCAGAGAAACACCGCCGCCGTTCTGGAATGGGGTATGTGATATTCCCCTTCTAGGTATCAACTCGCGCTAATCAGACCAGTCATCGCGTTCATCTTTACCGGTTATATTCTATCATTTGTTGTCGATCTGCTGCCGTCAGTGCGCACGCGGCGCCGCGTCCCTCAGGGCGAGAAGCGGACGGAGATGGGCATGGCCAATGCGCCACCGGTCGCTCAACCCGATGTCACACTTGAGGAACCGGTCACGACGGATAGCGCGGGGCCGAACGCCAATTACTACCGTGGAGCTCGCGTTTAGCCAATTCTTCCCACCGAGCAGTCAATTCGCATCTTGGCGCATTCATGAATTGTTTAGATACCCGGTGATGGTCACCCAGTGATCATGGAGTCTCTCATTTGTTTTATCTAATTGTCTAATCTTGATACAATTGCTGTTTATTTTGGTTTATATTTTTGTCTTCGTGGTTAACATGTGAATACGTCAACATCTGTGCCATTAGCTAGAGCTACGTGGATATAACCAGCGATATAGATCGTGTCATTAGCATTAAGTATGTATAGCGTTACACATCAGTAGCCAGTATCTATCTATCCCAGCACGCAAGTCTAAGCACCATCAGCACCAACCCAGCTCCAAAGCCAAGAATCAAGTCCCTTGAAAGACTAAGCAAGCAAAACCTCCCTCACCCTCCGCACCTCCTCCCCAGTAACCCCCACATAGCTCAAATACCCCTCCACACCCCCATACACCTCCTGCAAATGGCGCTTAATCTCCCCAATAAACCCCGCCGGGCACTTCGTGTACTCCTCGGACAACCCCAGCTTGCGGATCTCCTTCATCCGCTCGTCGACTTCAGCGACGAGTTCCGGCTCCGAGCGCACGTAGTCCGCCGCCATGGCGTCTTCGGGGACGACGTCCGCCACGAGGAGCAGACAGAGGAGGACGATGAGGCCTGTGCGGTCCTTGCCTTGCGTGCAGTGGATTAGGAGGGGGTAGACACTTTCGTCTCTGGGTTGGGTCCGGTCACAGTCTCCGTCGGTAGACGGTGTTGGCGATGTTGAAGATGGTGATGTGGGCGTTGAAGACGACGATGCAGTATCCGATGCTAAGATGTGAAATAACGTCCTCATCTCAACCGTGCTACTATCCAGCGTATCCTGACCAAGTCCGATTAGTCCCCGCGGGGACATCACCTGTTCGCCGACTATGGTGATTGCGTCGGAACGGTAGCCTGATGCTGCTAGGGATAGGACTTTGCTATTTGCTGTTAGGAGCTCTCTTCCTTCCTGTTCGTTGAAGAAAGAAGAAAGGAGGGGGAGGAGGAGGAGGAGGGCATACAAAAAATTCCACCAATCCAACTTCCACAGTAAGGTCCGCTCAAACGCCTTCCCCGTCAGACTAACAAGGTGCAATTGCGCGCCGGGGAGCTGCACCAGGTGTTCGTCTGGGGTTGCCGCTGCGGCGGCATCAGAGGAAACGGACGGATCCTCCTTCTCTAGCTGGGCATCATTCTCGGCTCGTCGCTTGTCGGTTGCCATTTGGTGTTCGGTGCTTTTTAGACCGGGTGAGTATCATACTGCTGTTGGGTCTAAACGGGGTGTGTATGTAGGACATACCTCGATCTGAGATCGATGACTGTGGCGATGTGCAGTTCCTCTGATAAGCGTCGCTTGTCTCTTTCGGAGGCGTCATCGGGCTGTGCTTTGGTTAGTATTGACCAAAGTAAACATGACAATATCGTAAGATGACATGGTATAAAGAAAGGAAAGAAGACATACCCTCGCACTCCGATACAGCACACCCTCTTTTAAAACCCTACATCATCACTCCAGCATTAGCCCTTTTACCAAAAACAACCACCATATTAGAGAGAACGAGAAGATAAAACATACCGTCTCCCCAACCACTGATTAACAGAACGGCCCACATCCCGGAAATTGATGATATTGTCGAACGGCCGGTCGGGGGAGTCAAGGTCAATGCTTGACTGGCGTGGGTGGGAGGCTCTCATCTTGCTTTCTTTCTTTCTATATGAAAGATGTCGTCTACTACTCCGGGGTAAATCCTTAGGTAGAATTGTAGTAGTCACTATGGACTATACGGTAGAGACTCGTGGGGTAGTACTATATCCGCAACACAGCAAGGTATCTTCGCAAACAACCTCGCCCCAGAATAAGTAAGTAGGATCAGATGTGTTGTCTGCGCTTGTCTCCTGCTTTCCGGCCCAAGTCTGAATGATGGATGCCCCGGCGGTTCGTTGGTTTGGTTTTATTCCATTCGTTGGAGCGGCAGACGCGCGCGCGTCAAATGGCAAATGGCAAATGGCGGTGGAGAATGGAGATCCTTTTTTCCTTTTTCCTTTTCCTTTCTTTGACTAACGGTTACTAGTGGAGATAGTATCTCAACGTTTTTTCTAACTACTTACTACCCCGTTTTTCGCTGCGCATAGCTGGGCTTAACTGTGGGGATGGATTCTTTGTCTAGATATTAATTCGTGGTTTTATGATAATACTCCTCACTGATCTTGGACAGACAACATGCATCCTATTAGGCAGTATTACTACTAATGTACAATATCATGAAGACAGTAATGATGATAAGAACGACGACAAGAACAATAACATCAATACTCTCTGGCATGATTGCCATTCAGACAGAGTGAAAAACTAAAACCATAGATACACCCTCCCCAATATCCACGGGCAAAAAAAGGAGAAAAAATGAAAAGAAAAGAAACAAGATGAGCGAATGGTTGACTACAAATCCTCTGAGAATCGCGACTCCCGTCCAGCGCCATTGGTCATATTCTTCCCAGCAGCAGGAGCGGGCAAGCCTTGGTCGGTGGCACTCTCGCGGAGAAGTTCTCTCTCGTCAGGTACGGCATGAGCATATCTGGGAGTGCCTTTCTGGCCATCGGTCTGGGCGTCCTCGTTGTAACCCTTGACTGACTCGTCCAGTCCCGATCCCGAGGATCCCCCCGAGAGCATTCTGGAGAGCCTGGACTTCAGTCGCGATGAGGGCTTGTCGCTGGCGTGGTCCGCCGTATTCTGCTGTGCTTTCTGGGCCATGGCTTGCGCTTGATCCTCGTCGACGGACGACATCCGCCGCGTCTGCATATCAGTCAATTCGTCGGCAGTCACGGGGTGCGATCGAAGCGCCGCGCGCCGAGACTCGTCTGCGGCACTCTCGGTTGATTCTTTGGGGGCCTCGATGGATTCCTTGGGGGCCTCTGTGGTTTCAGCAGTCTCGGTCGTCTCTTCAGTGGCAGAAGGACCTTCAGTCACGGCAGCGGCTTGTCGTGCAGACGCATTCTGGGCGCTCTCGGCACCTTCAGAAGCCTTCCGGACTGGCGCAGCGGGCTCTTCGGTGGTTTTTTCGACAGGGTTCTCTCTACCGGCAGCGGGCTCTTCGGTGGTCTTTTCAATAGGGTTCTCTCCACCGACGGCGCTCGAGACTGGCTCCTGTGCCGGTCCAGTCTCCCTCGAAGTATCAGGCGCGGTCACGCTAGAACGGGAACCACGCTTGCCCCTAAACCAGGATTTGAACTTGGACTCGGACTTAGCCTCCGCGCCACCATACCCTGAGACTGCACCGGAAGCGAAGGCTGCTTGCTCGTCTTCTGCTGTATTGAGTTAGCTGTGTCTTGCATACGGCCCGAATGGCGGCGAGGTCTCTCAGAGCGCCAGTGTGCAAAAGGATAAAGGGCACGTACGTCTGGATTTTCTCCTCCATGGCCAAGATTTCTCCTCCATGTTCTTCGAGTTGTATTTCATATAGGCTGTGTTCTCCGTTTAGTACTTCTCCTACCGTCAACTCAAAAGCAGGATCATACCTTTCTGTTCTTTTTCTTCGGCTCTCAGCTCGGCCTCGCGCTCGCGGTAGATGGCTTCATATCTTTCCCTTTCTTCTTCATCCAGGCGTTTCTCCAACTCCCTGGCCCTCTGGCCCTCCGCACGATCTGTGATTTCGTTCAGGGTGGGCTGCAACCTCGAGCGGGCAACGGCCTCAATATCGGCCATATCCATGTACTTCTTGGCCCCGAGATCGACTTTGTCTGCGTAGATCGACTCGGTCTCTCCGCCCAGGACATCCTTTCGGGCACGCATCAGGGCCGCATCCTCCCACTCTCTCTGCATGGAGGGCGGCGCACGGCCGGTTTCAGCATAGACACGCATTTCCATATCCCTCATTTTTGCGTCCACGTTTCTCCTCGCAGCTTCCAGTAGCATAGACCGGTCAGTCTCTCGCTTTTCGTCCACTGCGTCGAGTCTCGACCGCAGACTGGACATCTGAAATCTGATCTCCCTGGACCGGTCCACGTCGAACCCCGAGGTGCTGTCCGAATCCACAGAGAGTCTCCGCCTCCGCGTTGGAATGTCGGAACGGGCTTCCTCCTTATTAATAGCATAGTACTCTCGATAGAGTGCATTATCATCCTGCATGGCAGCCAACTTCTCTGCAGCAATCCTCTGAGCCGTCTCCTGCAGATTTATCGCCTGCTGCAACGGTCCGGATTGTTTCCGAGGCGCTCCAGTCCCGCCCTCACCCGTTGGTCCTGTAATCTGGTACATCTCCTGCGCCATTGATATCGCAGCGGCCTGCACGACGCTTTTCTTGCGCTGCTCTTCCACCTCGGGAGCGACAGGCGGAGAAGCAGTATACAGCCGGGCGTTGTTACTCGCCACTCGATCGAGCTTACCTACTCCTATCGAATGACCGATGTCACCAGGAGCCTCGCTATCTTCAGCGAACGACACGCGACGCGGCGCGTCAGACGGTGCAGAGTCAGCCCTGTTCCTGCTCTTGAAGGCCCCCGATGCAGCATTTATGGCTCTTCCCTTCTGGGCTGGACCACGCTGGGCTTCGACCCTTTGGTCTGTCACCGACATGCCTCTGCCCAGGTCGACTGATCCGGAGGGGCGACCCTCTCGGACGGCATGCAACGCAGCCTTATAACCATGCTCGCTGGTTCCATCCAACGAGCCTCGATGGGCCTGAACGTCAGGAATTGCCTGCTTCTCGAGTTGTCTATTCCTAGCATGGGTCAGAGCAGCGACCGCCGAGGCATGACTGAAGCTGGGACGGGACCCTGTCGCTTTGATGCCTAGGCACAGATGGTTTGTTAGATATTCTCACCCGATAGCATTGGAGGAAGAGAGAGCTTACTGAGTTGTTCGGTATCGGCTGTCGCCGCGGGTTCACGGATGGATAGCCTGCGCTCTGGGTGCGTCACATAAAGCGCAGCTGTCGCAGCTATTCAGAGTACCCGTCAGAAGGACCCAACGTACACCCATGGGATACCGAGACTCACCTTGATCTGCTAACCGGGCTGACCGGGAACGCGGGATGCGCTGAACAGGAGGCTGTTCGACAGTGGCCATGATAAGATAACGTCGGGGAGTGGTAGATGATGACTCTCAACGGCGACAGTCATATCCTGGAGATGCGAAGAGAAAGGAAAGAGAGCGAGAGGGCGGCGGCGGGATGATGACATGAAAAGGAACTGGCCTGAAGAAAGGGTAGTGTAGGGTTAAACTCTGGGAAGGACGATGCAGAAGTTTGGATCCGAGTCAAATTGTCTCTGACGTAGTTGGTTACAGGGCTCCACGATCCACGGATGCTACCTGCCGAATGATCAGATCACGATCAGATCGGGTTCTCGGGGTGGAACGAACTCGATCGACGGGCGTAAGGCTGAGAGGATTGATTGGGTGGGTGGGTGGGTTGGATAGGAAAAGTCGCTGATGTCACGACGTCGTCGGGTAACTTGATCAGAGAGGGGCAGGGAGGAGCGGAAGAGATGAAAAAGGTTACAGTCGTTCGGCCGGGTCCCTCTTTTATTTTCAGAGAGTTGTCAGGGCTGGATCGAGTCGTTGATTCTACCATTTCCTGCTGGGGTTCCGTTTTCGATCGTGTTGCTTTTTTGGTCGTCTCGTTGGTCAGCTGACTCGACATTCCACGGACTCTGGTATGGAGATGTTTTGAAGGCCGGTTTCAAGTACACCATTCATGTGGAAATATGCTATACAAAAATAGAAATAATCTAGTGGTGAGGTGCGATTTGGGTGCAGTCTCTACTGGGTAGTCTAGCACTCAAGGGATGACCCTCCCTACGACTGTGAACAGTGAATCTAGAGAGAATAGAAATTACGCTGTATTCTTATTGCTAACCGTAGAATAGCAAACAATTGGATATTCCGAATCGAAAGGCCGTAATCCACCTTGATATGATAGATAAGAGTAATCACCACAGGTGTAGAAGCTTCAAAATATCGTGCCGGGCAAAGAACGATCGGTTTCGCTTGCCGAACACATCTAAAAGCTGTTAGCTCACTCTCGAGAGGGCCGTCGATACACATACACATAGGGATACTCAGTAAACAGATCCCCATCTGGATACTGGAAATAGCCAAGAACGCCGGTCGAACGCCGTTAGAAACCAGCCAGTCGTAGGCAAAGAACGTCAGAACAAAGCTGAACATGTTCTTGAAGATGAGCATGCAAGTGAACGACTCGATGGTGATTTCGCCTGCAGATAGGGTTCTGTATTAGCGGACGGAAGGCTCGGGTCCCTTTCTTTGCGGTAAAACTCACGGTGGGCATCTACGATGTACAGCGCACTAGCTACAGCTCCCAGGACCATGCCAATCACGACAAGAGCGAAGAAGACATCCGCTACAAGCCAGCCATATCTGGCAACGTCTTCGGATACAATACCGAAGCCGTATAACCCCGCGCCGCAGAAGACGAGTTGGAATACCACGAGCAGGATCCGGAACTCGGGCTCATATCGGCCCTTGTTGAGTTTGATCATGACGCGGTTTAATGAGTCGGAGAGCAGCCCTGAAAGAAACAAGCCTATGATGGAACCGATGAAGGCACCGGTGTATAGATACCCAGTCTTGACCTCGTCGAACCAGAGAGGGGGCCCGAGAAAGATGGCAGCCAAGACGACTCCTATGAAGACGGTCCATCCGATGATAACGCCTTGGATCAAGCATGCCTTTTGAAAGTCAGGTCAATTGACACGTAGTCACTAATGCGTTTATTGAGTGACCTACCCAGAGGACTGCGGGATGGAAGAACAGGGGAAACGGCCTCAAAAGCAGCTTGAAGAAGTTTTCGTCCGTCTTGCGGCCATTGAAAGGCTTTAGGGTTTGCAGGTAAGAAACCCTTTCTGAGGCTCTAGTTGTCTGATTGCGCTCGTTATTTGCGGCAGATGCGTCCTCTTCTGAGATGATCGATGGCTGTTCTCGGGTTCCCTCTCGGGCCGTGGAAGTCTTTTCGGCCTCCGTTTCTAGATGACGGCCCTGACTTGGTCCGTCCTCATTGTTTTTGGGCTGCGCACTTATTGCCGTCCCATCCTGTTCATGCTGAGTACTGTTACGGTCGGTATCCAAACAGTCCGGCCGCCGGAAGGCAGTTTCTGGGACTAGAAATATGGTAAGAGGTAGGCACGCTGCGCTGAAAATAGCCACCAGGTAAAAGGTCCACTCCCAGCCAAGGCTGTGGGTGATCTTGCCCGCAAGAACTGGAGTGAGGAAAGCAGCGCCGAATAGGGCAACGTTTGACAGCGCCATTCTCTTCCCGCGTTCCTGAGAAGAATGAGCAGGGTGTGGCCAGACGGGGGGCAGTAAAGACGTACGTGGACAAAGAAGAGATCACCAACGCATGCGTTGACTAACGCTTCGAAAGGGGCCAAGGCGACACCCTGGAAGATGCGAGACCATAGAAGACTGTCGTAGTTCTCTCCACTTCCTCCGGCCCACGCAGCACTGACTATCATCAAAATATTGCCAATTATGAACAAGTGACGCTTTCCCCAGACTCGTGCCGTCGGCACAATCAGGATACCCGCGACGCCCACTCCGCAGAGGTGATACCCCGTGAGGAGTGCAGTAGACGTGAAGCTCTTCCCGTAAAACAGGGATATGGTCACTGTGTTGGCAGCCATGAGAGAACTGGTTGTTGCGCATAGTACTGCAACAATCGACAGGGCTGATATTATAAGATCGCGCTTCCATAGCGGCCAATTCTAGATCCATTCTCGATCATCAGTCACATTCTGTGACGCTATTCGCCAGGATTTCAAGCGTACCAATGGATCATTGGGGTCATCGGTCGGTTGAGGAATAAGAAGTACAGGAACCGCGCCGGATCGATCATATTTGAGGTTTGGGTTGAGGGCCGAGTCGATCGTTTGGTCTATTGATTGTTCTTTCTCTAGGATGTCCGAGGTACCTGTACGGCCATTCGATGAGCACGGTATTTGTGGAAATGGGCCATCAACTGATAGCTCACTCACCAGGGACATTGGTCAGCACGGTATCTTCAAGCACCCCGAGTCCCATTTTATCGACGGAGGCGGAATGGACTGCTTCCGATGCAGATGGGCCGGTTCGACTGGGGCTGGTTTGAACTGTCTAGGGTCGGCCCTATGCGAGGAGAGAAAAGGACCGTAAATACCCGTTCGTGTGATTTAATGTTTGCTCGCACCGAATTAGTATTGATTCCCGGCCGTGTTGACAGTAGGTAAAGTGCATTCAGAAGTGGTAATTGATAGTTTGGTCTGTGTACTATTGGTTCAGCCACATTCTTGTCGGATGGGATGGGAAAACATCCCTTTCATCCGCATGGAAGATCAAATCAAATGAAAGGCAATATCACTTACTTTTTTCTTTAAAGCTCTCTGGATAGACTTTGAGCCTATTCTTGAACAATCTGGCCGATGCACAACAAGACAATTCCCAGATCTCCGATGCTCTCAAGTCGCACTCCACCCGAAATTGGGACCTGCAGGCCCCCCCTTGTGTTTCATTGTTGGATTTCATGTGGCCTGTCGATGATACATACCAAAGTGTCCTTGCATCAAATGATCAACTGGCGAGTATGAATGGATGTATGATACGTCGTATAGTCTCTGTACTTGGGGGAATATGTTACTCCAACACGGCACTCGCGGTACAATACAATATCGCACTTAAATAGTATATATCTACAGACCAGATGCACGTTCTGGGTTGATTCATAGCTGGATACGATGTGGCTTTATTGTCAAACATAATATTTGCTTGCTAATAGTGCCAAACACAGTCGGGAAACACCAAGATCTATTGGACGCAATATCATCAATTGACGACCAAATTGGCATGTTTCAAGCCACAAACAAAATGATATCCACTATTGACGACTAGTGATTGGCAAGTGGGACAGATCCACGGTTTATAATCTGGGGTTCGATCAAGCACTATCTCCTCCCTCCATCTACTAGTAAACTCTTTGCAGTTCGTGGAGATATGAAGTCACTGAATCACATTCCATGAACCACCATGATGTCTCGAGATGAGATCCAATTCAAGTAGTAATTCAAGGATTGTCGCATGATCCGGCGACGCCGCTGTACCCTTGCGTCTTCTTTGTGTCCCATGTCTGTATCTCAAGTCACATTTCGAGTTGACTATTTCCATCATTATCCCTTGCCCCATCCCTCCCCACGGCCGCTTTCTTTCTCCCCTCGTATTGAGTTCACTCCCGCAAACCCTCGAGGGAATGCAAGGAGTGTCGATACGCCAGTATACATCATTCCTAGGTATCTATGACAGTGATCATTAAGATGAGAATCGAGTCTATGTAGTTGGAAAATAAGGGAAATCATCGTAATCAGCGGTACTTGTCTACTATCTTCGACTATCTTCTACTATCTAATATTTGTTTTTCATTTTCCACTTTAGGTGGAGAAACTGTGTCACTTCCAAAAGCAAATGGTAATAATCGCGTATCTTGCCTCGTCACCGAGGTATTGTTGTGGCATCCCCAGAGGATGAAACCCTCCGGTATGCAACTGACCTGCCGGTGAATTCGAAATTCCCCTCAAGATTCCATCGTTATATTCTTCCTCTCATGTGCTTCCTCCCCTGAAAAGACCTCCCGGTGTTTCTATTTGACCTAAGCCCAACATTTTCGGCCAATCCCACCACCAAGTACATCAAATACTCGCCTTTGCTATGAAGCTTCACTATATCTCGCTCGCCCTCGTCGGGTTCCTGGGCACGGCTGCTGCCCAGGGAATGAATGGTCTTCCTGATTGCGCGGTACGCACCCTCATTGACTCCGCTGTGACGCGGTTTCTGCCATGTTAGATCAACCGATCTTGTTACTGATACTCCCAGACAGAAAGAATGTGCCACTGGGTCAATTCCCGACACCTGTTCGATGATCGATATCAAGTGCATCTGCTCCACCAAGTCATTCCTAACGGATATCTCCTGCTGCGTTAAGACCAAATGCTCCGAGGACAAGCAGAAAGGTAAGCGATGTCTGCCATTTAAAGCGCTCACTAGGCTCGACCTTGCTGATACCTCTCTCCCCCTCTCAGAAACCATCAAATTTGCCCACAAGATCTGCAGCGGTGCTGGCGTGAACGATCTCCCCCAGAGTGCGAGCTGCGCCAGTGAAAGCTCCACTTCCACCAAAACGTCATCCGAGTCCACGACCCAATCGGCCACTTCGACCGGTGTGACTGGCACCTCAAGCCCGTCAGCAACGGATGCCAAAGGTTCGAGCACGGATACTTTGCCAACCGCGTCCAAATCACCCGATAGCGGTCGTTCAGCGTCGTCTCCTACTTCGAGTACCGACGCTGCCGCTGTCGCTCAAAGTCAAGGCATGGGTCTATTCGCGGCTGTCGGTGCTGCCCTCTTCGCGTTCCTGGCATGAGTGTGAAGGCTATGGCACTAGCGTACGCTTTATTGAGGACGTCTGCATATCAAGCGCACTGTGATGCGACCTTACTTCAACTCAAATAATGATGCCGGTGGTGGGGTGACTGCTGCAAGATGGGCCCACGACCTCTTATGGTCTTGATCTCTATCAAAAATAGTTAATGTGTATATCGTTTTGCACCGTATTGGGTGCGTCTGCTATATATCCATGGTGTAGCCGAAGCTCGCGGGGTATCCGCTGTTTTACTGCGGCATAGCATACTGTAGCAACTATCTGCTCATACTCGAAGTGACATCAATAGCCTAACCAGCGCATGAGCAAGATAGCATCCAGGTAGCTACTCAAGGGAATAGCTAGTCGCCCTACCAAGAAATATCTCTTCGGTTACTTTATCCGCACAGGCTAATATGGATGCGAAAGTACTACTCATTAGTTCATTGCCTAGCCACGATCTTTCTTCACGAGTGGAGACCAGGCTGCTGATAAATGCCTTGACGGCGGGCGAACTAAGACGCTTAGTGGCTAGTGAGGTATGTCATAATCTAATAGCCCCTTCCAAGTATATTGTTCAGGGGTAAATTATATCGTTCTTCGTTTCTTGTCAGGCCATTTAACAGGCTGACAGCCAATTAATTTATCTACAGAGATGGCAAAGACGGGATGATGAGAGGGGGGTAGAAAAAGGAGGAAAATGGTCTGACCCCTCGCTTTTACTGTTTTACGACCGTTGGGGATGATGTCAGGGGATTCATTATTCATTCAGTGAGGTCCGACGTCACTGCCATCGTGACTTGATAGTGGCCAACAACCAAGTTGAGATCGGTGGTGTATGGACTCTGATTATTACTGGTGCTATGATTGTCATTAGACTTGTTATTACGAGAATGATAATCCTCACTGCTACTTGCTATAATTAGTTGCCATCTTCCGAAGCCCATGCCTGCCACTGTTATTTGTGATTGTTTTATTGATATACTCGCCTATTTGATGCGGTGACTGGTTGATTGAAATGCCTGGATATTCCTGTAGATATTCAATCAAAGCATAAGCTGGTATATACTTTCTCCATGTTTGAATGTAGGGCGGAAGTCATTCAATCGGCCATTATCAATGTACTGATTATCGTCATAACCACCGTATCAACATGGCTGATCCTCAACTTTGGCATTCTTTTCCCTGTCAAAATGTAACAATGGCAATGACAGTAACAATAACAACGACAGCAACAATAAAGCTCTTGAAGTAGGGTCAGTGCCGAGGTCAAGCAGGAATGTTTGATCGTTGGAGTAGTTTCCCCCTCCCCCCTACACCAAACACGCCCTGTTCCGCCGTCCCTTCGGAGACTACTGCGGCCCCGTCCACTCTCTCTCTTCCCCCCGTCCTGATTTCACTCCGTCCTCGGATTTCCGGCCACTAACTGATCGACTATGCTCGACAGGTCCTGTTTTACTTGACTGTCCCTTCTTTATTTTTCTGTTTTGAAATATTGATTTTCATAACACCTTCTACCGCTTACCACGTCTGTCAGATCATCCCGCGGAACTCCTTGATTCCCCCCGACTACATTCCTCGTCTCCCGTCTTTCCCCCCACCCTCCTCGAGACCTACATACAGACTCTCTAGCTTTGCTTGTTTCAGTGGATGCACCTCCCACGAAAGCAACTTTTGCCCAGTAACCTGTGATCGCAACTCGAATCGCGCATAGCTTGACGACACCCTTCGAAGAACGCGGGGACCATCTTGACACATGCCGCCTCCCAGGACGCGAACGGAGGTCCATGCCCAAAAGCAAAAGGAAAAGGTTCGCATTCATCTTCTATTCCGATAGCCCGGTAGCCACAGTGCTATATTGTTCTTGATAAGTCCAATTGCGCCCACGAGTTTCAATTTGAGGCGGCGCTGGCAAATCCCCGTTGACAATCGGTTCACCCTTATCGTCGCGGACCCTTGCTAATCAGATGCTCGCGCAGCTTGCCCAATCCTACCATGAATTACTAGAGTACATATCCCCTCGATTTCCAATCCTCTTCTTGAACTGGACCATCCGTCTAACACCGTCTTCTTCGTTTCACCAGGGAATTCTCGTCCAAAGACCTCCGAACCGTCGGGAACTATACACTGGGGAGGCTGATCGGAAAGGGCTCTTTTGGCAAGGTGTACCTCGCCTCCCACAAACTTACCAATGGATCAAAGGTACGGGGATCTTAGCATTTGATTACGGATGGGTCGGTCTAATCCTCCCCTGCCAGGTCGTCCTCAAGTCTTCGAGTAGGGAAGACACGAACCTCCCCCGCGAAATCCACCACCACCGTCAATTCCTTCATCCGCATATCGCTCGCCTGTACGAAGTTATCGTGACGGAGAAGCTGGTCTGGCTGGTGCTCGAATACTGCCCGGGGGATGAACTGTACAACTACCTTCTTCGCCATGGTCCACTGTCGGTCGATAAAGTCAAAAGGATCTTCACCCAGCTCGTCGGGGCCGTCGCCTATGTCCACAGCAAGTCCTGCGTCCACCGAGATCTCAAGTTAGAGAATATCCTACTCGACAAGAATGAAAACGTCAAGCTGTGCGACTTTGGATTCACGCGAGAGTATGAAGGCAAAGCTAGCTATCTGCAGACATTCTGCGGGACGATCTGCTACAGTGCCCCGGAAATGTTGAAGGGGGAGAAATACGCCGGAGAAAAAGTGGATGTGTGGAGTTTGGGCATCATTCTTTACGCCCTGCTCGCGGGCGAGTTGCCGTTTGACGAAGATGACGATCAAGTCACCAAGGCTCGAATCCTCAGCGAAGAACCCGCGTACAACGACAACTTCCCAGATGACGCCAAAGCGCTCATTGGCTTGCTGTTGTCGAAGCGCCCCCTCATTCGGCCTAGTCTTGAAGACATCCTGGCGCACCCATTTCTAGCGGAAAACGCCTCTGAACAGCTTGCGATCTTGAAGATTCCCCGCCTGCCACCCTTCTCGATGCCCCTGGAAAAGACCACCTTGCAGCGCATGAAAAGTGCGGGGGTCAATATCGATGAAGTGGTCTCCAGTGTCCTTTCCCAACGATGTGACCCGCTCGCAGGGTGGTGGGCACTGTTGATCGAAAAGGAGCAGCGAAAGGAGCAGAAACGAGAGCGGAAGCGAAGGGAGCGGGACGCCGAAGCGAAGAACCTTCGTCGATTGAGTGCTGCGAGCAGTCGACTGGAGAGAATCTCCGCAGCCCTCGTGGAGGTGGACGAAGAAGGCCATACCTCGTCGGATGCCCCTGTCCAGGATCGAGGGCGACGGGACCGTCGAAGTTTGCCCTCACAGCTTGCAGTGCCGGAGCTTCCCATGCTCCCTGAACCAACATCATCACAGACCCCCGATGCCACCGATCCGCCCCCGCCTGTAGAAAAGGACTCGGCCCGCTCGGCAAGTTCTAGCAGGCGTCGCCCGGTGCCACCCCCGAAAGATAGAAGGCGTTCTCGACCGAGCACATTGCATGTCAGTGCCTCGCAGCCCGAATTGTCACAGCGCGATGGGATCTCCCGGCGCCGTACCAACCGCCGTCAATACCCGATCATCAGTCAGCTAGCATCCCTCAAACACTGGTTCGTGGAATCTGCGAAGCGGGCGAAGTCTCCTCACAACAACAAAGCCGCTAGTGCCCCCGGGACGCACCGAAAATATCTCGCGGAGAAGTTCAGTCCTGCCAAAGCACAGGAAAACAATCCGAAAAAGGCCATGCCTGCCTCGAGCACCTCACACCCAGGGGAGCTGGCCACACCGACTCAGATCAAGCGTGCATCCAATGCTAGCAGCCTAGCCCCGAGTAGTGTTTCCTATCCTAACCATCGTCACTCATTCCCGCGCCAACCGCGACCTCTGAGCACCAGTCACAGGAGTCATCGAAACTCATTATCTCCTTCCCCGATTACGCCGAGGGGATCTTACCGACTGTCCTCGGCTGGCCTGCGAGGTCGCAAGTCGACCTCCTCGTCCGTTTCCTCAATCCGGAGCATTCATCACACGCACACCCACTCGAAAGCATCCTCCGTGTCATCCAACAGCATCGGCTCCGCATCCACGCCGACGGCCCGATCGTCAAGGTCTCCCCATCCATCGCTCAAGGTCTTGCCTACCACTCCTAGTGCCTCCTCCCGTTTCCCAAACAACATCCGGTTGGTCCGCGGTACGAACAGTGCGCCGCGTGATGTTGAAGATTCCGGTAGCAGGATGAACAACTTTTTCAACGAAGCCGCGCCGGGTCCGTTCCTTTACTCTCCTTCTACGAGTCTTGTATTCGCTCGTCGCAAGCGTTCTGCGTTCAAGGGTCCCATGTCCCACGCCGCTAATCCCATGGTATCTGGCGGCGTGGCAGAATCCGAATTTCCCAACGGCGCGGCCGGTATGGAAGAGTCCTCCGCCGCAGCTGCTGCGCGGCCCAGGGCACGGAAGAGCCAAATCATTGAAGAGGAGGAAGACGCGGAAGACGACGAAGATATCGAAGAAGTGGACACCTTCACCGGTACGGAAGAGGAGCCCGGCTCACCGATTGATACCAAGTCCGAAGGCTACAGAACTGCAGATGACCCAGCAGAGACCGGCGACAGACGAACGCTGGCTCCCGCGATTGATCTCGAACCGACCACGCCGTGTCCACCTCGATCATCTTCTTTGAGACAGTCACAATCCGAGGTGAAGATGCAGTCGAGCCCACAATATTGAAGACAAGAGCGCGCCTGTCATTCCCTCGTGATTGGCATTTGAACAGGTTGAAGAGAATAGATAGATGACTTGTTCAGATACGTCGGTTGGCATTTTTGATAATGTTTTTGTGTATATTCTATACCCCCTTTGCGGCTGTGGCGCTGGTTTGCATGGTATCCTTTGGTTTGTGAAACAAGCCAGTTTGATATGAGAGCGAGTAATCGCCATGTTTCTTTTCTTCCCCATTTTTCTTCTTTTTTGCTTATTTATCGACATATGCTTGTCTTTTCTATACTAGCAATGTCCATCTCACCCCGTCCATCCTTAACTATCTTTCCTTTCTAAGTATAATTTTCATCACCAACTTTGCTTCCCTCCTTCACATTCCTTAAATTTCCTTCCATGCCATTCATTCTTTCAGCCGCTCTTATCATCTTATTTTATCTTGCTTGCTTCCCTCTATTATACTCGATACTTACTTGGAGATATCCCCTGACATAACATGTCTTTCATATGTTGAATAATTTCTGACAAGTGTGTTTTCTGGATTGGTTATCCTAATGATCTGAGGATTCTTTTACACATCGCGCTATATATAGATAGATTTTTCTTACGATTGTTCTGCT